TCTGACTTTATAGATGGTCATCAGCTTATTGATCTTCCTTTTGAGGGAGTTTCTTTCACTTGGTCCAGTGGAAGGGAAGCTCCAACTCTCTCTCGTCTTGATAGATTTTTGATCTCCGGTGACTAGGAAGAGAAGTTCCCGGATATTGTTCAGGCTGTATTGGCTAGGGTGACTTCAGATCACACTCCTTTGGTTTTGGATTGTGGAGGGTTGAGATCTCGTTGCACTCCTTTCAGATTTGAGAATATGTGGCTTCGTGCGGATAACTTCCAGGGACTTGTGCGTTCGTGGTGGGAGGAGAACCTGGTGGTGGGCACATCGAGTTTCATTCTTGCAGGAAAGCTTCATATTCTGAAAAATAATCTTAAAAGGTGGAATAAGGAGGTTTTTGGGAGCTTGGAGTGGAGAAAGAATAGGGCTTTGGCTGATATTGCCGAGTTTGATAGACTGGAAGGGGAGGGTGTTCTTGCTGAATCCCAACGCAGTAGGAGAGCAGCTTGTCAAGCAGAATGTGTGGAGATTGCAGTTTTGGAGGAAATTTCGTGACGTCAAAAATCTCGGGCCTTATGGCTCAAAGAGGAAGACCGGAATACCAAGTTTTTTCATAGAACCGCTAATGCTCATAGGAGGAATAATCACATTGGGAGGGTGTGTGTGGATGATGCGGTGTTGACTACGGAGGAGGAGGTGCGTAGCTGTATTGTCTCTTTCTACCAAAAGCTCTATTCTGAGCCTTTTCGATGGAGGCCACGTCTTGATGATCTTCACTTTGATTCTATTTCTACATTGGAAAGAGATGGGTTGGAAAATCCCTTTTCGGAGGAAGAGGTGCTGAAGGCCCTTAAGAGCTATAATGGTGATAAGGCTCCAGGCCCGGACGGCTTTACTATGAGATTTCTGTTGGAGAGTTGGGAGGTGGTCCGGTACGAGGTGATGGGCACTTTTCATGAGTTTCATTCCACGGGGAGGTTTGAGAAATCACTGAACGCATCTTTTATTGTTCTTATTCCTAAGAAGGGTGGTGCTTCTCACATTAAGGATTTTCGACCAATCAGTTTGATTGGATGCATTTATAAGCTCATCGCAAAAGTCCTTGCTTTCCGTTTGAGGAAGGTCTTTGATGGAGTTATTTCTGAGTCCCAGAATACTTTCATTGGGGGTAGACAGATCCAGGATTCTGCTCTTATTGCCAGTGAATGTGTGGATTCTCGGTTGTGTAGTGGGGCTCCTGGGGTTCTTTGTAAGCTGGATATCGAGAAAGCTTATGATCATGTCTGCTGTAATTTTCTGTTCTACCTGTTGGAGAGGATGGGATTTGGTGAGAGATGGAGGAAATGGATTGTTTCATGTGTTTCCACTGTCAGGTTTTCGGTGTTGGTGAATGGGTCCCCCGCGGGGTTCTTCGGTAGCTCTCGCGGTCTGAGGCAGGGGGACCCTCTCTCCCGGTTCCTTTTTGTTATTGTTATGGAGGCTCTTAGTAGGTTGATGAGAAGGGCGGTGGATTTGGGTTTTATCAGGGGTTTCAAGATTGGTCCCGACTCCGTTCAGCAAATGGAGATTTCTCACTTGCTCTTTGCGGATGACACTGTTGTTTTTTGTGAGGCAGAGGTGTCCCAGTTGAGGTATCTGAGATGTGTCTTAGTTTGCTTTCAGGCTGTCTCTGGTTCGAAAGTCAACGTGGGCAAGAGTGTGCTTGTCCCTGTGGGGGAGGTTCAGGAGGTGGATACTCTGGCCGCTGCTTTAGGGTGTGGGACACAACGTTTCCCTATCTCGTATTTGGGTTTGCCGCTGGGGGACTCGGCCAGGAGGGTGGGAAGTTGGGACCCGGTGATTGAGAGGGTCGAAAGAAGATTAGCTGGTTGGAAAAAGCAATATCTCTCCAAGGGTGGTAAAGTTACGCTAGTGAAAAGCGTCTTGTCAAGCCTTACAACGTATTTTCTTTCGCTCTTTCGGGTTCCAGCCTCGGTTGTTGGCCGTCTGGAGATGTTGCAACGTAACTTCCTTTGGGGGGGTCGTGGAGAGGAGTTTAAGTATCATCTTGTCAGGTGGAAGCAGGTTTGCAGGCCTCTTCAGTTGGGCGGGCTTGGGATTAGGAGATTGGCCCCCTTTAACAGTGCTCTCCTTGGTAAGTGGCTTTGGAGATTCGGCAGTGAAAGGCATAGATTATGGAGAAGGGTTATTTCCTGTCGCTTTGGGGAGGAGAGATGGGGGTGGTCAGCTAGGCCAGTCAGGTCTGCTAGTGGAGTAGGGGTGTGGAGGGCCATTGGAAAAGGATGGGACGAGTTTTCCAAACAAGTTAGATTCAAAGTTCGGGATGGAAGGTTTGTCCGGTTTTGGGAGGATCCCTGGTGCACGGATAGGCCTCTGGCTCTTTTGTTTCCAAGGCTGTTCAGAATTGCTGTTGACAAACATACTATGGTTGCTAACTGCTATCGCCTTGATAGCGGGAGGTTATCTTGGGATGTGCGATTCCGGCGATCTTTTCAGGATTGGGAGTTGGATGATGTCACTGGCTTGTTGGCTCTCTTGTACAGACAGGAGATGGAGGGCACCGGTGTTGACTCCCTGTTTTGGGTGCACTCTTCTCAGGGGATGTTCCAGATCCGGTCTTTTTTTGTATGCCTTTCTGGTTTTCATGGCGCTTCCTTCCCGTGGAAGACGGTGTGGTTGTCTAAGGCGCCTCTTAGGGTGGCCTTTTTCATGTAGACTGTAGCTTGGAGTAAGATTTTGACTTTGGATAACTTGAGGAAACGAAGACATATTATTGTTAATCGGTGTGGTCTTTGTAAGTTGAATGGGGAGTCAGTGGATCACCTGTTGCTGCATTGTCCTGTGGCTCATGATTGTTGGAGTCTCATTTTTGATTTGTTTGGTATTCATTGGGTTATGCCTCGGACATCTCGGGATTTACTGGATATTTGGAGGGGCCAATGGGTGGGGGCTCAGGCGAGAGTCTTCTGGAGGGTAACCCCCTTTTGTGTTTGGTGGAGCATTTGGAAAGAGCGGAATAGAAGATCTTTTGATGGGAAGGAGGCCTCCATTGGGGTGTTGAAATTCTCTATTATTTGTACTCTTTTTTGTTGGGGTTAGGGGAGAGATTTTTCCTCCATTGAGGATATTGTGGACTTTATGGGTTCCTTGAGATCATAGTTTCAGTTTTTTGTATAGCTTGAGACGCGTTCCCCTTTTGAACGCCTTTTATACATTTTACTTATCAAAAAAAAAAATCTAATGCTCCTTGAGGGGCGTACGCACTTGTTAGATACAAGATATGTTCATCTAGGATAATTTTAATAGTTATTAATCTATCTTCTTGTCTTATCACCTCCACTACTATATCCCTCATGTAGTAATCTATTACTATGCCTATCCTATTTCGTTGGTTGTCTTTCCTTCCCAAGTAGAAAAGTTTATACCCTTCCCCAATCTCCCTAGCTTTTTCATCTTTCCTTTTATTAGTCTCTAGTAAGCTAAGCAAATTATGTGTACTTTTCTTCATTTTAAGGTATTTGCTAGTTCATTACACCTATCGATTAATGTCCCTATGCTCGATGTTGCTATCCTAATTTTTTTACATACTTTTTTTTTTTTTTACTTAGTTTCTCAAATATAAAATACCACAAAACTAATTTTATTTGAGCGAGAATTCAACGAAAAGATTTGACATATGTTACAGTCAGTTGTCTACCGACCCAACTTTTCGCATCCCACATTGGGTACCGGCAATGGGAAAGTCAAAAGAGTTTACATTTATATCGTCAGGTTAATGTTTCGTCAAGATGTCAAAATCTAAAGCAACGCAACACTATATCAATGAATGTCCAAGTATGTCCAGTAGATTATATACGCCACGCTATAAAATCTAAAGCAAAATGCAATCCTAAAATAAACACAAATATGTCTCCACTATGTTTATAGGTAAATATGCAGTTGGATAAGAATGATACTGTTAATATATTGTATTTATAACTCAGTGAAAGAAAAAAAAGAAAAAAAAATCAAAAACAAAATGCAGTCCTAAAATAAATATTGATATATCCCAGGCTATGTGCATGAATATATATGCAATAGAATCAGAATATAGGGTATACAAATGCAATCAACAAGAGTTTAAGTAAGCCGGTTAAGAATTAAATATTAGTTACTCTTTTTTAAAAAAGTAAATATTAATTACTCTTTAATATTAATCACTCTTTTAATCACCACAAATACTGTTACTATATAAGTAGAAATATATTATTAATGTAGAACACATGTAAAGAGACTATATGACGATAGATTACAATATACATAGTACTAAACTTTTCATTGTTTTAACCAAAACTTTTTAGTATTAAAAAATATATATCACAACATCTTTTTTAACCAAAATTTTCATTTTCACCTACATATCTGCCAAGGCTCAAGGTGTTTGCTTAACTCCGCACAAGTTTACCACCAGCTATTTTATCAGTCTACATTTCTTTTTTGACAAGTATATACACACTAGTAAACATAAGGACATAGATAGCAAGAATATGTTATCATGGCTCTGACAACTTGAAAGCATTAAAATTTCTATGTTTTATAGGCCCTCATTTTTTTCTTCCCAAATGTTCCCCTCCATTATCATGAAGTTTTCCTGGAATTTATTCATTTCCGTGACTCTTTAAAAGAGCTACAGGAGGATTAACATTTAATTACATGCCTAGAATGCATTATATACACTAAATATCAAAAATCCTTTATAATTTGAAGGAGGGGAATTATTTCCCCCGATATATCAGCCTAAGGAATTTTTATAAACCATTCCTCAAACATAACTGATTTAGCTTTTGAAATAAAAGTTTTTTTTTAGTTTTTTTATAAGTGAAATATAACTTTGTTGTAATATAAGTTGTTCCCTAAATCCAACGGAAAACAAGAATTACACCACCATATCAAAATGAATTCAACAAGCAGAAAGTTGGTTCAACAAAAAATTTTAGATTTACAAACGCCAAAAAGTGCAATGAACTTACTTGTCTGCACCTGTGATGGCTCCACCAGTGACCTCCTCTGCGGAGGCTGCAGCTTCCAAATTATTCCTTGCATCCTTGAGTTTATCTTCAATCTCAGCCTCAGTGTATCCCTGATTGATGAGCGTGTCCTCAAGGATCGCAAGCTTGAGCTCAATCTGCCGCTTGCGGTCATGCTCGAGTATGTCCTTGTTGGGTTTCTTGGTGACACCTGCCATTCCCTGATTTTCCCCAAACCCCTTCCCCGCGTTGTCAACCACGACCTTCCCACTTTTAGGCCTTAGGAAGAACTTGTTGCTCTGTATATACCCATTGGTACCCGAACCCCTAGGGGTCTGTAATCCAATTCCGTTGTACATCTCTGCGAATCAAACACAGAGAATCAGAAAACCCTAATTCAGAAATTAATTAAAAACTCTAATTCTAATCCTTAGTTCAGTTCTCAATAAAGTGGTGAATGGTGGTTCTAGTAATGAATTTGATTTAATTTTCACAGAATAGATTGATTAAAGATCTATCCACAGATTAAAAACCCTGAGGGATGAAATCGAAACCCTAACCCTTCGTTTGGTTCTAGGAAAAGTGGTGAAGGGTGGTCTTAGTCGTAAATTTGATTCAATTTTAACAAAATTGAAGGATGACGATTAGATCTTAAAAAATAAGAGAACAAATGAAACCCTAATGTACAAAAGTTATTCATTCGAAATCAGAGTGACGTTAATTGTGAGAGAGAGAGGATATTCACCAGAATCGAGAAGAGAGACGAACTTTAAACAAATATCTGCAGAGTGCCGAACCGAGAGAGAGAGAGAGTAAGCGGACCTCTTGTGGCCTTTTGGCTTAGGAATTGGCTTGTGAGGCCAACCGCGCTAGGTCTAAAGTTCGAGGATTGGTGGAGAAGAAGAGACAAAAGAGAGAGAGAGTTGCAGAAGATTAGAGGTATGGCATGGGCAATGCCCATGGGCCTGGAATGAACCATCTGAATTGGGCTTGGGTTTTATAAATTTAATCCCAGCAAAGTATGGTATGTTGTATGGATATGAAAAGAACTAATATAAATATAAATTTTTAATTTTATGTATGAGATATATATAAATTTTATACTAAGAATATTACGTTATTTAAGTATAAAAAAGAATATATTATAGTTATATATTATTAGCTCGTTTGGATTGCTTCTCTACTTTTATTTTAAAATTTAGCTCAATACAGCGTTTGATTGAAGTTAGAATTTGAAACTTCTAAAACTAAATTATGAGAAAATGTTGAATATTTTAACTTTTTTCATTAGTCAATTATGTCTTTTTTTTTTATTTTTTTATAAAACAATTGCATTCATTTCTTAATAAATTGTTATAATCAAATATGATAACATCTATATTATTGTAAAATTAACAATAAAAATGTTTTAAAAAATATTGTTACAAAATAAATTAAAAAATAATTTAATTATCAAAGTACTTATTATAATGTTAGCAATTTTTTTTTTTATTTCAACAGCAATCCCAAACGTGACATTACTATTTTATATTGTCATTATAATTATGTTTTTGTCTATTATAGGCTGAACACTTTGATGTATATTTATAATATTGTGTTTTAGGATTGGACAATGAGTGTATGGTGTATTATTACGTGAATTGCTCAAACAATCCCAGTTAGCCCCTTTCAATGTGAATGAGCAGATAATGACTATATATACCAAAACAAATGTTATCTTGATTCATTATAAATTAGACACATAAGGAAATTTTTGGTTAAGTTACATACTTACTTAAAAATAATAAACTTCAGTTTCAAGAAATCATTCATATCTTCTACCAAGACATTCATCGAGTAAGCGAAGCTCTCAAAAGAAGCAATTTAGAAGTGTTGCTCAAACAATTCCAGTTAGGCCCTCTCAATGTGGAAGAGCAGATAATGACTATTTATACTGAAACAAATGTTATCTTATTCATTAGAAATTAGACACGCAAGGAAATTTTTGGTTAAGTTACATACTTAAAACTAATAAACTTCAGTTTCAAGAAATCATCCATATCCTCTACCAAGACATTCATCGAGAAAGCGGAAGCTCTTTTGAAATAAGCAATTCAGAAGTGTTCGGAATGTGTTGACTAAGATATTATTTGATAAAACTATAAAATAAATATGTTTACTGTTTCTAGTGATATTCAAATTACAAATTAATTTTGAGATATGTCCATTAAATGTCTAAAATAATAAAATTTATTTTTAAATCACGTGTCAACAATATTGACCCTTATTGGTTGGCTTAGACTAATGTTCATTGGTTGAAATTTCAAAACATGATTGGAAATCATAATTTTAATTTAAGAAATAATCAATAATCAACTTAATTATTAATGTAGTATGAATTTATATAAATCATCTAACCAGCCCCAAAATTTACATTTGCCTGTGATTTACTCCTCCCAACACTCAAAAATATTTTTTTTCCCCTAACAACTAAGTCCAATAATACCCCCACACTCTCTACTTGATTAATGAAACTTATTATCATAATCTATAACTATTTCTGATGTTCTCGTTATTGCAGTGAACAGTTTCACTGCTAATTATTTTTTATTTTTTTATAAAAAAGGCTTTTTCTTTTTTATTTCTTTTTCTGTAAATAAAAAAGAAAACTAAACAATTCATAGTTAAAATATATGAAGATTTGAATTTCAAAAAATAAAATAACTGTTGTCCTGAATGAAACATTTTGATTTGATTCGATTTAAATAATAAAATAAAATAAATTGATCAATAATTCGCCACCAATTCGTTAAACAATGGATCGAATCGGATCAGATTCTTAAAATAATTAATCGGATTGAATTTTTCAAAATAATCTATTTTCATCAATTTCATATCCACTTACAAAGCTGTATGACAGAACCAATTTAAATACATAATAGGCTTTTCTCTTTGCTCTTCTTTAGCACTTTGGGTTCTTTCATCTTTAGTTAGGTTTAAGTTTTGATTAAAAAGTCCTTGATCCACGGTGATAAATATTATAAAACTAATGGTATAATACTTACTAAAAAAAATACAAAAAGAACAGTGTGTTAAGAGTAATCCGCCACCGATCCATAGGACTGTCAATCCAATCACAGATTTGCGAATTTTTTTGCCCACCCTATCTAAAATCATAGTACAATGTGCGTAAATCAAAATCAAACATTCTTTTAACTCGGCCCTTTTACGCGGGTTTTTTTACCCCTAAAACTTCTTCTCGTCCGCGACCATGATGGCGGTGGCTCGACCAAGGATCTCCGACGGTGGCTTCAAAATTAATCCGAACTTCGTTGAGCTTATCATCAATTTCATCCCGAGAGTATCCGTGATTGATGAGAGTGTCCTCAAGTATCACGAGATTGAGCTCAATCTGGCGTTTGCGGTCGTGGTCTAGGATGTCCTTGTTTTCGGGTTTTTTTGGTGAAACCCAAATCCTTCCCACTTTGAAGCGGCAACATCTTCTTCTTCACCAAGAACTTGTTGCTCTGTGTGGACCCGTTGCTACCCGAACCCCTAGGGGTCACTAACCCGACCCCATTATACATGGCTGCGATTCACAGAATGACAAAACTCGAACCCTTGGTTAACCCCTTCGTGCTTTAGTCAAATTGACGACCAGATCTTAAAAATACGAAACCCTAACCCAAATAGGTAATACAAAAGTTAAGGAGAGACGGAGTGGTTTTAAATACCCCTCAGACGACTCCGTCTTAGACTTGCATACGGATTACTAGGGGTACAGCATCAAGAAAGTCAGCTAATTCATTACGGGTAGAGGGAGGGGTATTGTAGAGAATATAAGCAATTTATTTGGAGCCCTACAGTATTTATTAGAATCCGTACAAAGAAAGGATTACTATTTTCACGGGCCATCTGATTTATTCCATTAATCGGGTTTTATAAATTTAGTCCAACTTAACCTGGACTTTGTATCTGGAAAAAAACAAAGGGTGTGTCAGTGTATTCTTTTAAGTATCACCTTAAATAGGGCGATTGGAAGCTCGCCTATTCTTCACATATTTGTTCAAATAATGAAATAAACGTCCTTCAAAATCACCTTTCACACCGACAGTTATATTCTCGTTTATAAAAATAATTCATTAGATTGTTAATAGTATTTTTATGTAGTACCAGTAATTAATTACCATATTCTTAATTTATAATGAACTTGTAATCCAAGTCTAGTTTTGGGCTGGCCTTTCTAGGCCCGGGCAGAAGCAGGGAAATTCCACCAAGTCAAGACAATCAAAAAGTGACGGGTCTTGTGGTCGTGGTGCCCCCACCAAATACTGCTAATGACAAAATTGTTCTAAATTCACGAACCCAATTGACAAAAGTCACAAAACCCAATTGGCATCAAGGCATGGTTAACAGTTCCACCATTTTTTAAACTGGAACCAAACAACTGCATGGTTCGGATTAGTCCAGAACAGTTCAAATGGATTCGCGTGCACCCCAGCCTCTCACGCATAGAAGTAAGATCAGCTCTTTAATCGTCAGGCAGTATAATCTAAAAGCTCATCATACCAAAGTGCAAACACTTTTGGATCTTAGCCAATTAAAAAATCTGTAGACAACCACTATGAAACTATTTGATCCCTCTAACAAAATTCTTGTAATATGATGAAATCCCAATTTTCACTCAAGAAACTATTGCTTGATACAATGAACAATAACTATATTTTGATATCTTATTATACAATACATAACGAGGTTGAGTGCAATCTCATCCCGGTCTTAGCAAGGCTGTGTGGCCCCTTCATTCGCCACGATCTCTTCAGAGGAGAATGCTCACTTCCAAAAATTTTACAACAAAGGGCTGCTCTCTTGGCCTTCACTTCGACTTCCCAACCTAAAACAGAAGATTCATGGTCCTATAGGCCAACCCAATATGAACGGCCGTTGGTGTTGTGAATAGCAGATTGGGTGGGAGAAGTCGCACACCATTCATACCAAACCTGTCACACTCAGCAAAAACAAACCCAGCACTGGCATCAGATATCATTCAAGAAATCATAGTTGCATTAATTGTGGAAATTACATATGATATTTGTCACACAGATTTTCCCTCTATGCCTGTAATTATAAACCATTTACTAGCCCATAACTTTCTTTTCTTTTTCCTTATTTTTTTTTTTTCTCTCATTCTTTTCCTTTTTCTTGTTTTCTTCTGGCTCCTATATAATCAAGGGCGGATCCAAGAATTGTTAATGGGTGGGCTAATATTTTTTTGGGTGGGCTAATACTAGTAATAAATTTTTTTTTTGGGCTGAAGTAAAATTGCATATAGTAGATTTTTTTTTTTTTTTTGGGATGGGTTTGAGCCCACCAAAACATACACCTAGATCCGCCCTTGTATATAATCAATGAAAGCAATAGATTATACATAAATATTCAGTAAAAGAATTTACCTTGGTGGAACCACAACACCGCCAAATGTGTACTTCTAAAGGTGAACCTGGTCGTATGCATACTGGTGTCCTCAAAGGGAAAAATATTGGAAACCTGTTTTCGAGAGGGGAAAAAAAAGAGGCAACAAACAAAATTCAGCTATACTCGAAAAAATGATTATAGAGTAACAAACCTCAACTTCCCTCCATTTCACATTACCAAGACATTATTTAGATTGACCAAATAACTTAGCGATACCATATCAAATATTCAGGCAATTAAAACGTAATGCAGTCCACTGCCGAATATATTCCAACCAAAGAAATTGCTAATTGAATTGAGTTATGAGCTGAGTTTATTATATTCAAGCCACACATAAAGTTGATGGACCTTTACTTTAGAAGCATTTTAGAAATTAGAATATAAAGAACAAAAGTCATACCAGCTGAACATGTTTGGTGTTGCTGTTGACGGCTCAATACCGAGATGTACATCTTTGTAAAGTGTTGCATCAAAATAGCCCGCAAATCCTATCAATTAGGAGCAAGTAAATGGAGTTAAAATTTTATCACGAATTTGCAAGAGAATTTTAAATATCTAGAGCTGCTACGCTTGAGAAAACTAATGCAAGAAGCAATATGTCTTGATCACAGTAAAAGTCATATTTGCAAGGGTTCGCATACATAACATCCCAAGGTTATATCACAAAGTTCCCATTCAATTTCTTCTCCAATATTGGAGCTTTGAATGGCAGAAGTGACCCTGAAACTCATCAAACCCTCTTATGTTAATTTCTACCACAAGATTGATAATTCAGGACTATGTAGAAACTTTGGCCATTGGAGATGTCGCTTAGGTACCATTTGCTCCCACTTGCTTCATTTTCTCAACACGTCTATGGACATGAAAATAATTTCCCATTTTTTCTTTTATGTTTTTCAGTTAAAAACTTATTTACTTGCTACCAGTTCCCTGGCGAAACATTAACTTCTTAGCTTATAATTGTCTTCCCCACTCCACTCTTTTCCCCAGAGCCAATTGAAGAGGCACAATGCTACCTTAATGGATTATTTTTTGTATGTGGAACAGCACAATGCTCTCTGAAACATGGTACTACGGCAGAGACTTACATAGCTTGCATTGATTGCTTAGTTAGACGTTAGAATGCGATAGGAAAATTTTATAATCAAGACAGGATTTCATAATGAATATAACACATCAAATAATCTCTCCTTAAAAAATCCATGAGATTTCTAACTTCAAAGAGCATCTTTGATGTGAATGCAACTGCATAACACGACTTCATCCGTATGCTAAACTGTTGATGACTTCGGGTCATTGACCTTTCTTGATTGTACAAGCCAAAAGATGAATAAGAACTGAACCTGGTTACAAAAATAAGAAGAAGAACTGAACCCCTAAATTTACCCTTCTCTTATAGATATGTAAGCACTTCTACATTGTGCTATGATTGCTATGGTATTACTCATTGAACTTTTTTGTCCAAAATGTTGATAATCTTGTACATTGCCTTGCCCAAAATTAAAGGTAGAAAACAAGAAGAAATTTGTCAGATAGCCAAATTTAGAGATTCATGTCTGTAACACAATTTTACTATGCAGTACCGAATTGTGGTAAACATTGAGCATGCACAACTTAAATTGCTTTCTACTTCTCTCAATTCATGCTCCACCTCTAAGACAATCAATGTCAACTATTATCGTTGATCATCAAGTTATCTGAAATTTCGCCCAGTTTTAAAGCATTTAAGAAGAAAAAAAAATATCAAATCCATGTTTCAAAGTGTTGTGAATGATATAATTTTTCATTTTAACAAAACTTCTTGCTACATATAGAGCAGTAAAAACAACAAAGTTTTGTCATCGCATACCGTGAACCATAGCTGATCCTGTATCACTGGGTATCTCAAACTGAAGCTTCTTATAGCGCTGATTGTTTTTCTTAGTTGAGCACTCTGGATGAGTAAATGTAAAGACCTAGGCAAGTTAAAAATAAGATATAGGTTATTTAAATCACTTAATTATTACTCCCTCCGTTTCATATTAATAGCCCCATTCTTTTTTGGGTGTCCCAAAATACTTGTGTCCCATTGGAAAAGTCAAAGTAAGATAAATGCATCTTTCCATAAATACCCTTCAAGTTTTCAAAAAATTCCCAACTTAATAATACACATATTTAAACTTGAAAGGATAACTTGGTAATTTCAAGAGGGGACAATGCATTTCTTAAAAAGTTCAAATACCAAAAAGGACTATTACTATGGGATGGAGGGAGTAGTTGACAAGCCACAGACCTTGAATTAAGAAAGACTAATGTTTTTCCCATTAACGGAGAGGAGAGCACTGCGACCAAACTTTGGCATTATCTGCACAAAGCGGATGTCCTCAGACTCAGACCCACGTTTTAACACTTGGCCTCCAAAATTTAAAACACTCCACTAAGCAATGGCCCCATAAACCACAGAACTAAAATTGCTAATAAAATTTACTGTGCAATTTGAAGCAAAACTCACAGGATGGCAGGGAGCAAGCCTTGCTACAGAGTGCAGTTTGACAACATAAGCAGTTTCAAAGTGCACAAGATCTTTGTGTGACTTAACCTGTAAAAAAACCAAATTAGTTCATATGGCATGCTTAAAAAGGAAATAGTGACTCAAATATGGATGTAGATGAGAAATTACATCATTATATAGTTTTGCTGCTGTCACAGGTTGGATAAAACTTGTATACCTGAAGTAGGATAGCAACCAAAGAAACATCTCAGATAATATTTAATGGCCATTTGGTATTAATATTCAGATTGATTTTCCAAATGCTATCATCAATTATTAAGGAGACTAGAAATGAGAGCACTCGCCTATGAAACTGGTCTAGACCCGACATAGGTATAAGTCTAACTTCTGAGTGAGTCACCAAATTTTATTTTATTTTCCTCTTTATGGGAGGTAAACATAAGTAATAATAATTCACTTTCCTTTTCTATGACTGGTCAGGAAGGATGGATTGTTCCAAATTATCAACTTCTTGTTTTAGCACCTTTCTGTCTAACTGTGTGTTTTTTGGTATCCTATTTCAGTTATAAACTTCTAAAATAAGTAACTGTCATGGACTCAAAATAAAATCATATTTGAATATAATCACAAAAAACCAGTTAAAAACTAAATCAAAATATATACAGTTACCAAGACATCATTTCACTTAGCCCCTCAAAAGGTAGTAAATAAGATGGATTAGAGAGGGAGTGATGGTCTTCATAATGGTTCTGCTGATGATTTGGATCAAGTGTGGTGATGGCCAATGGTTCGATGGGATGGTCATGATTATGTGGTGGAGGTGCTGGCGCTGAGCGACTGGCAATGTGGTAGAGGTAACGTCTGTGGTAATGGTGGTTATAAATGCAGTCGTAGATGTTGCCATAGTGTTCACATTGATTGTAGACATGATTTGGCAAATTTAAGGTGGTGGGTGTGTTGGGGCACTCTGGTTGTGTGGCAATTATAGTTACGTCCCAGACACAATGGGGTGCAAAGCCTTCCATTAGCCCAAATTTATGTTGTAATTGTTACTTTTACAAAGACGTGGGATGAAAGCTGTAATTGTTTCTGATGGTTGTCTAAAAAGCTTCTTTTACCTTTCATACTCCACTCCTTTTCCCTTTCAGACTCCACTCCTTTGCTTTGGGCTTATCTTTAGGGGACAAAATCATCAGCCACAACAAACATGTCTTCAATTGTTTTCAATTTTCATCATTTGAATACCACCGTAGAACCCCTCTTAAGAAACACCATTGCTCTCTACAGTATCATAATGGAAATGAAGAGAGCACCATAAACAGGCTTGTACCTGGAGGCCACAAAATGCCAAGACCCAAAAGAAGTCTCACGAGGGGCCCCTGTTTTAAAGTTTCAACTACAATTCCATTTTCTAACAGCTCAACTTAACAATTAACAAGTTAGGAGCTGTATAAGTCCATTATTATTATTAATTTTTTTTTTATTATTATATAAGTTACTAAAATTTTAAATTCTGAAAGTTTCAGTGGTAGCATATGATCCTAGGATGAATTAACAAATCTTCTAGAGAGAACGCACAAACCATAAAAGATATGTAGGATCATCGGAACATAAATGTGTTGAAACTTTTCTCAGGTAATATAAACCAATAAACCATAGCACTCATCATTTTAGCGATATGATACATACGATGATGGAATTGAAATGCCATCTTGCTTCAAAAATCTTTGAGCTCCATCAAGGCACTCAGGTGACAGCTCATTGTCCCCAAAGGAACCCAGCAATTCACTGACCTACATTAAAATAGGGAAGAAAGAAAAGAACATAAGCGATTGCAAATGAAAGAAGGAAATAAGTGCTACAGATTTACCATAAGAATATCCACCTACCAAAATGTCAGCTTTCTCAGGAGCATCCCAACAACGCATGTCACTAGAAACTATGGTAACAATATTTTCCCAGCCCTCTAGTTTAACCAAGCTCTGCTTCAACAAACTTATTGTTATTTCTAAAACATGGGATAGTACCATTTTAAAAAATAAATAAACAAAAAAATGTCAAGAGACTAACTAGCTTCAAACACGCTAATAAGTGGAAATAATATTTAAAAAAAGCCGTGAAAGAGCATTTGGAAACTCGAGACAATTAAAATATAAAAAGGCATTGATCCTAAACACCCACATACCACACCAGGGTATCATTTATGATGTAACTCGCTTGGCTTGTAAAATCCCACCCATCCTTTTGCATGTCCATGCTTGAATTCTGAATTTGATCACTATTGTTCAAGTAATTTGAGTTTTTTTCTGTTCATGCAGTCTAAGTTTGTTCTGCTAGAATTGGTTTTTGGCCATGCATTTTAGTACTGAGTCTACTACTGACTGTCTAGGGCAGTAAGAAGTGGAAGCAGTGATATATTATGACTGGATGTTAATTGCCGAGTTTCATGTTTGCAAGTGCTTAATTTTTGGTGTTTGGATGCTTGGTTTGTTTACCATCACTGCATAATGAATATTTAGATGATAAAGAATAAATTACTAATGCTTGTCCTGCTTACGCAAGCTGTTGGGTGGGAAAGACTAATTATTTTCATTTTTTTACACGTCATGCTCTTGACTCCTAAAAGGTTTACAACTCTTTATTAAAATAATATCTATTTGAAATTTAGCTGATCACATCATTCCATTGTTGCAAGTTGGTAACTTTATTATTTGCTTATTCTATACGACAAGTGGTTTATATTGCTTAGGCTCACATCTTGTGCCTATGCTCCAGGCTACCTTGGCACTTGACATGTATGGCGCCTGAATAACTAGATTCAAAATTTATGCAGATCCTCTTTCTAATTTTCACTAGCTTCCACAACCCCAAATTACTATCCACTTTTGTGCTACTCCTATCTCATGAAGTGGCAATGTTTTTTGTTTAACAACCTATTAGAGTTAATTGCTGGTGATAACAAAGTTATTTTTTGTTCATTTGGAATGGAACTGTCTTATCATTTTAGAAGCACAGAACTGTCTTATCATTTTAGAAGTACGACTTCACTTAAGCCACATCACTTAAATCTGTGATCATCAACTGCATTTGATGGCCCAACAAAATAACAAGAAATTAACAGCATAAAACCTTAAATCCTTACCAACACATTAATCACTGAATCAAATTCAAGACAACAATATTGATAACAAGTTCAAGTGAAGTTGATTACAAAAAGTTACAGTAATATGCAATATGCAGTGGTTTAAAATTAGCAGCATACTGAAAACAACCACAACATCCAAGAAATTCTCACAACGGACAATAACAATATATGCTAGACACGATTTTACAACTTACATGAAGTGTAACAACTGCATTCGGATTTTTCTCCACTGCATAAACTCTCAACTTGCGTCCGGTTTCTTCAGCTGCCTAATTGTTAAACAGTACAAAGGAAAATCAGAGGGGAAAAAAATTTCAAACTAGCAAAAAGTAGCAAGCAATCTACTTCAAGAAACATAAGCCACAACCAACTATGCAAAAGCTACAAAGTTAAAAGTAGAATTTGAATATGGACATGCCTACAGTTTTGACACCTCTGGACCTGCACTGCAGACAGTCCAAATATATAAAATCAAAATTTTAAATCCAGAAACACAATTAACAAGGGTAACCATGTGATAGCCATGTACGCTTCCTTTTATCTCTTTTTTGAGAATTTAATATTAGAGCATGTCCATATCATGTCAAGTCCATGACTTGTATGTCTGTGCAACATGGGATCAAAGATGAACCTGTAATGACGCTCTAACAAGAGGTCCACGTCCAGCTCCCACAACCATTAGCACCTGCAACATATTGACATGATTTAATAGATTACATCAGCAAACTCATGCAGAGATGACCAACTAAAAGGAAATCAGTATAGGATTTTGGTGACAAGACCGCAGCTTACAGTGGTAACCAAAGATGCTTTTTCATCCGGGATTCTATCAAGCAGAGCTTTACAGATTGCCCTTTGGTACTACCAAAATACGAGTAAAAGATTAATATTCAGAAATTAAAAAAAAAAAAAAAATTACCACTAGCCAAAAACCAAAATTGTACTCTAGAAAATTAGCATTTAGGCTCTACAAAAGGACTGCTGAGCTACTAAAAAATAAATAAAAAATAGCAACAAGTGCAATATTGGTGATAGCATAATTCTGTGAACTGTTTCTTAATAAGTTAATATGACTAATCAAATAATTAGGTAGTCAATATTTACAAAAATGGTTTACAACTTTTTCATGTTGCATTCAATACTTAACAAAATGGTTCTGAACTTTGTTCCATTATATTTAATTGAAGTTATTGCATATCATATGCATTTGTGCCTGAAGCACGATCCTTTAACAGAAGACAAAACATCCACCTAACAATTATCTAAATTAAGATATCGTTGAGTTTCTCTGTCATAATCAAAACCCATAATGGAAGCCAACATACTAGGGGACAATGCCAACTTTTCTCATCACAGAAAGTTAATCATCATTTATTTCATGGTACTGCATGAATATACCTGGCTATATTTGACTGTATCCTTCTCAAATGTTTCGTATGTTTGGGCCTCTAGATTATCCATGAGTGGCTGCATTTAGAAAGTAGGAAAACCCAGCATGTAATTGCCAAAGGAATAAGGGATGTGGCATGATTTACATGAGTAGGAGAATAATATATTCTTAAAAGAGAAAGTTGCTACTGAAAATCTAGATTGACATACAACTTACTTGCAAAGGCGATTGTAAGAAATCTCTGTAACCAAGCTGGCATTGGAGAAAGGAAAAGGTCAAATAAAGATAATGTGTCATTGAGAGAGAGAGAGAGAGAGAGAGAGAGAGAGCGGCTACTTCAAAACGTTCTTGCTCAGGAAGTGGTTCCATCCTCTGATATAAATAACCAACATAGTCCAAATATGACCTTATGGGATGTCTCTGAGTACCTGATATGAGAATACTTCAAATTGTGAAAAACGAAACAGTAAAGGTACAAATAAGAAAAAAATAGCAACAAAAATATTAAGGAGTTTTTGTTTTTGAAAAGTAAAATTTCATTAAAGGCACTCAAAGGGCACACCAAGGAACAACTGAATAAAGGAAAGCAGAATATCCTCACACGGCCCAAAAAGTAAAAATAAAAGTAACGGATGTACATAAACGCCCTTTCACCCAAAAATAAGGAACTCTATTAGAGCGCTTCAGCACCCAAATCGGTGCTTCCACCCATCAAAGGATCTATTTCTCCCTCCACAAACCCCCAAACACATAATGGACCGGCCCTCCAAACATCTAAAGCTAGTCTTCCAACTGTACATTCCCTCCAGGACTCAAGAGCTTCCGTTGCAGAAGCTGAAAGCACCCACTGGATTCCAAAAGTAGCCAAAAACACAGACCAAACATTTCTCGCTACTGGGCAACGCAACAAGAGATGACTCACTATCTCCTCATTTCTCTTCCATATACAGCACTTGTTGACTACATCTGACAGCGTTTCTTCATATTGTCCATAGTCATATCAAGGAAAATTATCCACATTTACCACAAATTTCTTATTCAGTTTATGCATTTAAAAATATTGCAAAAGGACTGCATATGCAACCTTAATAGTGAACTATAAAATATCAGAAGGAAGCAGAAGAAAGAGTAAGTTGTGGCTTCTTCTTTTCAAAAAGATGAGTACTTCATGGTAAGTTGTGGCTTCTTCTTTTCAAAAAGATGAGTACTTCATGCAAGATATTATTATTGCCCGTACTATGTAGACCACCAATTTTCAGAATCTCTTACAATTTTTTTTTTATTTTTTATGAGTACAGATATATCAGAGAAAGTTCAAAAGGGGAACGCATCCCGAGAGCTATACAAGGGCCGAAGCCAAGAGAGAGGTCCTAGGGACCCAACAAACCCAAAAGAATCTCTCACAGTTGGTCAATCCATACACAACTTACCATCAATGTGATTATCAGTATGATTAGCAGATAACTCTGAACTTCCCGCAGGAAAACTGTGAACTGGTTTCCCGGAAATAACTATCTGAAAGGGAATCGCAAAAAAGAAATAAGTAATACAATTACAAGTTATTTATATGGAAAATCATACAATATTCCAGTTTCTCTAAATCTGCAATACTCTTAAACCAATCAACTAGTATGATTTAAAAGTAGTGCAGATAACATGAACTGTTTCAGAAAGAAATGAAAGCAATTTTAAATCTTCACTACCATATGCAATTGAAGGCGAAATTTTGAATGTCACTAATGTTAGATATTTGGAAGCGAATAAACAAACTATTAAAGAACCATTCAACATAAGCTTTTTTCCAGAAGTGCCAAAACTGCATTGCATTTAAGGTCCAAGTCAATGGCATTGCACTTGATTGTGTATGAAGTTTCATATTTGATTTTTAAGCAAAGCAATAGACTTCATTTAATTTAGATTGATCTAGGCTAAAGGGATGTCAAGATAACCAACTTAAATAATGCATTGGGTATTTTAGAACCACGGCATCAAAAATTTAAACACTGTATATATATATATATATATATACACACAGCAGGTGTCATTTTATGATAGTGAAATTTGAAATCCAGAAAGGGAAAAATAAGAGCCAGAGCCTAGCCGGAAGTGTGGCCAACGAGGACGTTGGCCCCCCATGGGGGTGATTGTGACAATCTCTGTGGGCGGGTGTGATGTGGGCAGGTGCAAGGCATTGGACGAGCTATCACACTGGCAGACTACAAGGTGTCATGATCCCACATCGCCTGGGAAAGGTGAAGTGCTATATGTAAAGTTCAACACCCTTCTATGACATAATGCGCTTTAAAGCCGTGATGGCCGTGAACCCATTAGAACTCCGGAATTAAACGTGCTTAACCTGGAGTAGTACCAGGATGGGTGACCCCCTGGGAAGTCTCTGGTCCGGAGGATCCAAAAGCGGATAATATTGTGTCTTGGTAGGATGAGGGTTGTTACATAAATAATGTAGTTACCTGTATTGAATGGTTAAAAAACCCAACCATTAGCTTTTGGTGGCGCTTTGATAGACAAGGGTACCCCCGTGCATTTGTTAGAAAAGCCTGACAAATGAACAGCAATAATCATGAGAATCTTAATCATAGAAGTCGCAAAAAAGAATGTTTAGCCTTAAAAGAGGTACACCAATGAGAGTGCCAATATACCTACATTGGTATGAAGTATGGCTGCTTTAATAGGCTCTCCAAACCAACGTCCAAGTGAATTTGCCGAAGGTAGTGAAGACCTAGCAAACAAACAGTCCCAGTTCAAGTATAATTATTGGAAGTTCTGGAGCAATGACAGTGAAATTTATCAGCATTTATACACTCATAAATTAATATATTACAGAAAATACAACCATTGAAGTAAACTCACAACACATCGAGGGCAATTGACAACTGACTGTGATGCTCACAAAGAAGACGAAAGGAATTCCACAATTCCCAAGAATCAACTTGTCCATCACTCTGTTGGGCAAAAACAGAAGGCTTCATGAAGACCTCAAAGTATATTGCAACCATGTTTTCTATTTATTGCCCATTATATTTCAATGGAAAACAATTAAAATTGATTTTACTTAAATGATCACATAACATAGCTAGAAGTACAATGCCAATATTGAAGAAAAAGCAGATTATCGAACTCAGTTAGGATGGTTGTCATTATGCACATAACTTAATTAGCACCTATAATTTGAACTCAGTTAGGATGGATGTAATCACTTTACTCATTATATATCATAGTGAAACAATTCAGATGGGTTTAGTCAAGTGTCTCATAAATTAGTAAGGAGTACTATGTCATTTTTTGAACAAATAGAATATTGAACTCAGTTAAGAGCACTACGTCAATATGCACAAAAGTAGTGGCTACATATGAAGTCACTGAAATTGACATGGAATCACTACACCACTCAAATCATAAGGTTACAATTGAAATAATCAAATCAAAAAATAACATAACAAGAAGAAGAAGAAAAATCCACCGACACCCAAATTAATAATAATAATAATAATAATAATTTTTATTATTAATTGAGCCCCAATCTACATCATCTACACCAGCTGATTATTGGATAAGGTGTTGCAGGGGAACAAGAGTTAGATACTCAATCAGGAAAGGCATTTAAGGAATATATATATTTATAATTAGGGATTCAAATATATGGATTGACCATGACAGCTTGAGACTATCCTAAGATTTTGAGGCAGGGTTTAAAAAGTGAGGTGTCTTCCTTGCTGGGGACATGAGAAACTAATAACAGGAGAAGAGAAGAGAAGAGGGAGAGGAGAGGGGGGGTGTACATATTGCAGAATCTAGAATAAACAAGAATATGTAACAAGATATCCTTACACTAGAAGGTCTACCTGCATTGAGAGGAGTACTACTCACCAAATTATCAGAGTTCCCACTCATAGCATCATCATCAGACTTCTCCAATGGAATCCTAAGCCACAACTTCAACATGGAAGTAAATAATAAGAACATAGACAATAAAAAAGAATACAAAATTTATAGAGATTTACACACAAAGGAGTATAGAGTGTGATTTAAGATTGGTACCTGTATACTATTTAGGTTCTGTAGAATCTGATTAACGCATCTAGCATAATTAGCACAGGATGCTCCTTTAGGGGCAGGAAGTAGACATGCCTTCAGGAGAAATGTAAAATGTGAAAACTGCAGGCTTCTTGTGAAACGATTTAGAGGAATGTGAAAGCAAGCATAAAAGGCAAACCATTCATAATCATCAAGCATCATTTTATATATGAACCTTCATACTGTATCAAGCACTGATAATATGCATCATCAATAGAAAAGAATTGAATCGGTAAAGTATGAGCCTATTAGTAAATGCTGTTTAGCACCTTTTTTTTTTTTTTTTTTTTTTTTTTTTTTTTTTTTTTGGCATTAAAAAATACTCTAAAAGGAGTACAAAACAAATTCAGAACCAGAAATTAGAACCTAAATCCTTTTCTAAAAGATGAACAGAGACGCACTGCAAGAAATAAGGGTGAAAAGTTTCAAGTTTTACAACCCAAAATTTCACTGCAAATTGGTTAACAAAGATACACACCTGCAAAGAGAGATGAGAAGCCCAGGCTATTTCTTGCTTCAAAGCAATCTCAGAATCATTCCGAACTATCTCATCTTCTGAATCCAAGTCAATCCATGAGCTAATTTTGCCTGGATAAGATACAAAAATGTAATAATCGAAGGAGTCACAAGGAAATGGATGATGCAAAAATGATAATTATCGCATATTTAACAAAGTTAGTTATAAAAAAATTGCAATTCAAAATTGGAACATTTACAATGAAGGCATTGTATATTCAAAAATCAAACCATTGGCATACACTAGAGTTTTGACTGTAATTACAAGTAACATAAAAAAATTATGTATGATACAGTGTGATATTGAACAACTATTATTTCACAACATTATCAAACCTGAGAGGATTATAGAACCCCAAAAGGTCAGTGATATCTTCTCAATATTGTATGAAGAAGTGAAATTCAGACTTTGTATTTATTTGTATAAAGTGGCTCCTCTTGAGGTTGAAACAACATTCTAATGCTTGCAGCAAAAGCTTTCACCATTTCATCAAGCAATTACTTGTAAAAAATGAAGACCTCGAACAATTTTTTATATACTTAAAAGTGAAGGTAATTAAAATTCTTTTGAATCAACATTATATCCAAACTCATTTCTCTACTTCTAATAGAGGGTATTACCATTTCTCTTGCATCTATCAATCTAACCAGTATGAAATATAATATAGTATACTAATATAGTGAAAATTGAAGATAACCAAAAATGGGAAAAACAAAAACATTTTATTCTTTTGGATCAATTTCTAAATCAAATAGGTGACACTGGGGCAAACATTTCCCATCAAAATAATGGCAAAAAGAAACAGTATAACTGGATAAATGCTTTTACAGTCTTATTAACGTAGCGGAAACAATAAAGAACAGGGTTAAACCCTTGAACTCACAAAGAACACACTCACAAGAGAGAAATTGAAATTATATTGATAATGATGATGTTTGTAGACTTACATCTCTTGCCTTTATATAGGCAAGTCAAAAATAAAAAATAAAAATAAAAAGAAAGTATGCGTGAAATAATATTAAAGGGGAAATTTGAGATTTGATGGAGTAGAATCCTCCTTAAATCTTGCAATGGAGAATAATATCTTCTATTGCTGGCAACTACACCAAATCTCCTTTTGACTTTTCCTTATTTATTTATTTATTTCCTTCTATTCTCCTTACCTTTTCAGCCTCCCTGATTTGCGATGATTCTTTTGACTTTTCCTTACCTTCTATTCTCCTTACCATTTCAGCCTCCCTGATTTGGGATGATCCTGTATGTTCAGATAATCGCGAGCGAGCTGTTCTACATCAGTCTCCCCTGCGTAAAAAGAACTCATTCTCGAGTTACCCGAATCTAGCGGATAATATTCATGTATGTCAGCCAAATTGAAGGTAGAAGAAATGGCCATGTCAGTAGGTAAATCAATCACATAGGCGTTGTCGTTGATTTTCTTTAGAATCTGGTACGGACCATATTTCTTGGCTTGCAGCTTGTTGTACGTTCCCACTGAAAACCTCTCTTTTCTTAGATACACCATCACCAAGTCCCCTTCTTCAAATACTCTTTTCCTTCGTCTCTTGTCAGCTGCGGCCTTGTATTTGGCGTAAGTTTCCTCTAGATGTTTCTTGACACTCTCCTGAATGGTCTTAATGTGCTCAGTCATTTTCTCTGCAGCGACACTCTTCCCCAGCAAATTCGGTAAGGATACCAAATCCAAAGCAACTTTTAGAGGACAACAATACACAACCGCAAACGGGGATTTGCTAATGGACCTGTTAATCATGCAATTGTAAGCAAATTCTGCCTGGGCAAGAGCAAGATCCCACTGTTTTGGTTTCTCTCCTGAAATACAGCGAATTAGATTTCCAAGGGTCCTATTCACCACCTCTGTTTGGCCATCAGTCTGGGGGTGACTGGTGCTACTGAAATTAAGAGAGGTATCGAATCTCTTCCATAAGTCCGCCAAAAGTGAGATAAAAACTTGGTGTAAACGAACCACCTCCTTAAAGAACAGATTGGCCATTTGGACTGCATCGTTCTTCTTGCATGCAATAAAATAGGACATCTTGGAGAATCGATCGACCACCACAAAAACAGAGTCTGCTCCTCGCTGTGTCCTCGGCAACCCTAGAACAAAATCCATGGATAAATCCTCCCATAGAGCATCTGGAACAGGCAGCGGTGTGTAAAGACCAGTATTTTGAGATTGGCCTTTATTAGTTTGGCAGATTGAGCACCGCCGCACATGGTTCTCCACGTCATGCTTGAGTTGTGGCCAATAATACCGTTCTTCTACCAGCTCTCGCGTCTTATCACACCCCAAATGTCCTCCTAATCCTCCTCCATGCAATTCACGAACCACTTGCTCCCGCAAAGAGCTCCGTGGAATACACAACTGATTGTCATTAAAGAGAAATCCTTCTTGCATGTGCAACCCTTTAAAGGATTGGCTCGTTTTACATGCTGCCCAGGCTTGGCCAAAATCTTCGTCAGCCTCATATAACTCATTCAGGCATTCGAACCCTGTGATTTCAGCCCTCATAGTTACTAAGAAAGCTGCTCTCCGACTTAGTGCATCTACAACTTTGTTCTGTTGGCCTGACTTGTGTTTTAGCGAGAAGGTGAATCGCTGGATATAAGCCGCCCATCGCGCGTGCATCCGATTGACACTGTTTTGATTGTTAATGGATTTCAGTGCTTGGTGATCTGTAAACAGCACAAACTCTCGCTGGATAAGATAATGCTCCCATGTATACAAAGCTTGCACCACCACATAGAATTCCAACTCATAGGTAATCCACTTCTTGCGTGCTTCACTCAGCTTCTCACTGTAAAACGCTACTGGCCTTCCTTCTTGTGATAGAACTGCCCCGATTCCCACTATTGAGGCATTACAATCTACCTGAAATAGCTTCTCAAAATCTGGAAGGACTAAGATTGGGGTTGTTGACAGTTTTTCCTTGATTAAGGCAAAACTTATCTCAGCTTCCCCTCCCCATTGGAATTTTCTATTATTCATGCATTCTGTGATGGGAGCCATAATACTACTGAAGTTCTTGATGAACCTTCGGTAGAACGTGGCTAAGCCATGGAAACTGCGTACTTCTCCCACATTCTTCGACGTAGGCCACCCCCGAATGGCCCTCACCTTCTACTCATCTACCTAAATGCCATCACTACAAACCACATAGCCGAGAAATACTAGGCTTGAGGTCACAAAGCTACACTTCTTCAGATTAATGAACAGTTTATTCTTCTGCAAAGCTGTTAATACCTCTCTCAAGTGCAAAAGGTGTTCTGCCTCTGTTTGACTATAAACCAGAATATCGTCGAAATAAACAACTACAAATCGACCAATAAATGGTTCGAGTACCTGATTAATCAACTGCATGAAAGTACTTGGTGCGTTGGATAATCCGAATGGCATGACTAACCACTCATACAATCCTTCTTTTGTTTTGAACGCCATTTTCCACTCATCCCCAGGGCGGATTCTGATCTGATGGTATCCACTCTTGAGGTCCACTTTGGTGAAGACTTTCGATCCCGCCAACATATCTAGCATATCATCCAACTGTGGAATGGGAAATCTGTACTTGACAGTGATTCTGTTAATTGCGCGACTATCAACGCACATTCTCTAACTGCCATCTTTCTTCGGTATTAGCAAGGCCGGAACAGCACATAGGCTCATGCTCTCCTAAATCAACCCTTTCCGTAGTAACTCTTCCACTTGCTCTTGTAAGATCTGACTCTCGTTGGGACTCATTCGGTAATGTGGTAGATTTGGCAGGCTCGCCCCGGGCACCAAGTCAATGTGGTGCTGAATGTCCCTCATGGGAGGGAGACTATCAGGTAAGTCTTCCGGCACCAACTCACTAAACTTCTGCAATAATGGTTGCACTATTGCTGGTACTATAAAAGGAGGTTGTTTAACTACTTCCCCATTGCACATAACAGCAAAGATTTCAGGGGCAGTTGTTACTTCGCCCATAAATTCCTCACTGTTGATCAACATAACTGAATTTCCTTTGGGAAATTCGGCTTCTTTCATCGGAACCAAAACAATCTTCTAACCATTCTTGTATAGAATATACACATCGACATCAAATTGCCATGGTCTGCCTAATATCATATGGCATGCATCCATGTCGACTACATCACAACGCACCTCCTCTGCATATGTTTTCCCAATTGAGAATGGAACGGTGCAGGTTTCAATTACTCGCGTTTCTGAGCCTTTCTTGATCAATCCAATTTTGTATGGATAGAGATGTTTCTCTGTTTTAAGCCCCAATTTTCGAACCATTATTAAGGAAACAATGTTCTCACTATTACCGCTATCAATAATAACATCACATACCTTATGGTTGACAGTGCAACGTGTACGGAACACATTATGATGCTACGGGTGCTCCTCTTTCTTTGGCGTGAACATCAACCTCCTCACGACTAAAGAGTGGGACAACAACTCGCCATTGTCTCCTTCAGTCACCTCTTCTTCTTCAAAGGTAAGGAACTCACCTTCCTCACCCTCGCCTTCCTCATGCTCGACCAGATTTACTATCGGTTGCTTGGGGCAATTGTTGGATTTATGGCTAGGATCTCCATATCGAAAACACTTGCCTATACTTGGGTGTGCATAGGGATTTTCTCTCACAACCGGAGCTCCCCTCCCAGCAGGGCCTATGGGTGCTGTGGGCTTGGCCTTTGTTGGACCATCTCCAATGCCTCGCCATGTCATTGGAACAGGGGCTATCGCGGTCTGTTTACCCAGGTCATGTGTAGGACGTTGGGTATTATATGAACCACGAGACCGAATCTTTTGACTTCCCCAGTAACGATTCTGCTCTCTCTACCGCTGTGACACCTCAGACAGTTTGAATAACGGTTGCAGCCCCACTTTCTCTTCAATATCCCATCGTAAACCGCCTTTGAAACAGGCCACCATGCTAAATTTGGGTTCCACCAGGTTGTTACAGAATGACAACCGATAAAATTCTTCAGCATATTCAACAATCGTTCTACTTCCCTGCGTGCAGATATTTTTGATAAAGAACCTGTTCGTAATCAGGGGCTAAAAATCAAGCTTTCATCAACTTCTTCATCTTAACCCATGTACGTACCAGATCCTTACCCTCACGTACACGGGTAGTTTGCACTTGATCCCACCATGCTGAATTGCTGATGCGTTCAACTTATAGGCCATGAGTTTGACTTGCTTCTCCTCCTGGATTTTCATATAGTCAAAGAAACGTTCAACTTCACTAATCCAATCCAAGAATTCTTCAATACGAAGATGACCTTGAAAGGTGGGTAGGTCAATCTTCATACAAAAATCGCTGGAATCATCAATTTCCCATCGACCTCGATTATCTCCAAACACCTGTACTGCTCGGTGGTTACCAAAACCGACATTTTCCTCATAGGCTGGTTACCTATTCGGTGGGTTTGGGTTACGATTACCAGCAGGATGTCCATGATCACTGTCCTTGGGCAGCCTGTTGTTCTCACGGTTAAGTTTTACCATTGTCAATCTTGCCAATACTTGACGCATAGTTTCATGCATATCAAGCAAGGTTCGATTAACGTTGGTCTGGAACTCAATAAACTCAGCCCTCAAAAAAGCTACTCCATCACGATCACCGTCGCTGGAGGCGTTGCTTCCATCTCGTGAACCGGCCATCGAAAACAAAGGCGAATCTTGGATTCGGAACCTTGCTCTGATACTAACTAACGTAGCAGAAACAATAAAGAACAAGATCAAACCCTTGAACTCACAAAGAACACACTCACAAGGGAGAAATTGAAATTATATTGATAATGATGATGTCTGTAGACTTACATCTCTTGCCTTTATATAGGCAAGTCAAAAATAAAAAGAAAGTATGCGTGAAATAATATTAAAGGGGAAATTTGAGATTTAATGTAATAGAATCCTCCTTAAATCTTGCAATGGAGAATAATATCTTCTATTACTGGCAACTACACCAAATCTCCTTTTGACTTTTCCTTATTTATTTATTTATTTCCTTCTATTCTCCTCACCTTTTCAGCCTCCCTGATTTGGGATGATCCTGTATGTTCAGATAATCATGAGCGAGCTGTTCTAGATCACTTATGTTATCGTAGAAAGTATGCTCAGTTCAAGGATAATTTTTTAAGGCCATATGGCTAACTATGCTTCGAATGCAAATTATATGTGGTATGAAATGATATGTTCAATAAGATAGTACAGCTGAAATGAGGATGTGACGATGGATAGGTATCAATGAATTAAGAGCAATCATGAGGAGCTGGAGGCAGTACAATTAAGGACGAGACAAAGAAAGTTGTCTAAGATAGCCCAATTATGTGAGAAGGACAAAGTGCATCAGCAAGAGTCACTTCATCCAAGTTTGAGGGGATATAATATAAGAGCAACATGAGATAGACCAAAGAGAACGTGGATTGAAGCAGTCATAAAAAAACTTAAAGACCTAAGGTTAATAAAGGATATTGTTTTTGCTATAGCGGAATGGCAGAGAATTTCTATAGCCAACACCAAGTATTTGGATAAAATTATCTACTGAGATAATTTCAGTCGCTTGCATGCCAAATAGTTATGTAAGATTTCCCCGAATTTCCATTCTTCATATTGTACAGGAACAAAATGCCATAAAAAAAGACACAAAATAAATGAAGAAATGGATACGGATTGAACTAGGTTAAGGAATGGGAGAGAAAAAATTATGCTAGTGATGTTGATCATGGAAGGTGACCTTGATACCTGCAATGTTTACCTTGAAGATGATGGCAATGATATAAGAACAAACACATTTCTCTCTTATGCAGCACTCTTTTAGTTCCCTTAAATGTCAATGAAGTTCCTTGCGCATATAAATATATAGAGCTTATACTAGAATTCTTCAAAATTATGTGTTTTAATTTAGTCTATGTTTGTTCCATTACGAAGCAATCCTATAAAATATTCTTTTATAAATATTCATTAACAAAATGAATCCCCTGAAATCCATGGAAGAGGTAAGCCTAAAAAACAACTACCATTTGGGTTTTGGTTCAACCATAAATCTGAGTACTCCTTTCCTTTAAAGCAGACTCATAAACGTCCCCTTTTTTCTTTGGTACACACCAATATGATGAAAGACTACAAGCTTTAGAGGAGCATCCAAAATCATGGAACAAATCGAGAAGCTTTGCCTCAAAAAGTTCTTAACAAGTACTAATTTCTAGGGTAATATGTGAATACAAGAAAAGAAGAAAAGAGGCGACTCTAATTAATGCAGAACACATTGCATATGGTTGTTTAAAGAATGGATATGCATATTTATGCATCGTGGTTTTTTAAAATGAAAATTCAACTGAATATAAAAACATAAATCTGCCTGATATAGTCTAGAAGGTAATAAAAAAGGCAAACATTAAATCACAAACAAACTCATCAAATGTACAAATGAAGAAATAAATAGAAAACAAAAAAAAAAATAGACTAAGGCTGACAACAAATAGACCACAAACACAACACAACCAAGAGTTTAGGAAGGACGTAGATACCAACAACATGAGTACTCCACTGTGACGGGCTCAACACTATGTCTGATCCAGCAAAAGGAAGAACACCAGATCTGCTTCTGTCATTATCCATCAAGCTAGGCCTATAATCAGGATTCATCTGTGTCGTGAAGTAAAAAGTAAGTACTATATGGTTCTTCAGTACCAATTAAAATTATGTGTTGCTTCTTTCAATCAAAATCTAAATTGCTTACAACCAAGTAAACATCAAAAATAAGTTGCCCTACTACAAACTTCGTTACAATAAGATAGATATTATTAACAATAAAAAAAATGAATGCTGAAACTATCAACATAGGTAGAAACCATCAAAGTAAGAGCTGAATCACAGGAAGCATACTAGATTTTTTTTATTATTTAAAAAAAAAAAAAAAGAAAAAAGATTACTTATAAGAAAAACATCACACATAAACTGTTCAATGAGCAACCAATCAGCTCAATATGATACAGAATTAAATATTATGATCATATTTAATCAAAAACACTATAACCAGAAAGCCAGGAATTAAGCTACTAACATTTTGATAGATGACGTACTTGTCATAGTGAAAGGTGAAGCCACTATTATAAAACATTGGCTCTATTTTTTAATTATTGTATTTCAAGTTTCAACAAAGGGTGTTAGTTAAAATTAATCTAACACCATTCGATTGTATGGGTAAATAAAAAGATTGCACTATGGCCGTGAAATGCAAGCAAAAATTACTCGTATGGTTCGTCCAATACTAACTCCCGAAAGAAGCCATGCAAACCCACACAAAGTGCAATTTTTCATCAATTTATCAACATCAAGAAAACCAAAAGAATTTGCATAATTTTGTTATGACGGGTTTTGAAGAGAGAAAAATTAAAGAAACAACTTCTAAGCCAAACAACTTAGATGTGGCCCATGTGTAATTTGTGCACTTGCAAAATAGAACAAATTTGGTTCCATAAGCAGTGAAATGCAACCAATTCAATATAGATGAGCCTACTACCAATCAGATATGTGCTAACCATTGACTGCTGTGTCATTGACTAACAAGTCACCAAAGAAAGCCAAAATTACTTGGGAAGCTCAAAATGACACTAATCCATGACCATTTTTTTGTTTTTTTTTTTTTTTGTTTTTTTTTTTTGCAGTCAAATGCAACATATGGCTCTCAATTTTATGTAATGAAGGAAACAAGAACAAGTATAACCCATTTTGTTTCCATAAATATAAATCATTAGATCAAGAACAGTTCAAATTTTAATCATAAAAAAAAAAACCTTTCACAATAAAAAAATTATTTTGCTCAATTTCAGTGTTAATCACCACCTCCGCTAAAAGCTTAAGTTGTTAGAGATGGTGTAACTTTAATATCTTAATTCTTCAATATGCCCCCTCACGTGTGGCCTTCTTTTGGTCCAACACGTGTCACGAATTTAAATATCAGGGTGACAGTGAGGTTTGAACAGAGGACCTTGCCTACTATGATCTATGATACTATGTTAACCACCATCTACTTAAGCTGTTACAGAGAGTGCTTGCTCTGATACAATGTTAACAACCATGTACTCTAAAAGCTTAAGCTGTTAGAGAGGGTGTAACTTAATATTTAAATCCTTCAACATTAAGCAACTAAGAGATGTGAAGAATGCAGTCCCTAGAAAGAAAGAAAAAAATGCATTTTTTCAACAAAAAATTGGGTACAGTTAGAAAACAAACAAATGTAGTCAATAGCCTATTTGTGAAACTGGAGTTTCAGTTCAACATAGATGACCATTGACACGCTGCTATAGGTGAGCTTACTGACCATTCACACACAAGGACAACATTCGGTTGATGTGTGACTGGCTAATTGGTCACCAAAATTCAAGTAAAACATGCATGCCAAAATAAAACATGCAAAGACATAAGTTTGAGCAAAGATGAAATATAGAAAATAAAGGTAAAACCACTAGGGTAACAACTGATAGTAATTACAAAAAGGAATGACTAAAATATAAAATTACACCTTCTATAATAATACAACACAAACCCCACCCAAATATTTCACTCTTTGATAACTTCTATTAATAATCTCTCTTTTTCCTTGTGGAAAAAGCACTCCCAGAATAATAACCAGTAGGATCAATAACTGTTGTAGTTCTGCACTATTTGGGTGGTCAAAGTAGCTAATGCAACAACTAAAAGAATCATCTTACTTCAAAGCAAAACGTTCGAAGTAGATTCCTCGCCCAAGGTGATGACTAAGAGTCAAATATTAATTGTATACATTGCTCAGGACTCAAGTATCAATGAGAACTTGAAAGTCTAGAACACTACACAGAATTTATTGCCAACTTAAACAAAGGAGGATTTGAGCTTGGAGGATATGAAATAAGGCAAATGTTGCTAGCATAACAGCAATTGCACTGCAGCATGTGAGTTGTTCAGTTTAAGAACTACTACATGGTTACTCAAGGATAGAATGCCTGATAATGATGCATCCAAGTAGAGTGACGAATTGTGAAAATTGGTGCCAACTGTAGAAAGGCAACAAATTTAAGATGATTGACACATGAAAAGACACCTATAGCAAATCCTCCTGTACGTACGAGTCAGTAAATTAAAGGCTCAAATGCTGTGAAATACAAACTATGCCGATTGTTTATAGCAAGTTTTCTAGGCAATTGATAAACACTGCTAATGTCACCATAAAGATTCAAATTTTCATTGCACAAACCTAGTAATGACAAATTACATTAGCTAATCTCCACTACAATGTAATATAATTAAGGAAACACAATAGAAATAATTGTTTTAACCAAAAAAGCATTACTTGTAAAAAATTTACATATGAAATGTAGTTAACAGCCTGTTAGTGAAACCAATAAGCCTTGTTTCACTGGAAGGAGCCATCAACACAGCAATGCTGTTGGTGAGCTTACTGACCATTCACATAGAAAATGACAGCCATTGGACTGATATGTGATTGGCTAATTAGTCACCGTAGACCGTCCAACAAACCAAACATGTGAAGCCACCGTGAAATGTGAAAATATATATTCACAAACAAATCCAATGAAGAGATTCATCGGACATGAGAAACTAACCAAAGGAGTGACAATGAAATCAAAGCCACCATTGATATTGACAACCAGAAGCTGAGGCATGTCATCATTGAACTCTGTCTCGACTCTATAAGTGCGAATCACTTTTATCGCCTGACCTTTCCCCAAGCGGCATTTTCAGAGACTTTAGAGAGAGACGCAAAGGAGTGAATGAAGACCTAGAGGGAGTCGGCTTTGACACTTCTACATATGTAGTGTGGGGTTTGGTAGGGTTTTTCCATCAAACTTACATGACCTGTCGGTGCTATAAATAGTCCAATTACAGTTGGCTAGGGTTTTCTTTTGGGGGCTTGAGGAGTTGGCTAGGGTTTTGGGTTGAGTTCAACCACCAACTAATGACGTTAACTTGGGTGGGTCAACCGTATTTAACATACACTAGACCCGATTTTTACATATAGTGATTCCGGGTTAGAAAGGTGAATCAACCTAAAGTCCCGACTTTTACATTATTAATATGTTTGCTTAATGTCTTAGAAACTAAAAATATAACAATCATGTAGGCAGTAGATGAAATTTTGATACAGATTATAAAAGTTGGGTTAAATTCATGACAATATTTTTGTAAAACTAAACTGATTGGAGACTTTTTACTCTTTGAATGGTTTGGTTAAAATGCAAGCATAAAACAAAGTCTCAAAAAATTCCTCAAATTTGGTTAGTGGATTTATAAATTGGAATGCACCCTCACACACAACCCAAGTTCAACCCCTTGGGTCTTGAATTAAATTTATAATCAACTTATTGAAAAGCTAATTGGCATCCAACAATATGAAGACAACTGTTACAGAATATGTTTGACCTAAACCATTCATTTGGCACTCCACTTTTTGCAACAGATTGTTCAATGGGTCAGATTTAGAAGGCGTTGATAAGTTTACGAACAGGCGTAGCATCCAAGAAGATGAAGCATCCAAGAAGATGAAGCGAACCCATCAAAAATATATTTATTTTTAGGGTAAATTCAGCTTATTTCTCCTTAGGTTTGTCAATATTCCACATAGATGCCCTCTACGTTTCATAATCCCACTTACCTTCATTGAGGTTGTGGTTTATGTAACAAATTTCCCCTGCCATTAGAGTACCTGATGGAGACAAACCTCGTGGGACGTAACTGGGATTATGAAAATTTTGCCATTCTGATGGAGACAACTTGGTAACGGTATCATGGAAGACCAATTTTGCCATTCTAATGCTTGAAATGACATCTCCAACTTCATACAATTCATGAGCAAAATGGAAAAATAACACAATACCGTTACCAAGTTGGATGGCAAAAGGGGAGGTAAATGGAATTATGAAACGTAAAGGAGGTTTATGTAGAATATAGACAAACCTTATGGAAGGTAAGTGGAATTTACTCTATTTTTTGTTATGACAAATAATTTTCACAATACAGTATGGAGGCTCAAAGCTTTAGAATATGTTTAATCCAAATTAATTCATATGAGACTAGAATGATTTTATCGGTTCCATTTCAATACAAGCATGACAGTAATTACACTATTCCAAGTAGAGTGACACAACGTGAAAATTGGTGCCAAATGTAGAAGGGCATCAAATTTAAGATGATTGATGTTTGAAAAGACCCCTATAGCAAATCCTCCTATACACTAAGTCGGCAAGTTAAAGGCTATAATGTTGTGAAATACTAACCACACTGATTGTTTATAGCAGGTTTTCTGGGCAAAACATTGATAATGTACAGTAAAAAATCAAATTTTCACTCAAACCTCTACTGCCAAATTACATTAGCTAATTCTCCACTACAATGTACATATAGTTACCGAAACACAATAGAAATAATTGTTCCAACCAAAAAAAAATTACTTGTAAGAAATTTAAATATGAAATGTGGTTAACAGCCTGTTAGTGAAACCAATAAGCTTTGTTTCACTATAAGGAGCCATCAACACAGCAATGCTTTTGGTGAGCTTAGAATATGACAGCCATTAGACTGATATGTGATTGGCTAATTAGTCACCGCAGACCGTACAACAAACCAAACCAAACATGTGAAGCCACTGTGAAATGTGAAAATATATGTACACAAACAAATCCAATGAACAGATCCATCGAAGATGAGAAACTAACCAAAGGAGCGACAACGAAATCGAAGCCACCATTGATATTGACAAACAGAAGCTGAGGCATGTCATCGTTGAACTCTGTCTCAACTCCACAATAGCGCGAATCGCTTTTATCGCCTGACCTTTCCCCAAGCGGCATTTTCAAGGACTTTAGAGAGAGAGACGCGAGTGAGGGAATGGAGACCTAGAGGGAGCCGGCTTTGACACCACTTGATATGTAGTGTGGGTTTTGGTAGGGTTTTTCCTTCAAACTTGTATGCCTGTCGGTGCTATAAATAGTCCAATTACAGTTTGCTAGGGTTTTCTTTTGGGGGGTGAGGAGTTGGCTAGGGTTTTGGCCTTTTTGGGTTGAGTTCGACCAACAACTGACGACGTTAAATTAAACCAAAAAAAACATACTGACGACGTTTATTAAACCAAAAAAAAAAAAAAAAACTGACGACGTTCACTTGGGTGGGTCAACCCTTTTTGACCTACACTAGACCCGACTTTTACAAATGTTTACTTCGGGTAACTAGCGGATATTAAAAAGGTGAATCAACCCGAAGTCCCGACTTTTACATTATTAATATATTTGCTCAAAACCCCATAAACTAAAAGGATAAATTGCACCGGCCTTTTTTAAAGTTTAAAAAAATTACACATAGATAGAGAACATTTGACCTTTATTATTCTGATCTCCCTTAAAAATGTGAAATATCTTTCATACCTTTGTCTCATTATTATAATAGTTTAATAGAAAATAATTTGTCAAGCAAAAGGACTCTTTACCCTTCTATTTTCCACTCATCTTGTTAACACTATAATACCCTACTTTTTTAAAAAAGAGAGACCTTATCAAACCCTAAAAGACGCCTTGTCAAATGTCATTAACAAAAGTTATTTTTGTAAAATTTAATAATATCAAAATTGTATGAAAATTGATACTTTGTATTTTATTAGTATTTCATGATATTTTTGTTATTTTGTGTCAAAACATAAAGTTAATGATGTCTTTTAACACAGAGTAAATGATAACTTAGTCATTTTTTAAAAATTTATTCACGGAAGGGAGATCTTTAAGCACGCGGCAAAACTTATGAGAAGTCAAAATAATAAAGCTCAGTTTGGTACAATGGAAATGGGGAAAAAGAAAATAAAGGTTGTGTTTGGTATAAAATGTTTGATGGAAAAGGGAGGGAATGGAGGGGTTTGGAAGGAAAAACTAAAGCGTGAAAATTAACTTTTGTTATCCTCCAAAAAAAAAAATGAGAAGAAATGGAAAGAAAGGAAAAGAAAAATAGTATTTTTAAGAAAATTTTATTAATACCAATTTTGCCCTTATATCTATAAGAGAATAAATTATATGAAAAATAGTGTGATTGTAAATTCATTACATTAGTTTCCTTCCTTTTATTTCTCAAATATGATTACTATCATTTCGTTTAATTTTTTTTCTTTTATTAATCAACCAAACACAACAAGTAACTAACATTATCCTCTCATTTTATTTCTTTTCTTTTCTTTTCTCTATCTTTTTTTCTTTTCCACTATCAAACGCTCTACTTATGTGTAATTTGCCAAAATCTCAAGAAAAGTGGGTGTAATTTACCCAAACTAAAAATAGAACAATCAAATTGGTAGTAGATGAAAATTTGATACAAATTATAAAAGTGGGGTTGAATTTATGACAATATTTTTGTAAAACTTGACTGATTATAGACTTTTTTTTACCTTTTGAATGATTTGGCTATGTTTGGTATGGTGGGAAAGGAAATAAATGATAATATTAGTTATGAAAGATAAGAAAGAGAAAAAAATGATAATTTTAACCTCCTGTCATGATTGATTAATGAAGAAAAAGGAAAGAAATGATTTTGAAAAAACAGAAGGAAAAGAAAAAAACAAGGAAATAAAACTATTGCAATAAATTTATTATTATATCCTATTATATTTTAAGCAATAAATTTATAGATTTAACTATCTAATATAAAAATAATATTTTTAGGGCAAATCATTTTAGCCTTCCCAATCGCCTCCGTCTCTATTCTCGTTCTCAACTCTAAACTTGCCCTCTCCATCTCTCTGCACCTGCAAACTACAAAATCTACATGAATCAGTAGTTCAAAACCCATATATTTCAGTTAATCTATTTGTCTCCAAGAATCAAAAGTTCAAAACCTATTACCTATATCAAAACCCATATCGGCATATCAATTCAAATTGTTCAAAAAATCAAACCATATCTTTCAGTTTCCATTGCCCGCTGTTCCAGTTCGGGTTCGCTGTTCGCAAGCTTCGGCTGCTGTGTCTCAACTCTCAAGCTTGCCCCCCTCTGTCTCTGCAACTGCTAACTTGTATGTATGGGAATTGTTTAAATTTTTTTTTTTTTCTAAATCAACTAATGTAATTCTATTTTTGCAAATTAAATCTTAAAATCAAGTGTAATCTTGATTTTGTGTAAGGGTAAATTTGACAACAGAAATAATACATCACCCTCACACGCAAAACCCATATTTAACCCAAAATGACCCGGTTCAAGTGCAAGCATAAACAGTCTCAAAAAATATGCTCAAATTTGGTCGGTGGGTTTGTAAATTGGAATGCACCCTCACACACAAAACCAATATTTAATCTGCACCCTCACGCGAAAAACCCATATTTAACCCTGTGGGTCTTGAATTAAATTTATAATCAATTTATTGAAAATCTAAATAACATTCAACACGATGAAGATAACTGTTAATGAATATGTTTGACCTAAACCATTCAATTGGCACTCTACTTTTTGCATCAATTCGATAAGAGTCAGAGGATTGGCACTCTACTTTTTGCATCAATTTGATGAGAGTCAGATTTAGAAGTAAGGTGTTGATAAGTTTTGCAATCAGTCATGGCATCCAAGAAGAGGAAGCAAAACTGTAAAAAATATATATTTATTTTTTAGGGTAAATTTTACTTATTTATCCTTAGATCTGTCAACATTCTACATAAATTTTTTTACTTTTTATAATCCCACTACCTCTAATGAAATTGTTGTGATTTATGTAATAGATTATCCCATGTCGTTAGGGTACATGATAAAGACAAAGCTCAAGAGAAAGATAAATGAGATTATGAAAATAAATGTGAGGTTTATTTTGCCCATCTAATAGGAAATTGAGGGGTTGTATACTTTGCCCATAGGGCCAATACCTCTTCCAAAATTACGTGGAGCCTAACCCGTCCCGAATAAGTTCAAACTGGACAAATTCGAATGGCATTCTGTACAGTAACGGACCCGACATTTCTCTCCCTCTCTCTGTTTTTTCGCGTTACCTGGACCTTCAGCTTGCACGGTCGTTCTTCGCCTGCGTTTTTTCTAAAGAGGAGTCAGAGACCCGAGGTATTATCCTTCGCTTCTCTCTCTATATATCTTCTTCTCGACCGATTGGGAATTACACACATATATGGAATTATATTGGCACAAATTTGCATACATACATGTGCAATAGAGTAATGCAAGTAGAGAAATTGTCATCTATACTCTCTTTTAATTTTCATCCACAATGCACACATGTATGGGCTTTATTGTTCGGTGTATTGTAAGTTTTAGGTTATCAAACATGAAAATGCAGGTTTGAGATTGAACTCTGAAGACGGTCACTTTATGCAAATCTCGCTAAAAGTTAGGTTTGTACCCAATTTCTCCCTCCTACATCATCAAATAATAGGCACCATATTAAATAGTGATCTTTAATGGCCTTATACTTCTTCAATAGTTTGCTTTCCATATGTTTTGGCAAGGGAAGTGTTCTATTTGAAACTGAAAGCCTCATATTATCATTATGGCTAGTGCTTCAGGATACACCTTATAGCAGAAAAATGTGAATTATCATCCTCTTTATCTTCTCAAATCCTTGTCACTTTAAGTTCCATAATCAAATATATCATCGCTCTTCTTGATATGAATCTTATTTCTTCCCTACGTAAAGGAATATGTAAGGTTATGGAAAAGGTTGCATCTTTGTTCTGATACCAAACAAATTTTGGCTCTTTCTTACAACCCTCCATGTAAAAGATCATGTAAGGTTCTGAAAAGAAGCATGATCTTTGTTCTGATGCCCAATTAATGCTGGACAAGTGTGAAAAAACACCATCCTATAAGTCATGGTGAAGAGAGGTTTGCAGAGGCTGTTAAGTCATTAGTTTTTGTGACTACAGGTTAGTGGATATATTAGGTCTGGTGGTTCGTGAAAGTTGTAGGAAAAAGGGTAAAATTTTGGCTCTAATTATCCAAGGAAAGAGGAAGTTCAGGGCATGTTTTAGATGATGTGGACAGTAATTTTTGATATTTTAGGTTCTTTTGGCTTGCTATGGTTCAAAGATTACAAGATGGAAGGTTTAGGCTAGTAGAAGGCTATTTTTAATTTTTATAATTGCTTTCAAAGGCCAATAAAAGCATGGGAATTTAATGAAAAGAAGGGAAAACAAAGTTAGGCATCAAATGTAGGTTTCATGGGCATCACATAAGAGTAATAGCCCTGACCAATTTCGCCGTCTGTCTTGCTTGCATGCCTATGCATGGCATGCTTGGTAATCACCCCTTTAGGGGTTGATGAATGGAAACCACCAGCCATTTCCCTTTCAAAGGATGCGACACGGCATCCATCTTTAGTTCCAAGGCATTTATTGGACAGTTAATTAAATGGGTCAAACTTTAGTGCAAACAGTCTGACTAGGTATAGACCTAACTTTTACATTGTTCATGACATATGTGATTGCCTTCATAGTTCATACATGAAGCCACATTCTCATGCAATGAGACCTAGATTTTTTTTCATATGCCTTGACCTTTTTTCTTTTTTTAACATGGTCTATAGTTGGCATTGGCTTACACAATGTTAAATTGCCCCGTCCCATAATTATAAATCCTGCTATCCAGATGAATATGATCCCAGCTTTCTAATTACCTAGTCTAACTTCTAAAAGACTATCAGTAAGCTTGTTGGCACCTTTTTTTGCTTTAACTTAAGCCTATGTATGGTCAAATTCTCCTTTCCCACTTTTGAGTAGCCAAATGTTTTTTTTTTTTTTGATAAATAAAATTTTATAAAAAATGCTCAAAAAGGGAGCGGATCCCAAGAGGAATACAAAAGACCACAAAGGGCCTCCAGCCTTCAAGGAGGCCAAAAAATCAACAATCTCCTCCAAAGATCTATGATCCCTCCTTGAAACCCAACAAAAAAGAGTGGAAAGAATCGAGAATTTAAGCACCGAACTCGACATTGCCTTCCCTTCAAAATATCTCCTATTCCTTTCAAGCCAAATACACCACCACACACAAAGCGGCGTAACCCTCCACGCATCCTGAATGTGAGTCCCCACAGGGCAACCTCTCCACGCCTCAATCAACCCTCTAGCGGATCCAGGCATAACCCCAAAAACCCTAAATAAGCCGATCATCAAATCCCAGCACTCTCTAGCCATAGAGCAATGAATGAAAAGGTGATCCACTGTTTCCTCATCACGAAGACACATATAACAACGATTGACCACCACCTGGCTTCTCTTTCTTAAGTTATCCTGGGTTAAGATCCTAACCAGAACCGAGGTGCACACAAAGAAAGCCACCTTGAGAGGAGCCTTAGAGTGCCAAACAGACTTCCAAGGAAAGCGAACTCCAGGATCAATCGAAAGACACCTGAAAAAAGACCTCACCTCAAAACGCCCCTGAGACTTTGCAACCCAAGACTAACAATCCGAATCCTCCACCATAATCCTCTGACGATACAACAACTCCAAGAAACGAATGGCCTCCTCGGTCTCCCAATCCTGAAACAAATGCCTGAATCGAACATCTCAAACTAGTCTCCCACTATCAAGGTGATAACAATTGACCACCATGGCCTGCCTATCCGAAGCAATCCTGTAAAGCTGAGGAAAAGTGAGAGGAACATCCCCACACCAAACATCCTCCCAAAAACAAATCCTCCTCCCATCCCTGAGTCAAACCGAATGTGTTTGGAAAAGTCATCCCATCCCTTTCGAATAAAATTCCAAACCCCCACCCCCCAAGGACCCCTCACTTATAGAGAACTCCACCCTCTTCTCATCTCCCCAAATCGACAAGCCACAACCCTCCTCCAAAGCCAGTGTCTCTCCACACCAAACCTCCACAACCATTTCCCAAGGAGGGCCTTATTAAAAGGCACCAATCTACGGAGACCCAACCAACCATTCCGAATTGGAAGTAGCCAAATGTTTTTTCATTGTATTTCTGTTTGCAAGGTGCAGTTCTCAAATTGAATTAACAAACATGTATCATCTATCCAATTAAGCTAAAAGCATCTCTTTTATTTGGAAATACATGATGGCCTATAATTTAATATGGCCACAGACAAAGTAGAATAGCAGAAAATATTGTAGTCAATCAAAAGTAATTGAGACAAGGATGAGCTAAGTGGTTTGATAACCTTTTTATGGGTTTTGGCTGCATCTTGTCATTTCATGATTAGATGCTAACAGTCTTATTTGATATCTATATTTTATTCCCATGTTTTGATAAAAGACCTTCTTGTGATGTTTTTAGTTGATGAGAAGAAGATTTTATATGTCTTCAGATTTAATATCCCTGTTACCATTCACGAAAGTATTCTTTATAATCTGTGATTGTGGTTCAGCAATATCACTAAAAACCATAACAAACTCTGCTTGGCATGATAGATTTGAGTCACGTGATATGTACGAAAACATCCTTATTTTATTAATTTATTTATTTGTTTTCCGTAAATAAAACATTATTACTTTGCGACATCTATTTTTTCAATAAAGTTTCTCCATTATTCTCATATGATGAAAGGTACGATGGCTTGGTGGGAAGGTTTTGATGAGACTCGTCTTCTTGTTGCACCCGGTAACTCCTTGATCTCTGTATATTATCTAGCTTAGCTTGGACATCATGCATTTGTTCCTTTTTGTTTTTTTTTTTTGTTTTTTCCTAAATTTTTATTGAAAGTGGGCCGTGTAGCATCCATGGCCACCTTTGGAGACTATATACTAAAATAAAACTCAAATATATATATGTGTGTTTGTGCGCGCGCATGTATATGTTAATATTCATTGAATTTAACTTTGGTATATTGACTTGATATTACCACTTGAATCCTGTATAATATACTTGTATGTATTGTTGTCATGCATATTTACTTATTTCAGTTTTGGTGGCATATGTTTTGGGTGATATTTGTCATTGGTTTTTGTTACTTTCAGAGAATAGAAATTATCGTACCAAATGACAAGGTCAGACAAAAATTTATGGTGAGATATCACATATTAACCAAACTGAGTGCATACATGCACAGATATAGGATGACTATTTCTTAACACATGCTATATCTCATTATATTGTGATCCAATCATGACATGAAGAACATATCCCATAATAATCTTAAAGAATAGAGCTTGAAATGGAATAATTACATCTCGTGCCCGGTTGTTGTAGAGGTGCTCAATGTCTTGATGGATGGAAAAAGCGTGCTTATCTCTTGAGGAAGGATCACTATTCTTCAGTCTTGTTTATCAACATCCAAGTTACTGTTTCTCTCACTTTAAAGTGCATGCATTTTTAATAAAATGGATCTGAAAGGACTTCTTGTTATCTGGGTAGGGAGTCAAGGGGAGATCATTTGGTAAACTAGGAGATTGTGTGTCGGCTTCCAAAGTAGGTGGGCTAGGATTGGGAAATCTAGTGTTTGTGTTGGTCAAATGGGTGTTTTAGTCATTTCTTGTAATAGATATTTTTGCTAAAAAAACTATCATAAAATGAGAGGTAAAAATGACATTTTGCACACAATTTAACGCTGTAATGAAGTTTTCACAAACTTATCATCTAACTGTGTAAACCTCAGGGGCGTCAGTGTAATTTACCCTAGACGTTATGTTGTGCAAGTACCTGTACTGCATCTGACAATTGCATGCTTTAGTCGCCTAGAATTAATGTCTACGAACGTTTCTGTCACTGTTGGGTTTCGATTTTGATTTCCAGTTACTTTTTGGAGAATCAAGAGAGTTTTTTTGTTACTTTTAATTTCATTCACAAAGAAACGGAAAAAGTTTGTTATTAATTCTTATATAAATATTTATTTAGTAAGTTTTATTATAATTATTATTTATTATTATTATATATATATTATATAAATATTAACTGCTACTGTTAGACTAACATTCTCTCATCTTCTTGTAGAACAACAATGCTTTCATCCAGCATCTTAGTATTACAACCAAGGGTTCTAGTGATCCACTGATCTATATCATTTGGACACTTCTAATTGATTGATATTGACATTCTTGGTTAGATTAGAACATGGATATTAGCATGAGATTTGGGGTTTGAATGCTTCTAGTGGAGATTACTAGAATTGAAGAGAGCAACATTGCCCTAATTCATTACAATTTTTTAGGCAAATTTTCTTATCTGTATCTTTGCTGCATGAATATTTTATAATGAGTTTAGTATCCTAGCATGATATGTTAATGGCTTAGATGAACGCATCTGTTCACTTTAGGATCTAAAAGAACAAAGTTAGGCATTATGATAGTTTGATAGTATTCCAGTGCCCTAATAGCATCTGCAATCTATGTACCAATCGAAATAAATTTTACATTTATAATATCAAAAACCAAGAACTTCAGTGTTTATTTCTCTCTTCTTTTATATTTTTTTTGGTCATAACATTTTCTTTCCGAAGGATGCTTCTCTTTAATAATAGCATTGATTTTGTTAAGCACTTTTTGTCACACAAGTAAATATTGACCTGTTATATTTTTTTGTTGATGCATTAATTTGAGTATATTCAAGTTTCTGCCTTATAGTTACAGATCCTAAAGCAAGCACAAATTGTTTGGGACGTTTGCTCTCACTTCGCCATCCCAAATCTGGTAATGTCAAAGAACTTCCACCCAAATTTTATTTAATTTGCATGTTATTAATTATGATTATTATTATTTTTAGTATACATTCTTATGACTCTTATTTATCTTAATTTTGTTAGCCATTGTATTATCATTTATACTTTACTTATATCCCGTAAGGTTTTTCACTTTTAGAATAAGTTTTTATCCATTCCTTTAGGAATATATTGCCAAGCGACTCCTATGGGTAAATAATATTATTGTATTTGGTGGTTCCCTTTTTATTGAACAAAAAGTAAATTTTATTCAGAACCTGATCTTGCTATAAGCTTTATGAATGCTAAGAATTTAGTATTGAACTTGCTTGGGCAATTTGGCATGTGCAAAGGTTTTAAAACCTTATATATTATTCACTTATGTGATAGGAGACCCGACCTGTTATCTCTTTGCTGATGGGAATCTTCACGAACTTCACTGGTTCAAGCAATCTTATGGGTCCTGGTTCTTGGGGGATTATGTTTGCGAAGGTAAACTTCAGATCAACATGGTCTCACAAAATATCACTTTTTCTACCTATTTTCGTTTATGTTTTTATTTATCATTATTTTTACAACAGATGGCCGCCTATATACAGCCACTCCTGTTGATCCTGTTTTCATTCTGTTGCCCATTTTTGAGGAAGCCCGGATGAAGGTACAATCATATTTGTTATTTTTTTCTTATGCTCTTCAAAGACCAATTGAGTCTATCTAAATTGATCATTTAGATTGAAAATGGAACATATATACATTCCACCTTCAGAACACTCGTAGCATTGTTCTCTTTACATGTTCTAAGTTGCTTGCAGAAGACTTCCATTCCAAACTTAGGAGGACAAATGTGCTATTACCTGGGCTAGCAGACCTATATATTTTCTTCTCTTTTTGTAGAAAATTTAAATATGTATTTGTCTTTTGAGATCTTTTGGTTTTAATATATATTTTTATGGAATGTAGAAGGGTGATGATCCAGGCAAGTTCAGGCAATTAGATGAGATAATTTTCATTAATGACTATCCCGGATATCAGCATTTATCATCCACAGCTGAAAAATCAATGCAAGTAGTTTGTGATTCTAAAGGTAATTTACTACCTGTATTATTATTCTGATGCATATCATAGTTTCGAGTACTTTAATATGTTATTCAAGATGTACTGTGTCATGAATGAGTTTTCATTTTTTGTCAGCAGATACTTAGTCTGCTGATATAATACATCTGAGGAATCATTACTTAGGGATTCACTCTGTATTTTTTTGTGGTATGCAGTCCTAGGTGTGTACTCAACTTTCAAATTACTCTGACTTGAAAGATATTCTAGGCTAAAGGTGTCAGATTTAAAGAATAATTATTTGCTCTTTTGTTATCACAACAGATAAAGATCACATTTGGTAATTTCACCCTAGGAAATTTTATGTGGGATTGTCACATATATAATATACGGCCTGACGCATCGCTATAATTGTCATGTTGAGAATTCTCTGAATTTTCACTCCATCTCACAGAAAAGTGGGTATTTAGAGTTATTTTCATATTATTAAATCATTTGTTGGTGATTTATTTTATTTTATTTTTAATACGCCATATACTGTTAATGTATTAGAAAATATAACTTTGCTTACCTTCTGGAAAATAAGTATAACTCTGCTTCTCTGTCTCTCTGCAGAAGTTGGATCCACAAAGTTTTTTAGGCTTAATGATTCAAAGGTTTTAGCTTGGTTGATCTATAAGGTCAGTCTCCATCTTTTTAGGACTCTGTATGAGGAATGAAGATTTGTTTAAAAAATGTTCGTCTTTTTCTAAATGAGATATTTAGACCTTTCACTAGACAACACCAAAGCATTCCGACATCTTGAGTATAATAAGGACTTACATTTGAGGAGCGTGTAGTTCTGTTAGCTAATCATCAGAACATCCATAACGGACTTTTTGGATATCTATTTAATGCTTTATGACCATGATTAGAACTTGTGCTGTCATCATATATATGCAATTTTTGTATTATCACATGTGGTGAGATCTAGTTTTCAACTTGTGACTGGTACCATTGAACATCTCATTTTTTTATACTCAAAGATCAACATCAAGTTTTAATGTTTTGCAATTGTAGGTATGCCAACTAAAGCGGACTCTACCAACTTTGGGCAAAAACTATGCTGCTCGAGATGAGAAGGATACATGTATGATTTTAAAGAAAATCAATATACATCCTTTTCTTTTTCCATATAAGGATGAATTAGTTGTCATCTGATGAAAATGTGTTCTTGGGATTCTTAAATAATTTTCATGAACTTTTTATCACTTATTATAATGAGTTTATAGCATTAGTAAATAATTTTAATGTCAAAAGGATCAATGGTCAACCTAGGTACCCACTTGATAGGCAGAACGAGACTCTATGGCTGGAAATCTGTGGCGAAGTAGCTTGCATCTATATACCCAGAACTAACTGGCTTCTGTCTACTCCTGGATAAACCGTACTTACGTGCTTATAGGAAGTAAATAAAGTAGAAACAGGAAAAATAAAGTAATTGGAAAAGCATACCTGTATATTCCTTTGGAAGGAGACGTTCACTCAAACCATGGATACATTCAAAGAGTCTCAAATAATGATAAGAACTTGTCAAGCTTTGATGAAAGTAGGCATAAATAAATTAATAATCCCAGTGTGTGCCTGGATGCCATTTATTAAGCAGCTAAACAATAAATTAAGAAGATATAATTAGGCATGCACAGATATGGAGGTAAAAGCTTTGTTAGGGTAGGATAAAGTTTTGCATATCCATTGAAGGAATGATGTTTTTTCAATTTCTATGCTTAAATCCTTTAGTTTATAAAGATTTATATTAAATTAAACAATTTTGGGATTCAAACTCTTGACCTCCTTCACAAAAATCCCCCAACCCACCCAAAAAGAAAGGAGAATTCATTGGATAATGGCCTTTCTATCTGTTGGTAAAGCCATTGTACAGTTTGTTTAATGAAACATGTTATTTGCATTTCCCAATTGGATGCCACAAACGATTGCTGCTAAAAGTCATAGGTGAGAAAAAATCTTGCTCATTACTAATTTATCTGTTCTAACGGCGCAGTAGCTGATGCTGTCTCAATATTGGGGGAGTACTTGAAGGATGAGCCTTGGTTGAAGGTCCTCTGCAGCAATCTAAAGTATTGCCTCAAATCATTTTTTTTTTTTTTTTAAATTATTCCATTTCTTATTATTGAACTTTAGATAGACAGCCCTTTTCTGGTAAGCAGTCCCCAACTTTTTTTTTTTATAAGAACAGATTATTATAATGCAATCAATTGTATAGTCTAGGAAAATAATGCAGACCCAAGAACTTATGTTCCAAGTGGTTTCCCTTTAAATGAGTTAACCAAGTCTACCATACTGATACATTTGCAGCTTAAATTTACAAGAGTTAGCTAAAGGGCCAGACAGTGAAATCCTTGCGACTGCAGTAGAAAGTAATCTTGCGTCTTTCAATCCTGTACAGGTATAAACATCCAGAATAAGTTTACTTCCTTGATTAAAAAAATAATAATAATAAAAAAATAAAAATTCACTCTACCACACAATTGGATGCGCGTCATTAACATGCAACGTGAAATGTCTATTTATTTCTGTTTGAGACGTTTCTATGAGAATTGTATGCATATATATATATATATATATATATATTGTTATGCTTTTTAACCTATTTAGGTGGACTACTTGTAATATTTACCCAATCTTCCTGTTTGGCTCTTGGTTGTGCCTGGCTTTTAGGTTGCTTTTACTGGGCAACATTATGTGCTTATTTAAGTGGATAAAGAAGTTGATAATTCAACTTGTATGGTTGTATTAATAATACATTACGTAGAACTATCCTTTGATTTGATCATGATCTTGTATGTTGAGTGTGTTTGTTGGGGAAGGGAGGGGATATGTGTAATGCAGCAACATATGGCATAATTGGCAATGGGGCAGTGTCCTTTAAATGCTAAGAGAGATGCACAAGGACTACCTAAGGATGCTATGTTTGAGATGTATGATCTCTTGTCATGTTTGGGTATATGATTTATTCTTCTTTCTGATTGAAATGTCTCATGTCCTTCACAAGGAAAAGATTAGCAGCGACAAGAAAACTACTAGGACTACAAGGCAAACTAAAAAGGCAAAAGTGGAGACGAATACCAGAAATATCAAAGATATGTTCTCCATGGCTTCAAGAAGGTGAAATGAACCTGTTTAACTTAATTAGAAAGGCCCTACAAATCGATTCATTGAATTGGATGATGCCTTCGTTCTATGTTATTTTTTGAATCGCATTGCCCGGGTGGTGAACTAACATGTTATTTGCCTTCATGAAAATGAATGTGTTGTACCATTATGTTGATTATTTTTAGATTGGTACTAGTGTTGCTCCATGAATCTCTACTAAACTCGGTTTTGGGGTTTAAATATTTGGATGAATGGTCATTTTTCTTGCAAATACTGATTATGGAAACAGTTGCAACGTGCTAGTTTGGGGGCAACCAGAATACCAGACTAGGCTTAAGTATTCCACAGAGAGGCTTTGAAAGATAAAGCTTCAAAATGAAACAAAACGTGCTTTACCTTCAAATATTTCACATTCCTACTTCCAAACGTATATGTAAACCGTTAAACTTTTGTAGTGTTACTTCCTTTAGTAGCCGTCTTCTTCATTGGTTTTTGAGGCTGTGAAATACTGTAGTCCAATAATGACCAAAAAACAAGTGTGTTAGACATGAATTCCTTTTTGAAATAATAAAAACAAATAATGTATGTTGATGCATTTTCTTTCTTCTGTATTAACCAGTGACGTGTTATTCTACACCAAATATATATCACTGTGTGTGTATATATATAGGTAACGAGGTTATTCTCAACGTATTTGATGTGTCTAGATGTTGTATCATACCTGCATTTTTTTGGAATCCTCCAAGACATTGGTGGTGTGATATGTTTTTATTTGTTGACACTGACTTATATTTTCTCCAGTCTTCAAGTGTTAGAGTGAGGTCATGAAGTTTACTATGTAGACATGCATTGTACCCACTACATTAAAATCTTTGCTGGGCTCACAAAATCCACTAAAGTAAGTTGTATCCAGAAACCTTATTTTTATTCCAATCCTTTGGAAGAAAGGATGGAACTTTATCTTGTTGAGCACGTCCTGCATTTCTGGGTAATTCCTTCTTGATTCGTACCAGAACTTACTAAAACTGATTGTTCTGTTGTTGTTTGATTTTACGTAGTTGAAACCTCCATTTGGTTTATTGTTCAAATCCAATGAGTTGCCCCGAAATTGGTCACACGCGATTTGGAAATCCCCATCTGGGTAAAATTGGGGAAATGGATCTTGAAACCACATTATATCGGCATCCTGGAGACAAGAACTTGAACAAAATAAAATGTTGTATATAATGCTTCAAAATAACTGAACAAGGGAAAAAAGATAGTACCGTGAAAATGAAGTTGTAACCGATTTGAAGAACTGAATGCAAAAAAGTAATCCTTCACATCATCTTCAAGGAGTCATGAAGTAGGCCTCGCCGGCTGAGAAGTCGACGCCTTTGGTGGCGGTGATGGAATAACAATGAGGGTGCAATGCTAAGCAACGAGAGTATGCCTTTTGGTCAAATGCTACAACCACAAAATGATTCAAAAGCCGTCGAGTTTGGTTCCCAATTCTGAAGATCGAATGTTGAATTAGGTGCCGCCCATGCTTCGTTTAGAGTAGTTATAATCACTGTTCTGTCCGGCATGGCTGCATTTTTCAGAACCTCCTCTAGGATTGTTACTGGTTTCTTATACTTCAAATGTAACCAAAGTAGGATTAGAACAGAGATAATGACTATATGATCCGACAATAGCATAAATCATATGGACAAAGTTATTTTTTATTATAAAATGTATGATTTTGTTGAAGTTACCAAAAAAAATTGCATTTACATGCACACATATAACATATACGCAAATATAATGAATCTACTTGATTATAAATACGGTAAAAGTGCAAAAAACATAAAACACTCTCCTAACATTAAAACAGTGCTAATGAGCTTGTGCTGAGATTCATTTTATTTTATTTTTCTCGGTTCTTTCTTGAATTAATATTTGATAATACGTATAAATATATGACAGAATTATTGATATGTTGCAGTAAGTATTACAGTGAATGCATGAGGAAAAAAAAAAGAAAAAGAAAGAGAAAGAGAGAACTTACATCAGATAAGAACAATTGCTTTTGAATGGAGATGGTGGACAAGAATTGGAAAGGATAGGATGAAAGGTATATAATGAGACAATAAACAGCTACCACCGTGAATAACAGAGATATTCGGTGGTGGTGGTGGTGGCCGCCGCCTGCTTCTAACAATTTCCCTTCTACGTTATTCCTTCCACGGCTGCCCCGGCCTGTATCCATCACCTCCTGCATATGATCTTTGAATTTCCTCTTCTTGTTAGTGTCTGGAATCCATATATATATATATATACATATATATAATATAATAAACATATAAACAAAGTGAACTTAATTAACTAATTACTTCTTTCATCAATATAGATCATATGTGTATATACTGTATAAATAGAGAGAGCAGCTTCCAATCCTGAAAATTTATATTTCAACTAGAGATGGAACAGTGGAAGGGACAGTGGGGCAAAATATTTGTTATTATTTATACGCGCGCGCACACACACACATACATATTATGTAGTTTAATATAGTTATATAACATTAATTAGTGCAAGAGTGTGGTGATGAAATTAGAGATTGCTCAACCAGAATGCCAATTTCTCAAAGCTCTCTCCTTAATATATTAGGCAACGTGAGACATAAGCACACGTGAATCACGTGATACAAATAGCTAAGTCCTTAAAAAAATATATTCTATGAGAAGAATAAATAGCAAATACTAACCGGAAATGAATTATTTTCACTTGGATGAAGTGGTCTCCTTGCTTAAAAAAATGAAGTAATCAAAACCTTAAAACGCAAGTGTTAAAGCTGAAATTAAAGACACGCATCACGGATGTGCGTGTGTATATATATATATATATATACTTTTGTCTTGATAGTTGATATATATCTAATAATGTATATTAATTGGGATTCTAGAAGGAGAAGACTTGAGACATATACAACCTAGGGTTTTATATACGAGTCTAAAACTCATTTCAATACAATTTTCTTGATTTAAAATTGTAAGGCACTTTACAATTTTATGGACTGTTTGCTGTTGTAAATTAGTAATTATTATTATTTTTTGTTTAAAATATATATTTCTACGAGAATTGTATGCAGTTCTTTTTTAATTATTACTTGATCGTCATTCTTTATCGTAGTTGACATTGTTTGGTCAATTGAGTCACATAATTTTTTTAAATGAGTACACCATTCTCATTATGTGTGACTTTTTGCCTCAACTTTTACTGTAAATGACTTAAATTTTATTAATGTGTCATTTGTCTAGAATAAAAATAAATGTGTTGTACCATATATAATGTTGATTAATTATTTGTAGATTGATATATATTAGCTGCTCTATGATACTCTACTCAACTCAGTTTGTGTGTGTGTGTGTGTGTGTGTGTGTGTGTGTGTGTGTGTGTGTGTGTGTACGTTTTAGCATACTTAGTTGGGGGTTCTACTTACCAAAAACAAAAAAATACTAGTTAGGGGTTCTGGCAACTCATTTATTTTATGTTGTCCCATTTATTTTTACTAGTTAATGATGTGGGAAAGAAGAGAAATCTCTAATTTCATCACCAGAATGCCAATTAAGTAGCTCTTTTTTGTATATATTTTTTTTCTATGAAAAAAAGAAAAAGAAAAGGGGAGTCAATGTAATGGAATATGTGATTTTTGCGTCTTTCAATCAAATACTCCATATATAGGAAATGTTATAGAGCAACTATATATTTCATACCAACTTAAGTTTTTGTGTGTGTGTATATTTTTTTGTGTGTGTATATTTTTTTAATAGAATATATTAAAAAAATATATTCTATGAGAAGAATAAATAGCAAATACTAACCGGAAATGAATTATTTTCACTTGGATGAAGCGGTCTCCTTGCTTAAAAAAATGAAGTAATCAAAACCTTAAAACGCAAGTGTTAAAAGCTGAAATTAAAGACACGCATCACGGATGTGTGTGTATATATATATATATATATGTACTTTTGTCTTGATAGTTGATATATATCTAATAATGTATATTAATTGGGATTCTAGAAGGAGAAGACTTGAGACATATACAACCTAGGGTTTTATATACGAGTCTAAAACTCATTTCAATACAATTTTCTTGATTTAAAATTGTAAGGCACTTTACAATTTTATGAACTGTTTGCTGTTGTAAATTAGTAATTATTATTATTTTTTGTTTAAAATATATATTTCTACGAGAATTGTATGCAGTTCCTTTTTAATTATTACTTGATCGTCATTCTTTATCGTAGTTGACATTGTTTGGTCAATTGAGTCACATAATTTTTTTAAATAAGTACACCATTCTCATTATGTGTGACTTTTTGCCTCAACTTTTACTGTAAATGACTTAAATTTTATTAATGTGTCATTTGTCTAGAATAAAAATAAATGTGTTGTACCATATATAATGTTGATTAATTATTTGTAGATTGATATATATTAGCTGCTCTATGATACTCTACTAAACTCAGTTTTTGTGTGTGTGTGTGTGTGTGTGTATACGTTTTAGCATACTTAGTTGGGGGTTCTACTTACCAAAAACAAAAAAATACTAGTTAGGGGTTCTGGCAACTCATTTATTTTATGTTGTCCATTTATTTTTACTAGTTAATGATGTGGGAAAGAAGAGAAATTTTCAAAAAAAGCAAAAAAAAAAAATATACACACACACAAAAACTTAAGTTGGTATGAAATATATAGTTGCTCTATAACATTTCCTATATATGGAGTATTTGATTGAAAGACGCAAAAATCACATATTCCATTACATTGACTCCCCTTTTCTTTTTCTTTTTTTCATAGAAAAAAAAAATATACAAAAAAGAGCTACTTAATTCAAGAGCTTCATAATCTGATGGAAGAACCTGCTGAAAATTGGTGGAGCTTCATCTAAGGACCTGTAACATGAATGAAGGTAAAATATGTGTTAAATGGCTTATATATACAAAAAACAAATACAAAAAATCAAACTCAATCTTCATCACTTGGTAAGATAAATTGTTACACAAAGTAGAAAAAATTTGAATTTTGCCTGTTTGTATACTTTTATTAACAAAAATACTTGACCATAATATAATACCACCATGATGGTGCATTATGTCTCTGTTTCTTTTACAACAAATATACGATACATAGTTTAAAAAATAAGAAAATAGAAAAAAATAAAACCAATACAAGGAACTAAAATTTACAAAAGCAAAGTAATAAAAATGAAATATCCATTGGCAACCAGACTATACTAAAGTTTTCTATGGAGGTTCTCTAAAGAAAGATAAATAAAGCAGCAAAATGAAACAAAACTTGCTTTACCTTCAAGCATTTCACCTTCCTACTTCCAAACGTAAACTGTTCTCTAACTTCCTTTAGGAGCTGTCTTCTTGATTTGTTTCGGAGGCCATGCAACACTGCGGTCCAATGACCAAAAAACAAAACAGTGTTAGACATTTTAAAACAAAACAAATAACATATGTTGATGCGTTTTCTTTCTCTGTATTAACCAGTGACATGTTCTTATACGCATACATATATATATATAGGATGTACAAATATAGGTATCGTATCTCGGGTATATTTTGAAAAAATTTGTGGGAGCTGGTCCAAAAGGATATTCAAATTTTTTTTGCGTAGCTTTCTGTACACGATATTGAAATGTAAATTACACACATCATTTAAAATCAAATGTTTTTGCATTATGTGAGAATAAAACCTAGGACCTCCGAATTTATGAAACATAGTTGATGTGTTCAGATGTTGACGGAATAATGACAAAGCATATAGTATATCGTACCTGCAATTTTGTGGAACCCTCCATGACATTGGCTGTGATGCGTTTTTATTTGTTGACAATGACATATATTTTTTCCAGTCTTCAAGTGCAAGAGCGAGGTCATGAAGTTTGCTTTCTAAACCAAAACAGCAATTTGCGTGCATTGTACACACTACATTAAAATCTTTGCTGGGCTCACAAAATCCACTAAACTGAGCTGTATTCAGAAACCTTATTTGTATTCCAATCCTTTGGAAGAAAGGATGAAACTTTATCCTGTTGAGCACATCCTGGTCATGCATTCCCGGGTAATTCCATTTCGATTCGTACCAAAACTTATAAAAACGGATCGTTCTGTTGTTTGATTTTACATAGTTGAAACCTCCATTTGGGTTATTGTTCAAATCGAATGAGTTGCCCCGAAATTGGTCACACGCGATCTGGAAATCCCCGTCTGGATAAAATCGGGGAAATGGATTTCGAAACCACATTATATCAGCATCCTGGAGGCGAGAATTTAAACAAAATAAAAGTATTTTACATAATTTTGAAACAGATTCTATAGGGAAAAAGAAAAGTTACATAACAAGCTAATATAAATTTGGTTCCCATTAGGGATCATACAATATATTCTTAATACAAAATCTAATTACAATAATATATTATCTCATAGTATTTGCGTGTGTATAATGGCCCAATGGGTCATCACCAAGTATCACAATCCTTGTTTTCATGGTATATAATAGACACACACACACACAAACATATATATATTTATATTGTGTATGTGTTTGGGGGGGGGGGGGGGGGCGGGGGAAGAGTACCGTGAAAACGAAGTCATAACCCATTTGAAGAACTGAGTGCAAGAACTTGATCCTTCTCCACATCATCTTCAAGTAGTCAGGGCTCATGAAAAACGCCTCACCGGCTGAAAAGTCGACGTTTTTGGTGGTGAGAGCATAACAATGAGGGTGCAAAGCTAAGCAACGAGAGTATGCCTGTTGGTCCAACGCTACAACCACCAAATGATTCAAAAGCCATCGAGTTTGGTTCCCGATTCTGAAGCTCTCCAAGAAGAGATCGAATGTTGAATTAGGCGCTGCCCATGCTTCATTTAGAGTAGTTAGAATCACTGTTCTGTTCGGCATGGCTGCATTTTGCAGAACCTCCTCTAGCGGTACTGATTTCTTATATTAGAACACAAATATTAATGACAAAATGGAATGTCACTTGTGACAATAGCATAAATCATATAGAAAATTATTTTCGATTATAGAATACATGAGGTTTTTTTTTTTTTTTTTTTTTTTCCGAACTGTAATGCATGAGTTTGTTGCAAGTACACAAACACATGCATTAACATGCAAACAAAAACAGGGACGACCTACCCTGAAATCGACCCGACCATCCTGAAATGTTTTGATTGCATGTCGAACTGTGATTGGCTATGTAATTATTTTTCCCTACCCTGGACCCTATGGGGGCGGAAGCCCCCACTGATTTTCTTTGAAATTTTCATTTTACACCTATGATTTTTTTTTTTTTTCTTAAATATTTTACACCTATGATTTTGTTAAACTCGCCCCTAATAAGTTTTGGGCCTTCAAACTCACTCACTCAAAATTTCGCACTCTCTAGGCCTCAACATAGTGATAGCCCTAGCCCGAGTCTCCGTCTCATAAACATCATAATTGTTGGCAACACAACCAATCCTTCGAGTTTGGTTCCTAATTTTGAAGCTCTCCAAGAAGAGATGAATGTTGAATTGGGTGCCACTGGGCCCCACCCATGCTTTGTTTAAAGTAGTTATAATAAATTAATCACTGTTATATCTCAGCCATGGCTGCATTTTTTTGTTGTACTTCAAAAGTAGGATTAGAACACAAAAATTAATGACACATTGAAATGTTACTCGTGACAATAGCACAAATCATACGGAAGGTTTTTTCAACTATAGAATGTATATAAAAGAGTATGAAAATATTGGAAGGAAGTACATTAAGCATGAATGGTATATTAAAGAGAAAAAAACAGAACTTACTAAGAACAATGGCTTTTGAATGGAGATGGGCAAGAACTGGAAAGGATCGGACGAACTGTAAAGAATGAGACATGAAACAGATACCATCGTGAATAACAGTGCAACCTTAGGAAATTGTGGGAGGTGGTGGTGGTGGTGGTGATGGTGGTGGTTGTGGTGGTGGCCGCAGCCTGCTTCTAACAATTTCCCTTCTACATTATTATTGCTTCCACGGCTGCCGCCTGTATCCATCACCTCCTCCTCCTATATACATAATATACATATATATATATATATATATATATAAACAAAGTCAGCTTAATTGCCTTCATTCCTACTCAATTAATTCCGATTACAGCAATAATTGCTATTATAATAAAAATGCTGATGTTTGAACATGTTTATACGCGATACTATTATAAGTCAGCATTATTGATTTTAAAAAATTACATTTCTTTTTAATCAGATATATATGATGGGTTATTGATGGCTGGTCATGAAGCATATTTACACACACACACAAATATATATATATATATATATATATATATAAAGAACGAAAAACCCAGAGATCCGGACGCAGAATGAAATAATCTTGGAAAAGAGAAAAGACTTATTGGCAAGAAAAATGTGAAAATTAAATATATTCTAAATAGCACTGACCGAAAATGAGTGATTTGAACTTTGATGAAGCCCTCTCCTTGCTGCATAAAAAAATAGAGTAATCAACCCTTAAAATGCAATTGAAGGATCAAGTGATAAACTGAAAAGATACGTAAAATAAAACTGAAAAGATTTGTGAAGTGATAAGCTGAAAAGTTACGTATGATGCATAATTTAAATTTAAATATATTCATAAATATATATATATATATATATATATATATATATATATATTGAATATGATTTTAATGATGATAAAAGAAAGGAAGCATTACCAGGATTGATCCCGCCTACACGAGGTCCTAGAAGGAGAAGACTTCAAAGAAATTCAACTTTAGGGTTTAGGAGAGTCGAATCATTTCAATATAATAAGTTTTTTTTCTTGATTTGAAATTGTAGGGTAGACGTTGAATTGTTTGGGAGATTTTTAGGGAAGCTACAGAGGATTAAAATCATTGAGAGATTTTAGGGGTAGTTACGGTTGAGGGAATTTTGGAGGAAGAAAATTAGGTTAGTTAGGAGATTTTTTTATTTTTTATTTTTATTTTCAAAATTAGGAGATTAGTAAGTTGATGATAGGGTTTTTAGGTGACCTATTGACACATGTAATGGTTAATAACCATCCTTTGATTTTTCGGGTTAGTGATCTAGCGGTATCAGCCTCTTATCTTCTAAAAAATATCTTTGAGAAAAAAAAAAAAAAATAGTCATCTTTCCTGTGTCACAAAGTAACCCTTTTTCGGACATAAAATTCGAGGCACAAAACCTTCCAACCTGAAAGATGGCATGGTTCATTCAGAGTAACTTCCTTTTTTTTTTTTTTTTTTTTTTTTTTTAATGCTTAGGAGGGAGTTAGATAATTGGAAGTTAGTGTGGGCTTTAGAGGAAAACACTACCACACCTAACATGCATCACACTTGCGTGTCAATTTTTACCTCACCAAACCAAAACTTAGCACAAGCCTGCACTTCACAGTTCACATCCGCTTTCTTTTCCCTTCCTTTTTGTTAAATCTTAGCATGCATCTCTCCCCTACAGAAACCGTAGAGAGCTTTGAGTCTGGCTGGCACTTCATCCACATTTTTTTTTTTAATTTTTTCCTTCCTTTGCTAAATCTTAGCATGCATCCCTCCCCGGTAGAAATTATAGAGGGCCGAATCCCTCTAACCCAACAATTATAACTTATACTACTATAACTTATCCGATGGGCACCGAAAGTGCACAAAATCCGATGGGAGAGGTTGGAGGCGTTTGAATACTTCCCTAATAAAAAATAAATAAATAATGTAGAGGCACATGTATACATGTATGAAAGGGTAGATTACAATCACACTTTTCATATTTTGTGTTAATTATTGGTAGATTGCTAGTTTGAAAAAATCTACACATACAGAAACACTCCTGATAAAATTATCCGTGAAATGAAATGTTTTGGCCTTCATCTTACAATAATTTTAAGTGACAAGTAACAACTTCCATTTACAACTTAGTTCTCAGAGAAGCAAAAACGAGGTTCGATTCTATAAATTTGTAGAATCAAATCCCAAATGACATAAATAAAATCTTCCATAAAAAGATAAGGTACCATACAAAAAGTGCAGCTGAGTAGTAGCACATAAATATAAAGTCGAAATGGATTAAAAATTCTGTTCCTGCAGACGATAGGTTGCAATGACCAATGATATACCCTTGTAGATCGAGATGCATCAATGATCATCACACATCACCCACCACCTGTATAAATTTCATAACCAAACATGAAAGGAATGCTTTATCATAACATGTCTACTAACAGTCACCAGTTTTACCCCTATTACTTTGCTCATTTGCAGTCATCACTAACCAACCACAACTATACCTTACCTCAAGTAAACCATGCTCCAATAAACTGTGAGAGTGGCCCAAGAACCCTATTGATATGCCAAGGACTTGTACACACTAAACAATGCCTCATCTAAGCAAGCACCCAATAATCACCTGTGCAGTTGACAATTTGCATATATGTCATGGATCAAAAATGCAAATTTTGATGGAAATTTCCTTGCCGATAACTAACACATAGAGAAATCATTAGTGGAAGATTATGAACAAATGAACCTAGCACTTACAGGTGAGAGCACGCTAAGAGAGACTCCAGCTACAAACATCTTCACTTTAGAATTCCTCGCATTCATTCTCTCTTCCGAATCCATGACTTAATTAGGTCACACACACCTAGCATGCATATGAGAAAATATGTTGTACATGTCTGATTGGACATGCACCTAAAACATATATTCAATAATACAAGTATGAATCCCTTTGAGGTCACCCCAGGGAATTTTCTCGGTAATTGCCCGGTACATATGGGAGGGAGATTGCATGTGCCCGTGGTGGATCATGGGGTGCTCTAAGAGGGTCCAACACCACCATCGACAAAAAAATAAAAAACATAAAAATAACAAAAATTTCAAGTACCGTACAATATCACATAAAACTCTCATAATATATAGCTTTTGTTTACCCTTCAAAAAAATATATATATATAGCTTTTGTGAACTACCTTGTTAAACAGCCTATATTGCATATATCATCATTTTACTATGAAAATAAAAATACAATATTGACAAAAAAGGAGGATGATATTTAGCAACCCTCTATCCTCTAGGAATTAGGTTCATGAAACATAGAGAATCTTGACTAGCTGTTTTTTGGTGAAAATTTAGCAATATACCCCATCTCCAAGGGCTGACAGGAATTGGCAAGGGTGACCCCTTCTGGGAAACTGATCAGCGATGGTTTTCTTTTTAGTTCATCCATATTTTCTTGACACAAAAGAAAGTGCGAATGCAAAAATTTGGATCCTTCGGCTCCTTGGGAAAAACTAGGGGAAAGAACATGGAGGTTGCATTTTCTTTGATCCTAAAGCATTGTGTTTGTCAGAACACAAAGACACCATAGTTGATACTCAATACTCAATCTTCTTATATAACAAAGTGAAGCACCATATTTGATACAGTACTCAAACTTCTTATATAACAAAGTGAATTGAGTAAATAATATATAAAACTTTAAAATCCCAGTTTTTGATTTTTTTATTTTCTAATTGTGTGCTACACCGAGATTGTCTCAAAGGCCAATAGAACATCTCATGCATGAATTCATCCACCACCACAACTATATGTCACCATAAACAACTATCCTAATCAAACCCACCAGTTCAGCTATACTTCATAGGGTAACAATTTCGAACTTGCATAAAATTGAACTGAGCAAATCATAAAATTAAGGTAAAGCAACTTGCCGGATTTTAAAAACCTAATTTTGTAGGAACTCCGTTCTCCCCTGCATTTCACTATCAGATACACTTACAGAATAAATTTCACAAACAAACAAGACTCAAATCATATCTAACTGAAAGCAGAAATCTAAAAAAAAAAAAAAAAAAAAACCCTCCACATTAGCTGTTTAGATTCATCACAAATCTGCTTTCTCTGTTGCAGAAACTCCACAACCCTTTTTGTATGTTACCAATATCATCAATTCCATCAGATGAAGATTACAAACTAGATAATACTAAAAATAAACAGAGACTAAAATTTCACAAGCAACCATATATGAATGTCTTGTTTAGCTCGTTTCTAATCCGAAATTCTCATATGATTGCCTACAACATCAATTTGGAAGGAATTTTCAATGTTACAAAGTCCAGAAAACACAAACCAAAATGGTGAAGCTATTCTTGTTAGCATAAATAACAGAGTTTTGGTTCACTTATCTTTAGTGGAAACTCCGTACTTCTCCTGGAGCTTGGTGATCTCCTCCTCCTTCTTCTTCTGGTCGAACTTCTTGCTCATCTTGGCCTGCTGGTAGTAGAGAACGATGAGGTACCTGTTGGCGACGTTGAAGCCTGAGAGGTGGTCGACGGCGGTCTTGGCGTCGTAGATGTCCTCGTAGACGACAAAGGCAGTTCCTCGAGTGTCCTTGTTAGTGCCGATTCGGATTTGCCTTATAGCACCGTACTTGCCGAAGATATCGTACATCTCTTCGCTCGAGATGTTGAACGGTAGGTTTCGAACGTACAACACTCGATTCACCTCCGGTGGAAGCCTCGCGTTGGCCTTTCTCAGGCTGATTGTCGCCATCTTTCTATCAGTTTCGATTTCGATCTGATGGATGATGGATCAGAAACTAGGGTTTTCAGTTAAGGTTGAGACTTGAGATTAGACAACGACGACACAGGTATATAAATATATTTGGGTCCACCGTCCACGTTGAAGTTAGAACCGGACTTGAATGGTTAGAAGGGGACGTAATTTTTCTAATCCTATTGACTACCCTTGGTTTTTCTTCACACTTCTATCATGGTTTGGATTAAGGGCAGCCGGCAGCGTCTTATTTGATTTTATATACTACCATATATTTTTTTTAATTTTATTGACACTTGAATCAGGCTTCATTAAGTTAATTTCTTCATTAACTCAAAACTATTTGATATATCCATCTATATCCTTACAAAAGTAACAAATAAAAATTAATTAGCTCCTAAACGCAACATTAATTTTTTCAAATTTCAAATTCAATACACTAAATTCTCTCCTATTCTAAATCCAATCATAACATGAGTCACAATTACATAATTTACGCTAGCAGATTACTGAAACAAAACAAAACAAAAACAAAGAATAGAATTTTGGAGTCGACATTCAGGCAAGGGACTAACGTAACATTTAGCTAGGGTGCCGTGGTGCATATGGATGTGTGTGAATATATGTAATAAACTGATACAACATTCACAATTCCACTGCCTCAACGGATCACATTTCTCCAGCAATATGATTTTATCTTTTTAATTCAAATGGAGAACCTGAATGTATATACATCATCCAAAATTTACAATTTTCCCTTTCTTGCCAGGGTTACTCCTGGACTAACTACTCAACCATATTTTTTTCATGAACTCGCACTCATACATCGCAGCATATAGAAGGAAAGGGTAAAAAGAATTATGGCTAAACTGTCAAAATCTGGGGATCTGACTCCTAATATACAATTCTGTACACATGGTGCGCTCCTAGGGCTCAACCGTTCAAGCTTTAATTAGGAACTAGCTCGAACTTCTTTCATAGTGAGTGATCCAAAACTTTGCCCGGATAAATCAGACAGCTACGATCAGCCATTTAGCTTAGCTAAGAACTGGTTCAGATTGTACTCTTCAGTGTACTGCGATTGATCCCAAAGCTCCTCAAGTCCACCGAGGATGGCCTTTAGTCCCTTCCCGCCACCCACAGATTTCGGGACTCCATCAAAGTCCGCATCAGAACCCTTCGATGCAGTAGAACCCTGAAACTCAGACATTTCATGATGAGGACAAGAAAAAAAATATCTGGAAGCATGCATCTCCACAACTTTAAAATAATTCAACGGCACGTTAACTAGATATTATCCAGTCAATTTCTTTGAATTCAACATTTTCTTAATGTTATATTATTCTAACTAGCATATAATGATCTAATGCAGCCTTGAAATGGATATGCCCAATAAGGTTTCAATTATTAAGGCCTCCAATATGTTGCATATGAAAATACATCTTCGCCTCACACAATCCAATTCTGGATGACAGACAAGTAGTTCACACCATTGGGTCATTTCACACACACGCAACATCAACTGAAGTTAGTAATACCTTTTTGCTTTCTGCTGATGTAAATAAATCAAGCAATTGATCTGTATTCATCGTTTTCAGACTAGCATTATCCGCATTAATAACAGCATTAGCAACTGACATTTTGAACTTTTGGAGGCTCATAACTTTCTCCTCCAGGGTTCCTCGCATTATAAGTCTATGAACATTCACAACTTTCCGCTGACCTAACCTATGTGCTCTGTCCATTGCCTGCATGTGGTGTAATTATTTGTTAGAAGGGTATAAACATTCAATCTGCCATCACGTTAACTTTTACAGTACAAAATGCCCAAAGGAATACCTTCACACACACACACCCACACACATGCATGCAGAGAGAGAGAGAGAGAGAGAGAGAGAGAGAGAGAGAACCAATTGATGAAATGTTAAGCAATATATGACGTTTACAAAACCTGCTAGAAATTTCAATGTCAATGGCATTTAGTCAAAAATATCAGACCCAACTTCTGAAACACCAATTCAAAGAGTGGGGTGATCAGAGAACTCTTTTAAGACCAAACAAAAAATTTGCAAGGCATGGTACATGCATGGTATGTACATAATGAAGCGGTCAAGTATAAAACACATATAGGTCCAGTGCACTGTCGTTCAAAGGATTTGAGTTACAGCGATGACACTACAAAATATTTAAAATATCAAAGCAACATGGCACCATTTTATACAGTCCATGAAGCTGAAGTCATTTCTGAGGATGCTTTTGCTTTCCAGACAAGTGAATCGGAAGTTTGTTCAGCAGTAATTAGCCAGTTCAAAGCAGTTCTTTAAAATCCATTTTCAGAAAAATATTGGCAGGTCACTACGGCTAAATCCTTAAAATACGCAACAGTTGAAACAGGCAGATCCATTGGTGCTCAATAGAAACTGAAGAATTTCTCATCACATTTAGTGGGACATATGGTTGAAAAATCACCACAAGCTCCACATAACAGGCATGAAGAACAAATAATCCCAGTTTAGCAAAAGTATTATGAAGAAAAACACAGCCTTTGATAGATCAATGTGGAGTATACAACTTACCCCACTCCGCCAAAAAAAAAAAAAGAAAAAAAAAAGGAATCATCTTTACCTGATGATCTCGCATCGGATTCCAGTCATGCTCCATGAATACAAGGGTGTCAGCTGATGTCAAGTTCAAACCAAGCCCACCAACTGCAAATGGTGACTATAAATGAGTAAAGGAAATCCTAACCCAAATCTGTACAGAACAAACAATAATACCATGTGTTGTAAGCAGCAGTGCATCAATAGTAGGGTCTGAATTGAAATTTTTCACGATATCAAAACGCTTTTCTGGTTCAACTGATCCATCCAGCCGCAAGTACGTGACACTGCATTTGAGAAAGCATAATACTATTAGAAAAAATTAATCGTGTCAATAAACGATGAGATCTTTTGAAACATTTTACAAAGATTTAACTTTAAAAAAACATAAAGTTGATCTTCGTTATAACACATTGAACTGTTACAACAGAAAATACAGGTGCAATTTAGACAATGTGCTCTTAGTGAAAGTCAAAACTCACTTCCCCCCTCCCTTCTGATAAAAGCTGCTTCTTCACCCAGCTAGTCTCTTTTCAGATATTTCTAAAACTCAATGACACATGATTTTATACATATATGCCACATCCAAGGGTGACCCTCCAGTAGACTAAGAGAAGAATATTCATCTTTCTACCCTGATTTGTGATTTTACCACAGATAAGATAACAGAAATAGAAGGCACAAGACAAAAGCAATTGAATCATATTCTCAAAGGAATTGGAGATAACATGTGTATGTTTCAGAATTTCAATCCTTCAATGGATACAGCCTATAAGGAATTGGAGATAACATGTGTATGTTTCAGAATTTCAATCCTTCAATGGATACAGCCTATAAGGAATTGGAGATAACATGTGTATGTTTCAGAATTTCAATCCTTCAATGGATACAGCCTATTACTAATCGTTGTTATGACTATTGACACACCCAAAAGATTTCGACTGTTTCAGTATATTTCTGACAACAAAAACATCATTTCAGTTGCAGAAATTAGAATTTTCAGATTCCTGCTCATGTTTCTTTGCATTTGGCCAAAAACAGGGAATTTTTTTTTTTTTTTTTTTTGTTTAGTGAATTTAACCATCACCTAGAATTGCTTTTCCATTAAGTTAAAGGAATAGAGAACTCACTTCTTCATATGCACCTGAAACAAGTCTTTTTCAATTATGTCCAGAAAGGCCTGCATAAGATGTCATAGTTAGTAATAGATATAAGAAAACACAAAAGACTGATTTATATGGAGATCTGTCAAACAAGGAATTAATATTACCTTATGCTGCGCAAATATAAGAACTCTATGCTGCCCAACACAAATGGAGCCTTCAAAGCTTGAGGCATCCACGCCTATTCCACATTCTTCCAGGATCTGCTGAAGAGCAACTAATTTAGGAGAATGGTGCAGCTTATGAAGTTCTGAATTTATGTCTGTATTGGCAGGGAGGTGTTCTGACAAATGGCATGTGAGTGAATCTGGAATCATTTCACCAGTGACAAGCAATGGATGGCTGCAAAGTTTTAGCAAGTATTGAAGTGCCTGAAACATAAAAAATAGGTCACATTAGGTAAATCAAACAAGAAAAACTTAAGAGCAAGTTGCTAAATTACCTGAAAAACACCAACATGCCAGTGGCCTAGTGGTACCAGACCCCTACTTCCCAAAGGGAGGTCAGGGGTTCAAGCCTCGGTGGAGGCATGTGTGTGTGAGTACCAACTAAGAAAAAAAAATTAAAAAATACCTGAAAAACATGTGAAGATGCTTTTGGTGAAGCACTATTTCCTTCTCCTGTATCCGCGTCATTTAGCTTTACCATACTTGATATTTCTTGCTTGACATGCGAACCAGAAAACTGTTCATAAAGTTTTAGCTGGACAGGACTTAGGTCACAGTATCTGTCCTGAATGATTTTTTCTGGCAGATCAGTCAAGACTTCATCTTTTGTTCGCCTGAGGAGGAAAGGCATGACCTATTGGATAAAAAAATTTAGATGCAACGGGAAATACAATAATTCTTATAGAACATTGGCCCCACCGTTTAAAATAAAATATTTAAAATCTACCTGCTTGTGCAAGGCTTCCATGGCAAGTGCACCCGCTTCAGCATCCTTGGCAGAACATTTGGAATCTCTAGCTGCCACCAATGGTTTTCCATAAGTGGCTTGGAACTGTGAAGTGGCACCAAATGAGTTGTCAATAGGTATATACTGTAATAGAAACACAAAATGAAACTAAAAGTGCCCAAGACTGACTGAATAATACAAGAGGACGGTGCGGACAGGTCTTGTCCATGATACACACGTTTATCAATTTATAACCCATCATCAAAACCAAAGCATATCAGTAAAATAGTGAAGAGCAATTTAAACAGCCTTTGAGGCTGAATCTATTTAATTAAGCAGGTAGACAGTGACACTCTTGCCGTGAATGACCTTGAAATTAGGTCACTGGTTGATCTCAATGAAGAAACAAGCGACCAAATCCTAATTAAATAATATTTTTGCAAGAATGCCATCTATTTCTTTTCTTTGAACACAAGGCACATGGTTTGTAAAGACCCATTATTCTTTTACTACAATGTCCGGACAAGTTATTATTATTACAATTTAATTAACAGAATTACCCTCTTTATATATATATATATATATATTGATAAGTTAGAATTACCCTCTTTATATTTAACTTCCAGATATGTGCCAACACCCAATCCTTTGGACACGTAAACACTCCATCCATGTCTCTGTATCCTGACCTAAGTTTCAAATTACCTTAGATTTTCACATACGGCAATAAAGCAACTAAGAAATTTCAGTTTTTGAAAGAAAAAGTACACACCATATACGACTAAAAATTAATTCCTGCAAGAAAAACGAATTCTTAATTTAAAAGGAATATTGAAAATTGAATACACCAAACATTATTTCACATTCGAATTCCTTTCAAAAAAAAAATTTCTGTCAAAGGGCTTCCCAATTGAAAGTCTTCTAGTCTTAGAAAGCTCCTGCAAACACTAGCTTCATGTTCTGTGGTGGAAAAAAGAAAAGAAAAGAAAGAAGTTCCATGCATTTTACTTTAAAAAGTGCACTTCAGTATGCAATTAGGGTATTAACTCCAAGTCTTACTATGAGATGTCTGCTAATTATGGTGAAGTTAATTTTCCCTCAATGTGGTGCCTTCTGTGGGTGATTTGTTTACTAACACAAAAATAGGCATATAATGTGTATCCATTTTTATAGACACATTTGATCAATAGTTAAATTATCATGCATCTTCTACATTTAAATGCCTGTATATTTCCTCTCGATGCAAATAGAAAGCCAAATCTAGATGGACAAGATCCATGACAAGATGTAAATAAAAAATGAAATGGGTAGATCCAAAGACCAAATAAAATCTATTTGGATGTACAAAGATCAAGTGGGTAGATCCAAAGATCAAAGAAAATCAATTTGGATGTACGAAGATCAATCACTTCTATTGTAAAAAATTAAAAAATCAATTAAAGCAAAATTGGAGAAAATAAAATCCATCACAAGATGTGCAAGACCCAAAACCAACAGCAACCAAGCCTTTTCCCAATTACTTGAGGTCAGCTACATGAATCCTATGTTTCCATTCCATTCTATTCAAGGCCATAGCCTCAGTCAATACACACATCCTATCATATCTTTCTTTACTAACTCTAGCCACGTTAACTTTGGTCTTCCTCTTCCCTTAGTATTACAGTCAATGTGGACTATGTCACTTGGTGACTAATATAAAAAAGGTGCCCACAACTAATATAATTTCTTATGGTCATTCGGATGTTATTTTAAGCCTCACAGCAGCCATATTTCCAATTATATCTAGAATTTACTTAAATATCCAAGTTTGAAAAACATAATACAGAAATTGATGGATGCAAAGTTCAAATCCACACTGATTTCAAATAAAGATTGACAGTGAGTTTGCATAAACAATAAAAAATTCCACAACCTTCCTGCCATATGATCTTCAAAAATGTCTTTCTTACTTTGTATTCTTAAAGCTTGCACGTGTATTTAAAGCTTAATAACACTTATCTTCTCCATAAAAAAGGTACTCAATTGAATAGCTTACAGAACAAGAATAGAGACCACATGAATTGGACATTCAATAAATTTTTTATTAAAAAAAAAGTAGGTATACCACATATAACAAACAGAAAAAACTCAGATGAAACAACGCATACTTGTTTCTCCGTTCCAAGAAATCCCGGCATCAGAAAGTCAAAAAGTGACCACAGATCCAAAACGTTGTTCTGTAATACGAGGCATAACACATGTCAGGCAAACTGTAAATTATTGTCAATTCTAACAGAATGCTTACACTAGCAACAAACCTGGATTGGTGTTCCACTCAGTACAAGGCGGTGCTGGGCCTTCAACCGTTTCACAGCACCTGTGATTTTAGACTTTGAGTTCTTGATGATATGCCCCTCATCTAAAATGCAATAGTTCCAAGAAAACTGTCCAAGAGAATCAATATCTTTGCGGACCACATCATATGATGTTATGATTACATTATAGTTATCAAATTGGCCTCGAAGTGCAATGCGCTCTTGAGCAGAACCAACATATTGTAGTGGAGATATTACAGATGCATCAATGAACTTCTCTATCTCATAGACCCAGTGACCGACAAGAGTTGATGGGCAAATAATTAATGATGATGGAGAATCCTCGCTATTTCTTGTGGCACGGCGCTCGGCTATGTCAGAGGCCACGATTGCAGATGCTTGAAGAGTTTTGCCAAGGCCCATATCATCACATAAGATTCCATGAAGGTTAAAACGCTTCAAAAAGGATAACCAGTTTATACCTTCCTGTTGATACCTATAAGCACCAAAGAAAACATTATAGCTTGCAAAAGAAAATAACAAGCCTCTAAATCAAAAAATACGTAAGTGAGGATGCCCAAATGAGGATTTGACCCAGGACAAGTCAGAAGTTTACAATTAAAATGAAAAAAAGTGAAATATTTATAAATAAAAAGGAAAAAGAAAAGAAAGCTCCCATAATGATATTGATATTCACAAAAGCCATTTGAAAAGAATCCAAATTGCAAAAAAGACTCAGTAAAGAGTGACAAAAAAAGTATCAGAATCTGTAAACCTTCATAGAATTCCTTTATTTGATGAAGATTGCCTAGACACCTCCAGAATTTACACCACTGGTTAACGTTTAATGAATGTAATTCTCAAATTCAAAAGTGCATCCTATCTTGTGAAAGAAAAGTTACAACCTACACGTAAGGATGGAAATTAAGAAGAAGTATTCAATAGCAAACTAAAAAGGTCACTTCACGAAGAATCCTACTACAAGCAACCTACAGGAAGGACTACTTCAAGCCTAGTAAACCAATTACTAAGAAGGTTGTTCAATAACTTAGTAGACCTTCTAGAAATAGATATTTAAAATGGTATATTCACCATACCCCGTGCCTTTTAAAAATTACAAGATAGGAAAGTATGATCCATAAACCAGCCCTCCTATGGCCTCTTTGGCTTAGGAGTTGGGCTTGTGTGGTCAACCCCTAGGTCTAGAGTTCAAGGATTGGTGGAGAGAAGAGAGAAAGTATGATCCCATAAGCCTCATTCCTAAATAGAATATCGATTTTGATTTTTCTTGGGCTATGCTGGCATGTTGGCTGCTCTTTCTATAGCATATGAAGATTGACTGTTTCACTATGTCAAGTAGCAACCATGGTGCAAACATAAGAAGTAGCTAGATGGATGGACTTATTTTGACGAGGACAAACACTAAAACCTTTTAGCACCCGCCCCCCATCCAAAAAAAAAAAATCTAATAACCATTTCAAAGTCAACCAAAAAATTTCTACCATATATTGCAGCTGCTAATAAGACTAACAAATAAATAAATAAAAAGAACTAAAAATCACATTTCACTGAAACTACACTTTTTCGATCACCAATCTACTAAACAAACTGAACATAACTTAAACCTGAGAGAGTTTTAACAGATAGGGAGTCCTAAATGGGAGGTAACTCAAAATGCAACTATAGAATCAAAACTTTTATAAGTTATGTGATGTGCGTCCTGTCATGGTAACATTGATCACAACACCGGTAAAAACACACTGTACAGATCAGATAGATTATATTAGCCGAATATATAAGAACTCTTGCTATGATATTATGATTTTTATAAACTGTAGTATGTCCATCCTTGTCAAGCAAATATATCAAGAACTCTTAGGCTGATATTACAATGTCTATAGAACTCTAACAAGTTCCTTTCCTGTTAATAATGGTTATTTAGATCGTTTCATAGTACCATGCAGAAGCTATCCAAGTGATGATCTTGAATCTTTATCATGAATGCCACACAGAGTGTAAAACACATGCACAAATAAACCTAAATTACAAATCTTCAGCTATGAAAACTACCTTCGCAGGGTCACTTTCAGTTCAATGGAGAGCTTGTAATCATCAATATGGGAGTTGTCAACTAGTTGCTCCAGAAATTGTGCATCTTCTTTATTTCTAGACAAACTTTCAGTTAGTCCAACAGGTGGGGTGAGGCCACGTGCTAATGGAAGAAGAGGTACGAGGGCAGCAAAACTATGTGTCACACTCTGTCTCACAGAATGATCACAATCACTCATACACCTCAGAAGAGGAACAACTAACAAAGGAGCATATGGGACCAGCTCAACACCCAATCCCTGAACAAGCAAACTGACAAGCATGCCAGCTCCTTGTCTAGCATCTACAGATGTCATGTTGCCTAACATAGGAACTACATTTTCAATTACAGCTGCCATCACATTCTCAGTCATTGATTTGGCCATTGATGTGATACACCTGGAAGCAGCTAATCTCACAGCAATATGGGAATGACGAACGCAATTGAAAATGCATGGGAGAAGTGTGAGCAGCTTTGGCCTCAACGCCACATCCAGCCTAGGAGCAATAGAACGTACGACCTGCCAATCAGATTTGATAAGAAAACTAAGGCAACAAGAAATAAATTTATGATCAGAATCAAAGGAAAGCACTAATAAAGGATATGAGTAAAGTTGGTCCCAACTGATTATTAAGTTAAAGACTATTACAAGATGGTATATCCATACATCTATTAATACAACCGCAGACAAATGCATACACAGTAATGCGCATACGCACGCATATATTGAGAGAGATTTCAATGGTAGTGCAACGAAGGGGAAAAACAAAACTAAAAAGGATTGAGATATAAAGGAAAGACAAGATGGCATGTATTCTGATGGAAGCCTTGTCCTCGTCAGATATTCTGATGGAAGCCTTGTCCTTGTCAGAGCATAATGACAAAAAAGGATTCATCTAGCTAAACTCTAATAGCTGGGACGAAGATTTGTTGAGTTAGAGTAAATTACTCTATATCCAAGTAATTTACAAACAGTAATATGGCAGTGAACTATACATGCAGCCTGGCTCTTATGGTACTAACCGTCTGCAAGTCCTAAAACATGCTTGCTGTCAAAAGATCAGGCATCAGATTAAATTTCATGCATCAAGTGCATAGTAGTATTTCTCATAAGTTTACCTTTCCTCATATCAAAGATACACACCCACCCCCAAATCAACAATAATGGAATGAATGTTAGAACTTAAAAATGCAAATCAAATCTGAAAACATCAATACTCACAAATATTCCCAACCTATCAGATAAAATAAATAAAAATAAGGCTCCTCTAAATGCTAAGAACCCGGTTGTCCACAACCCACTTTAAAGGATGAGCTCTCTTTTGATCAAGGGTTAAATAATCAAGACCGTTTTCTACGTGTGAAAAGAAAAAGGACAATAGCCAATATTGTTCCCATTAATTAAGAATGCTGGAAAGTAGATTGGGTCAAAGGACCTAATTGTTTTCCACATATGAAATCCAAATTATCTTATAATTCTCTGTTTCTAGTTCCAGCCTCGATAAGGAAACTAGAAAAGCTTCCGAGATACTTCCTACTGGGAGATATATAATATAAATTCAAAATAATTTGTAAAAAACGAAAAAATTGGTTGTTTATTTCCATGAAGCTCGGACGAATAACTTTGCAGGAGAGTAGAACCGTTTGAGACATTCTACTCCATAAGGCACTACAAGCATGAAAGGTGGACAACGTTGCAGCATTCTTTGGCATCTTTTATGATTTTCCTTCTTTTTTGTGTGTGCGCGCGCGCATTCTGTAAACTAATATAGATATGGAATTCTGAACAAAATATCTGAGAGTATTCTAACAAAAAACACCAAGTCCAAAAACAGCTCAAGAGACACGATCTCTTTTCCAAGGATTTAGAAAAATAAAAACAGAAAACTAGCAGGCAAAATTCCAAATGTCCTCAACATATAAATGTAAGCAGTATGTTCAAATTTAACTCCAGTACTGATCTATCATCCCAAAACTATGTTGTCCTAAACCATAAATTTTCAAAAAGATTCAAGTAATAGAAAAAGCTTCACCAAAAACCATGAAAACTAATAAAAAGACAATTTCAGAAACCAGTAACAATCAACTTACCGATCACAAGGTTCAACTTATAACCAAACCAACAAAAGAACACAAAAAATAAATGAGAATAGAATTGAGAAACAAATATTTTTCTTAAAACTAAAGTGATATGTTGCCAACAATAAATCTTAATACGGATATATTGCCAACTCTAATGGTAGATCATAAAAATGAAGCACTGTAATTACCTGGATATTATTTATCAAGATTTGAGGATCCTTAATTGATTCGATAACTTGGGTAATATGCTTTTCATCCTCCTGAGTCAGCCCTTCAACACCACAGGGCTTAAGGATTTCAGTAAGGCAATCCCAAAGCTTAGGAATCTTATCAAACAACAAAGCACAAAACTTCTCGCACAAATGCTTCAAAGCAAGTTCAGACCCTCGTCTGCTAATAAAGCCCTCAACCTTTGATCGGTCATCACCACTAGTTAGCACATGAACCTTTGACTTCTGTTTCCCAGTACTGCTCCCAAATGAGAGAAGATCTTGATCTTCAATTTTCTCTATGGAACTCAAGACACCAGCTTGAGGAGTCTCACAAGGATCCATGCATGTCAAACTACAAAGATTCTTAATTAGCTTGTCATTGGGACCAGGCCTACGCACAATGCAGTGACAAACAAGCTCTGCAAGTGCCTCAGCTGCCTTATTTTGCAGTATTTCCTCCTTAAAAAGAAATCCAAGATAAATTAAAATTATATGAATATAATCCTGTGTAATCATAATACTACATGCCTTTAAAAAAAACTACCTGCTCTCTTTTGATAGAAGCCATCAAAGGCAAAATAATTGGATTAAGTTTTGCAGGAAGCTCTGACATCCAGACAACGGCAGCAGCAACTAAAGCAGAGACAGTAACATGCAAATTACTCTGCAAATAAATAAAAAAAATAAAGAAGAGAAATGAAATGAGATAAACTGAAAAAATATAGAATCCATTTAACCATGCTGGGTTCAAAGAAGTACATATTAAATTACATAGAAGACCGTAAAGAACATAATTGACACTGCATGAATTGAGCAATACTTTACCAACATATGGAAACAAAAATACAAGAAAAGAAAAGAAAATGATATATTGTATAAAAGAAAAAAAAAAATCCAGTTTTCACTGATTTAAAAATATATATATATATATATATATATATATATATATATATGGATTCAGCCACTTGAAGCAGCATGTCAGGGTTGCAATATTACTCCTCCAACATACCTGAACACATTTTAAATAGCCAGCTGTTGTCAAAAGTCTCTGTTTTAAAGATTCAAGTTCATCAACAATATTCCTTCCCACAGATTCTTCTGCAGCAGTATCATTATTTAGCATTGGTAGTTTTGATGCAAAATTCATTGCATTATCCACACTCAAACTTTCCAGGTCAATATTGATAGTTGACAACAAATTGTTAAACAGGCCAGATGATTCAACAGCTCGAAACAACTGACTGGCCTCATTGCGCATCTTGGCGTATGTCCTTGAAAGTTCAGCATAAGGAAGACATGAATCTTTGGTAGGGAATGCGGGGTTAGTGCATGCTAACAAATCCAATAACCATTTCTTAAAATCAGAGGAAAAACCAGGCATAACACCATCGCTTCCAGAAATTTTCCTGCTTTTAATCTCTTTGAACCATGAAATGAGAACCAAAGAAGCCACCTGATACAAAAAAAAACAATCAATCCAAACGTGACCTGAGAGTGAGAGAGAGAATGCACTGTTGAATTTTCATTTACAATAAAAATGTACCCATTACCTGGCGCTGAACCCCAGATAAAGAGGTGACTGCCTTCCATAATGGATCAACTACATATTGCATAGATCCTTCATGCAACTTAGAAGCTAAAATTCCTAATGCTGTTGCCGTAACTACTCGTGTATGCGTTACTGACATTTCCATGTCAGCACCAACAATTATCTTAACAGGATTGGTGGAACCATCTCCATTCTTCTCTTGCAAAGTGCTAAATTTTGCAGAATCCAAGGCAATATTTCTGAAAGTGTCATTTTCAAGCTTCACAGCTCTCATCTTAGCCGCTGCTCTAAAATGACTTTTACGAGGAAGGGCAACAGGCCAAAACATTTTTGTTGCATCCAGGGGTGAACCAAATGGAGTACTTGTCAGCTCTATCCAAGAAGAAAAATTAGAATTTGCAGCAGCTTCCAAGTCTTCCACTGGGCACTAACATCAATTAAAAAGAATTTCACCAACCGAAAGCAGGAAAAGTAAGTGAATAAGAAACAATCAAAGACTTATTATGAACGGGCTCAACAAGATTCAGAAGCTTAAAAAGGCAGCAGACATAACAGAACTTTAGTGGTTAGAATGGCTCAACCATGAATACTTGCTGCTACTTGCGTTCATCTATGATCACATGCCCAAATGCTTATCCAAAACACACCAAAAAAAAATTGTTCTTGAAAATTCTATTAATCAAAATTGAAAAATAAAGGGCATAGAATAACTGCAGTTTCAACAGATGCCATGCATTGACAAACAAAAAAAAAACCTGAACAAGGATCCTCCAAACCCTCTCTGAACATTGCAAAATATCCTCATTCGACTCCAACAGCAGGTTCTGGAAAACGATCCTAATTGTGTCTCCCAAAATAAACGAAGGCCAAAAAGAACTAGTAGAGGAGTCCAAGATGTTCATTTTATATCTAGCTTCAAGCAACCGCTCCTGCAAATAAAATTCTCAGTAAATCAACATCAGGACACCATTACACACACACATTTAAACAAGAACCAGAGAAGAAAAAAGGAAAATAAATAAATATATATGCACAAGCATAAATAAAAAATCAGGAAAAGGACACAAGCAGTGATGGATAGGTGTGCAAAAAAACGAGGTGAAACAAATTCTCCTTCATATGCATTACGAGTTATATCAATTACTGGAAGTAAAAAAAGAAAAAGAAAAAGAAAGTGATATTGAAAATTGGATGCGCATGGTTTAGCAAGTTGAAATACATTTCTGCTAGGTCAAAATGTAAGGCCACAAAAGAAAACTCTACCAAGGTTCGAATAGCTGAATAACGAACTGATGTGATACTATGCCTCATGAATGGCCATAAACGTGGTGCCAATGTTGATAACATATAGGGATTTTCCTGAGAGCCTAGCCCTTCTCCAAGGTCATCCACCCGACCTATTTCATTAAGATCAAATTCCTGTTTTTCTTTTGATGTCAGTGCCCCAAACATCTGAATCATCTGTTCCTGAGAATATATTTCTGCCAACAGATTCATTACGCTGCAAAAAAAGTACACCAGTTAAAGAATATTCATAAATATCATATACATCATTACAAACTGCCAAAAAAGTCTTTAAATTTCAATAATTTACTCTGCAGATGACTGAAGTTTATGAAAAACCAATGCAACAAAAATGTACAAGAAAGAATTAGGGGAAAAAAAATATGAACAAGAAAGTCAAAGTCAAAAGCTTATTTTAGAGATCCTGAAACCCTTGCACATCTTTCATCTCAAGAAAGGTGTGCACAGTTCAGAATCAAAATGATTAGAATCTCTAAAGTACAACAATGAAATATACAATATAATGGAAGAGGAAAGGAAGAGCACAAACTATAAACAAAACTAGCCGTAAATTTCAATAAAATCATATGATTTTTCCTTTTGATGAATAAAATTATTATTCAAGGAAATATCCAAAATAAATAAACTTGCAAGGCATAATGAAAGTCAAATGCAGAAATCATAATCTAAGAGTCTGTGAAATCAACAAAGGACATTTATTTTCTGGAAAGAGTTTAGAATTTGTAAGAATCATTTATGTGACCTAAACTGTGAATTGAAAATTTCTTAAAAAAAGAAAAAGAAAAGATCAAGTGTTTGTTGCACGAAAATCTAAGAGAAAAAATGAAGCAAATAAGAATAAGATGAGAAGTAATAAAATTAAGTAGCAGGGAATAGAGAGAATAAGACACAGAAAGGCAGTTAGTAACCCAAGTAGAGCTCTAAATTGCAACTTCTTATATTATTTGCAAACTTTGTACAAAAATGTAGATACTTGGAAACCTAAAAGTTAACCGTAGCCACTAAATCAAAGTAACCCGAACCAGTAGCTAAAACCCAAGCTAAAAGACTATATATTAAATAACTGAAAATATTTAACAGCAAAACAGTATTATACTGCAATATCTTGAACAGCAATTTCCTACAAATACACCATCAGTTTATTCTATCATAACTTCGTATCTTTCCTTGCTTTAAAATTAGAATTTATGTACAAAATGTAACACATCATAGTCAAAATATAACATCTATTTACTTATCAAAAAATATATATATGACATCTATTTGCCCAAATAACTGCCAAGACTACCACTTTGATAATCATGTTTTATTTCATTTGAAGTCCATAACCCTTGCTTTGGGCTTCCAAAGCCAATTAGATTTGCTTAGCTGGTCTATTAACATGATAACTCATCAGCTATAATAGCGACCAACCAAGAAGAACATTAATGGTGTCAGCAATGATGGCAACTTCTTCTCCATAAATAGCTACTCATAATGGCTTCTCTCATAATTTCCACCCATCAATAGCACTAACAAAAGCAGAAGCAGATAAAAAAGAATAGGAAAGGAAACAATTAAGATGGCACAATGTTCAAAAGCATCTAGATTCACTCAGCATTGATACTCTAAGGACCACAAGTAGTTGGGAAAAGGCTTTGTTTGTTGTTGCATTGCTACTATAGGCAAATACCCAAACACTCGTACCTTTAAAATGCTCTCATCACGCTAAAAACAGAACATTTTATGTATGCATATGCCAAAACAAGGTCAGAAATTGACTAGGTTCGAAACTGCAAACAGCAATGTCCATGTCAGAGTTACAGCCTTATTTTTTCAAACGAAGGTTCTTAAAATTGGAGGACATTGCAAGTTCATAGCTACTGTAAAACCTTCACATCTGACTTCATGAACATGAATGCTAAGGTGCTAAAACCTACTCTAAAGTAATAATTAACAACAGCACTAAATAAAGTTGTCCAATGCATCATCATATGTTAGTGTTGTATTAGCACCCAAAAGAATCGAAAAGGAAAGGTTCTCGCACTACAAAGATCATAATAGGGCTTTAATTGTCAGGATTTAAGTAGACCAAACCCCACTTCAATTCACCAAGAAGAAGGTAAGTACTGTTCTATTGTTTCTTCTGAAGTGATATAGATCAATGCCTGGACTGGGTGGGCGATAGCACAGGGGAAACCTAAACACTAAGCTGAAACTAAAGAAAGATTCTAAAGAATAAAAAAGTTTAGAGCAACCAATATTCGAGTAAAATACGCAAAATGGAACTCTATGGGATGTGTAAAAAGAGGAAAGAATTGAGGAAAACATAAGGTAAAAAGTTAATATCTACAGCCAAGAGAGAATAAAAAATGCAAATTAGAATACCCATAAAAAAGAAAGATAAATTGAAAAAAGGGGGTTGCTCATAATATTGATATGAGATGTCTCCAGCACTTTTATGTGAAAATAAACCAATTTGAACTACACCGAAAGAAAACAAGAATATGAAATAAAAAGTCTAATCGGAGGATTCGAGATAGTCGGGCAGAGAGATAAAGGATATAATGAAACATATGCTTCAAGAGCAATTAAAGGTAAGAACAAATTTAGGACTAAGATGAGATATAGCAAACTAAGAAGAACGAGAACTATTAGATTATTAAGTCATGCGTTGGGAATTTAAAGTAGTTCGACTGAACTAGGTCCAGTAGTTTTTCCCTTCCTAGGGTTTTCCATGTAAAAAATCATGTCTCTATTTAATGCTTTATATTTGTCCGATTGCAATTGGGACACATGATTAAATAATTAACTGAAAATTGAATAATGAAAATTTGAATCGTAGTTGAGTATCCAAGAGACCTCAAGGTCTAACTGATGGTATTTAGTTTTTCAGGATGGTACAGATCTGGGTAGGAAAATGTGAAAAATAGCATGGTATTTAGTTTTTCAGGATGGTACAGATCTGGGTAGGAAAATGTGAAAAATAGCATTAACGTAGGCAGTCCCATAAATATTCCGTAAGGAATTTTTAGTTTCATTAAGCCAGTAAAGTTGTATTGTGCATGTGTTTATAATTGCATAATGTAAAGCAATTGAATACAACAATAAGAGGAAATAATGCACAAAAGTACCTGCTAGTGGAAGGACTTAAATCATCCAAGTCAAGCAAAATATCCCAGAGTATCATAACGATGGAATGCAACGTTTGACCGTTTAAAGAAACAATAGCAGTTGCAGCGGGTATCAAGGCATCTGCAGCAACTGCTCTCACATCATCATCAGGATCCTCCAGCCCAGCTTTACATGCAGGGATAACGCAGCCAAGCAAGTCATGAAGCATCTCCTGGAGCAAACAAAAGAACCATGGTAGCAATATTGGATGCAGTAGGAAGCAAAATGAAGAAATCATGTGTCTTTGGAAGGAAAAAGACATAAATAGAGTCATTTTATATCCAGGAAGGAGAAAAACACCACAGCAGAATAAAAACAAAATGAACACCAACTAGAAAATATCACTGTATTATTAATCACTTCTTACAATAAAATTAATCAACAACAGCAACAGACTAATAAAGCCCTTTCTTAACTACTTGGGGAGTAAATTAATAAAGCATTGTATAAATAAACGTGACAGAACTTTGAGAGAAGATTTTCAAACGGCCAAGTCAGGAACCCCAATCTTAAACAGCAAGGACTGTTGAAAACATATATTATCCCTTTCTGATCTGGCTCGGTACAAGTTGAAGGAAAGCAGTACTAAATAACTTCCCAAAATTTGGTCATTCAGAAAAGACATAGTAGTAAGAGAGGCTCATATGAGATACCGCATCTACATGGTACAGATTCACCACATATTTTTTAATCACACAAAAACTTGAATCAAATATTCTTGAAAAACTCGAAGGGACTTAATGAGTGGGATCTGTCTTCTTTTCCAATTTACCACAATCAACTAGATCTACAAATGTCGGACATCGCAAAGAACGAGATCATGGTAAAGGGAAAATGAAGAAAAGAAACCTGGAGTGTACAACTTATGTGGCCTAAGTACCAGTTTTGCATTTTAACTTGTAATGAAGAACCTTTTTTGGTAGAGCTGTTAAAAGAATGTTGGATGTGGAAGATAAAAAAGTGTTTGGAATGCAAGATCTAAAGCACTACTTGCAAACGCAATTCAAAAAGAACTGAATTTGAGCTTTAACTAAAAGCTTTACTATGCAAAAATAGAAAAGAAAAGAAAATAAGTGTTCACTTTTGTCATGTTTTGCCACCAAATACAGTTTAAATGAATTTTGAAACTAAAAGTGCTTCTAGCATATCCAACCACAACACCAAGCATCTTGTCGCGGGCAATGTTCTAAAACTCAACCGAGTCGGCTCAATTCAACTGAACATTTTCAGACTCGGCCAGCGTCAATTTCAAGATCTCAGCAAGATAACTGCTGTCTTGGCCTAACTTGGCCGAGACGACCGTAATTTTCGACTAGTTATAAAACCCCATTTTCAGCTTCCCTCTCAATTTTTCGAAATGTTGAGACCAAAATAGAGAGAAAACCAAACAGTGTTGAAAACCAATGTTATCAAAGGCCCAAGGTGCAAGATGTCCTTCAGAGCCTAGGCGCACAATTGAAAATTTAAATTACTATTAAAGCAAATTCATATTCCATGTTAAAGGCGCAAATGTTGTCAAACGCGCACCTGGGCACACAAAAGGCACAAGTGTTGCACCTGTATGAGCCTGGAGCCTAGGCGCGCCTTCGACAAAACCCCCCCCCCAAAACACACACAGCAAATTATAGATTTACAAATCAATGCAGAATCCCTAGATACTGCCACACAGAAACCCTAACAAAAGAAGAACAAGTAGTAGTAGATGCAGCCAAGATTGAGATCCTCCATGTTCTTCTCCATCTATTAAGGCTTCTTTCACAACCAATGAAATCCAAAAATCAGTATTGAAAAGACCTGTGTTAGAACATTTATGTGTATATATATATATATATATTTATGTTCGGTCATGTTGTAATTACGTATAGTTGGTAAGGTCATTATGTAATTAGCACATTCTTGTACTTGTATATAAGCTTCTTTTGTTTTAGGGTTAAGATGAGAAATATGAAATACAGATTGTGCAGCCCCCATCTCTCTCACTTATTCTTTCAGTTTCTACATGGTAAAAGAGCAACGGTTCAATTAGTGTCGTTGCCACCGCGAGTTGCATAATCAGTGGCTAGGGTGTGTACTAGCTTCGAGTGGCTGGTCCGTGTTGTCCGTTGCTGTCGCCAAGAGCAACAGAGTTGCAGAGTTGTGTTTGCCAGAATTTTTCGTCGACGACCTTCAAATTACGATCGCCAAGTAGTCTACAGAGACCAACAGTTCTGTGTAGCCCATCGACAACCCCTCTGTCGCTGTTGCCAGTTGTTGGTTCTGTAGTCGCTGTGTTTGACTGATTTTGTGGTCAGCGTCTACGTTTGGGGCTGATTGCTTGGTCGCTGGTTCTTTGCTATTGCCGAGAGAGAGTGGCAGAGGCCGCCGTGTCCTCACCGTCGTTGAGCCGCAGTTTGGTGACTGCAACTGTGAAGAAGAAGAAGAGTATTTGGCTGCAGGAGTTGGGTAGCCCAGACCCGGTTTACTAAAACCAGTTTTGCAGAGATCAGGTTCTGACTCAACACAGTTCTTTGGATCCGGACCGAATATTTGGATCCAACTAGAATCTTCTTGTGGATCTGATATACCCAGTTCCGAGCAGAATTTCTCTGCCTTCTCTTTGGGCCTGTGCATTCTGATTTCTCTTCTTGTTGTTCTCTGGACAGTAACTAAACCCAATCTGACATAATCTCAGGTTGAGTAAACGCCTCAAACAATGAAAAATGGCTGGATTGGGCTTGGACAGTTTTTCTAACCCAATCAAACGTCTCGAGCTGTAACCCTAATCTCACATCCCCACACCTACCCTCATCCCCAAAAGTAAGGAGGCAACATTTTTCCCGTGTTATGGGGGCATTTGCAAAAGTGTCTGAGCCATTAGGGCAGTCCTGTGATGTGATATAGTACCATCACAGCATGATAAGTACATCTATACACTAGGCCTTGTGTATTTTCTGAGGGATGCGTTCCCCTTTTGAACACTTCTTTATACAATCTTTACTTATCAAAAAAAAAAAAAGTACATCTATACATTTGCCATTAGGGAGCACATATTGTTGTTATGTCCTTTTGCATTAGCTAATGAAAGCATGGGATAGCAAGAGAGGTAGCATGTAGAAGACACGAGATTTGGCAGAAAGAATTACAAAATCAATTCTTCATAGATTATCTAATCTAATTTATGCCAAAGAGCAGTGTTGTTAAAGGCGTGCCTAGGCTCCAGGCTCATACAGGCGCAACACTTGTGCCTGTTGTGTGTCCAGGTGCGTCTTTCATATGGAATATGAATATGCTTTAATTGTAATTTAATTTTTCAATTGTGTGCCTTGCTTCACTCAGGCACGCACCTCACCTTGCTCCTAGGCTCCAAAGGACCTCTAGCACCTTTGTGCTCCTTGGGCCTTCGATAACACTGCCAAAGACCAATAATGATCGTCTCATTTGATAGCTGATTAAAAGTTTGAAGAGTACATCACAATTGAATAATTCGTCCATTATGGTTCATGAGAGCATCTTGAAGAGATAAAGACACTCCTAATACTGTCAAATTTCAGCATGTCACAATGTAGATTATTCCATCAATCTCAGATCTACTGGTCCATGATCATTGAAGGAATTAGGCTTGGTAAACAGCACCTAAAGTGGTATTAACCACTCATGCTAGAGCTTCCTATTAAATTCCATATTCAGCATTCCCACATAATTTTGTGCTGAAGGAATTAGGCACATACTCACAATCTTCTTTCAGAATCTCACTTTCAATGTGTGAGATGAACTTAAACAAGAAACAAAATCTAGCAGATTTACGATTAACACTAAAGATATAACATGAGACAAAGTTTTACCTGTCGCACAGCAACCAAATATTTGATACCCAAAAGACTCCCATGGCGAATTTCCCATTCTGGTCTACGCTGAAAGAAGAGGAAGGACTAAATAAAACAGATGTTACAATAAAAAAAAAATTAAAATACAGTATGATTTCTCGATTCACAAGCCTGTCTCCATAATATCATATTGAATGACTAGAAAAAGTTCTTACATGATGTTTACCTGCATTTGCAGCAAGATATTCAATGTCTCATGAACCAAAGTGGGATGCATGTACTTGAGCACAACACCTAAAGCTTGCGCACAGGTTTCTCTCACTGGAGCAACAACTTGATCAGATACATAGTCCCCAAAACTGCAAATAACAAAAATGGGGAAATTTGGAAATAAGGAACTCCAACAACAACATTCCGTCGTATCACCTTAATATTTATAAGTACATGAACACGAAAAGAAGTATGCATAATGCAATAAACTCAAAAACTTGGATCGACAGTAGAAAGTACTAAATTTAAGATAGCTGCAATTCCCAATAAATAAAAAAATCAATAAAAAGCTAGAGTTTACAATTAAAACCCAATGAGAAAGCAAAGCATACCGGTCTAGTGACAATACACACAAGAAACGAATTGCACACTCTTGAAGAAATTCACAATTTTTAAGCCAAGAGTGCCTAGCCAGTTTGACCAAGTTCATCAGCTCACAATTTTCAGGAATATTTTTCAGGACGTCAATATTTTCCATGGAACCCTTATATCCACAATTACCCTTTAGCTCTGCTACATCAACAGCTTCCTTATGCAAATGCCAAATTCCATCAGGAAAAGATTGAGGCTCCACCTTAACATGACCAACATTGGATTCGACAGTAGCCTGCCCAGCAGGCAAATTCCATCCCCTATCTTCAACATTTGTATGCATATCAAAGTTATGATCCTTGCTGGAGGAGATCACTGTACCCATCATTGTAGATGATGCATCTTCAAGCCTTGGCCTCTTAAAGTTTGGCTCAGACTCATCTGCAGGAACCTGCATATTCAAATCTATTTCTCTCTCTCTCTTTATTGTATTTGCATTAACTGCATCTTTTGATTCATAAAATGATGCACCATCACAGCTCAGATCAGGCATAAAGACCTCCGCACATGCACCTTGATGAGTTAAAATTTCTCGCAAAGCCATGACACTCCCATGGCGAACCTCCCAAACTGAGAACATATAGTCGTAGGAACCATCATTCAACAAGAAAAATACCAAAAGGTTCATATGTAGAAAATATACAAAAGCTTACCAGGATCAAACATATCAAGGATGAGTTGTTCAACAAAACTATGGAAAGGCCAACCCCCATCTCCCTCATAATAGGAGCTGTCTTCATCCAGAATAGAATCTGTAAATAGCTGCAGAAAGCAATAGCTTCAAAAGCTTACATCTAAAACTTCTTAAATTTGCATGAATTTTCCAATTAAGTTAAAACATGATGTAATTAAGGTATGATCTTTTGCATCTGAAAATAAAACAAATATATATAATCTACTTAGGGCAGAAGGCAGAAAAAAATATCAACCTAAATGGAGTGCCACCTAGGAAGATTGGAAAGGAACGAATGTGTGATTTTCCATGATATTACTTGCTATTTTACTTTACACCTTTCCCTCACCCAAAAAGGTTTTATACTAATATATAAATTGCAATCAGAAGGCAGAGAAACCAGTGAAAATTGCAGCCCTAAAAGTGACATAACAAGGACGTGTCCAAGTATCCAATAAAGGACACAAAGTGCCTCAAATTCCATTACAAATTGCATATGCATACAACACTCGATGCTCTAGGTTAACATACACTGTCCATAACAGGAGCAGAAAATCATCCCTTTTTATTAACTTAACTACACAAGACAAGAACAAAACACTATAACTACTATATAATTATATACATGCCCTAGCACCCTAAAATTTTAAATTACGGACAAAGACAATGATTAGTGGAAGCAGCATATCAAATAATCTACCAGCTCAATTCATCTAAATTTCCCAAATTGACCTACGCATACCAAATCCCATATGGCCCTAACTATAGAAAATTTGGGTTCAGATATTGTGGCTCGAGTTAGAGTAAGGTCGTTAGGATCAGGATTCTACTTAGGACTGATGAGGTGTCCATGGGATCGGAATCATAGAATTGGATAGAGAATCATAAGATTCTATAAAACTATTCGAAAAGTAACTAAAACTAACTTTCTAAATCAAATAGTTTCGATATAAGTAGAGAATAAGGCTAAATAACCAAATGAGACACTCTAGCAAAATCGATTGCTTGATTTCAACAAAAAATCAACATAACAATCGAGCAAAATCTCAGAAAATAAATTAATGTAAAGCCTACACAAATAGAAAAAGGGAACAGAGAAGTATAGAGAGAAAAGTACAATTTAGGTGCCTAGTTGTCTGAGCAATTTAGTCGAAAAGTTTACTTTTTGTTTTTTTAAAAAAAAAAAGGAACAGAATAGAGACAGAAACAACAACGGAAAAAGAAATGAAGTCTCTCTTTGTTTTTGTTTCAAATGGACAAAGAATAGGTGGAAAAATAGAGGAAATGTTTAAAGTTTTGAACCATACCTTTGAAAATAAGTGTTTGATCGTCTCTACATTTGACATCCAGTTATTTGGTTTTTGTTTTTTATTATTAATTTTTTAATGTAATTAGGCTAAAGAGTAGGACTTTATATTTAAAACGATTAAATTTATGAATCCAAAATTTATTGTAGGCCTAAATAAATTCGAAAGAAGAACAAAATAACACGATTTAGTAGAATCGGTAGAATCGTGCGATCCTGTGCGATTCTACGATCCTACTTCCGATTCTACAAATCCTACTGAGATTCTACTTCCTAGCGATTTTGGATGGGATCGAGATCGGGATCGGGATCGGTTTGGCAATTTGGGATCGTTTTACAATTTTAAGATCCAGAATTGGGATTTTAACAACTATGGTTAGAAGACATGACTGGACTAGAAAGTGTGCATGTTGTTCAATGTGGAATTGCGGGAAAGTGTATATTCACTATCAATTTTTGCATTTCTCCAATCGTATATGGTACCAATATGTTTACTGAGATAAACTTCATTTACCTACAATAAATTGAAGAAGACAAAATTATACAGAAAAATATCTTAATTCAATATATGTTGTTTGGTTACGTCACACATAACAAAACTAAGCCTCAATATCCACCCATCCATATAGAACAGCAGAAATGGCGGTACGGACAATATATATTTAGAAACATGGTAGTACAGGGAATCGAATTGAATATAATGAGGAGAAACAAATAACATCATAAAATATGTGAACTTTTCTGTGTTCAACATATAATTTATGAGGGAAAAAAAAAGAAAGAAAAAAAAAAATACTACTAGAAATGGTGGTACAGACAATATATAATTAAAAAAAAAAATCAAGACTTCATGGAATTTAACACAAAATGAAGCATCTAACTATATCATAATGCATAAACATTTCTATATTCCACATAACATTTAGAAGAAAATAAGTAAAACTCAGTAGCATATATAGATATTATATTTATTGCAAGTGTAGGACAGAAAATGGGTAGCATTGGAATCAGAGTGAAACAAAGAGCACTTTTGTTAATAAGCAAATTAAAGTATATAAAGAATTTCTCTCCTGAGAGAAAACCTTAAATACCTTAAAAATTATTTTCTAATATTAAGTATGATAGACAAGATATAAAAATCAATTTTTTCAAAAACTATCAGTAACAGTGAAAATTGTTTCTGTGTGTCTTGCAACATTGTGTATCACCTGTATCATATTGCAAAGTATTAAATAAGTTAAATACAGATATGGATCATAAGACGAAGTCAGGTTGTGATACACATGGGCAAAACATCACTTCATAATGCATAATGTTGTAAGTATCAAGTCACTTATCCTAAAACACTAAGCAGTGTTATTCTCTTGCTGAGTCCAGGTTGACCTCCCAACTGACCAAGCAATATAAATTGCAGCCTACTTAATCAGTAATCAAATCACAAAACAAACAAAATGGTTGTGATCATAACAGGAGATCTGGCTGGAACTTAATAGATACAACAGAATTGATACTAAATCTTGACCTAGTACACTTTAAGAAGGCCTCACTCAATAATTTATAATCTGCTCTTTTCAGCTACAGTACATCTAAAACTTTTATACAAGGTTACAAACATCAGTAACAGTAAAGATTCAAATTACGGAGCTATGCACATGTCCGAAGCTCAAACGTTTTTTTGCAGTTCACAACTTTAAGACGAAGATGTAATATTCCATTTCATGGCAAAAGTAAATGTACAAGATTTGAATAATGAGTTAGGTTCCTTCAGCCCAACAAAGAAGTATACCTCAAAATCATTTCTACAAGCAAGAAGCAAATGCAAAACACTGGCCGGGAGAGAAATACAAAACACGTAGCATGCACCAAGTAAAATATTTTTCTGGAAGCACCAACATATACTTAACCGTATACATACATATATACGTTAAAGATCTCCAGCAAAAGTAGCACATTAGATCTGAATTAGGTTGCATGGATGATATTCTAATACCTTGTTGGAGCTTGCTGAATCAGGACAAAAGCCCTTTGGTGATGGCGTATCTTGAGAAAAGGATACTTCTGCATCTCCATCCTTAGACCAACCTTTCCCTTGGTCCTTCGAATTAATTTTTGCTTTTCGTTTTAAAAGATTCAGTTCCCTAGCACTTGGTCTTCTAGATTTGAAACCAGGCACCATATTTGAGACATATTGCTTGATATTATGTACAGACTGTGACATATATAATTGATGGGCTATCCCATTCCCATGGGAATTAAATTTATGCACAACAAGGTCTTCATCTCTTATCATCTCATTGACATCCATGAACTGCTCACATACATCTAAACCTGTGTGTAGAAGTACATGTTAGTGTCAGAAGTACATGCAAATAACTTATACAGCTCAAGTTACGACATCCTATGGTATTTCACATGATACTGATGAACTGAAACGACAGAGGAATTGGATAAAAAGAAAATTTAACAGCTAAAAAATTAAAAAATATAAAAAATAAAATGTATATAACTTAAGTCACAAAACGAAAATTAAACTAAACATCACGAATATACAAGAGATCATTGACAATCTAGTTGACGGCAATAATCTATATAAAACTAAGCGGCTTTAGCTACCCTCAATTACTGGATTGGAAGACCAAATAAACAATAATAATGCCATCCACTTCCAGCAACCAGCTTGAACTAGAGGCCAGTTGTTCAAGAACTCCCTAACCCTCAAGCGAACAACAACTTCCAGAGTTTAAAGAAAACAACATCCAGCAATTTATAATTACCGATTGTATGTCTACCTGCGCCAAAAGCTGATTTTGACAATTATAGTCGCAACAAAAACAGTTATTAAATTATGGGCCATTGGTGATAAGACTTGAAACGGAGTGGGTTTGGCCCGCGATCCGACCCAGACCAAGCTGATCTGAAGTCCATTTTAGAGGGTTTGGATTTCAATTTTGAATCCAAATTCAAAATGGGTTGGATATGTATATTTCTTGGAATCCTGAAATGGATTGGTCTTTAACAGAGATTCAACACAAATTGAGTATATCTTGCTTTATTAGAATCCTGTTTGAATTATATGCTTCACATAATAATTGTGTCCAGAGGATCCTATATGGATCCTGACAATCAAATATGAATCTGGACCTGGATATAGTTTTTTGTAAACTATATGGTATTTAGCAGACAAGATATCCAGTCAACTATGTTGCTTTTACACCACAAAAATATATGGAATCCTCCTGTAACTCCTTTACCAACCAAGAGATATAAATTAATAAGGTAATATCTGTTTCGTGTCTATCCTTCCTCAATAAACCCTTCTCCTATTTGTCTTAATCTATTTGCCATTGAACTGGGATGAGGAACAGCAATACAGTAGCTTATCAGATGGATCATAAGGTCTAATAAAATATAAAAAGACACTCATCCAATACAACGCTTACTCCCTAGTGACATCAGACTGCTCACAAATTTTCCCCAACTAAAGTCGCCCATACTCCAATCTTACAGGAAAACCAAGGTCATTGGAAATTTCTTACCATATATCTCTATGGCAACCTCTACGTCAGCTCGGTTAAGACATCCAATACCTTCTCAAAACATGCTGTGTTATCACTAAAAGAATGCCTTAAAGAGACAAAAAGAAATGAAATAAAAAATGAATGATGTTGCACAACAAAAAAAAATTGTCATTAAATTCTAATATATATTGTCAAAACATACCAGGATCAACTTCTAGTGTCACGTCAATAAAATATTATAGTTCAGAAAAATTATAGATGCCATACATGCCTCATGTTCACAATCCCAAATAACCCATTGATGACCTTTTTTCCTTCTTTTTTTGGTAAGTCAGTCATTGGTGCCTTTTAGCTTCTAATCCTTCACTAAACTAGGTTCTAAATGAAGGTCAAGGTCACTTTGAGCTCAAGCAAGAGCCAGAGTGACTGGAAGTCTGGAACAACAGAAAAGTTTAGGAAATAAACAAGTTAGAACAAACTTAATACCAAGCCAAGCCCGGCTGATAATTAACCACTCAGATTCATTTGCATTCCCACATCTAAGAGTTGCGGGTATGACCATTATCATTTAAAACTAGACCTTTTCCAGTATTGCTGATTCTTCACATACTGACGAGATATGAATCATACCCATGAATAAACCAAGTTTAAAGATAGACAACATTTAGGAACGGTATCACTAATCCCTAATAAAGAAGTGGACGTACCCAATCGACGTCGAAGATTCTGTTTTTGGCGAGCCAATCGCTCCCTCGGATTCTTGGTGCTATCACTTCCAATATCATATTCCTGAATTAACAGAAATGTGAAAATTCAAACAATTAAGATATCCATATCATACAGAAATGAGACAATTCCATTGGAACTTGTAGTATGCATACTATGCAAGAATGCATCAATTTAAACCACTTCTAAACAGTATGTCAATTTAAACCAACCAACAACACCCGATACCAGTACACCACCACCCTCCTCCCCCCAACACCCACACACACACAAAAAAAAAAAAAAATTGTATATCGAAAGGAACCACGTAAGGTGAACCATAGCAACAAACTAAGCTCCTTTCAGTTATCTACATTTCTATCACTTCTTTAGATGTAAGGCTTGAAAGTCAATTTCATGTCCCCCCTATCTTATTTTCTCCTTCTCTTTTCTCTTCTCTTCTCTTCTCTCCTCTCCTCATTTTTCATTAATGAGAAGCTGGAAGACATAATGCTGGCTCCCATCTCATCTTCTCTATTCTCTTTCTTCTCTCTCCTGTATTCCTTTCTCTCCAGTAAAAAAATTTAAAATTAATAATAATAAGAGTATAGGTTATTTCCCAAACACATGTTTAAAGAGATTACTGTGGGAGCCAAGTAACATCATAAGTCCAGCAAATTGTGAGACCATCCACAAAACAGTAAGGAAACAGTGAGTAATGTTTAAGGCAATCTTCAAATACTTTGGCATAAGCACTGATCATCAAAATACAAAAATTCCAAAGCACAAATACAGACAATTTTCAGAAACAAGCACCTGTCCTTCAGATGCCAATAAAGCCCCAAAGTCCAACACCTTGTTAATATCAAAGCTGTTATAGGGAAGGAGAGCAGCTGTTAGTAAACAGAATAAAAAATAACTTTCCGGTCCACTTGTGCTTCTGAAATATATCAACTTCATTTATGAAAATACCAAACAGAATGCTTATGTAATCACATGCCAAAGATAAAAAGCTATCCGGTAAAAGATAAGGGTAAAATAAAAATACAAGATATGGAAACAACCTTCTAAATGAAACACCTGATACAATTTTAGGATGAAAGGCAGGGCCCGCCACCACATCTTCCACAGCACCAGAAATCCCAGCCTCTGCCATCTTTGTCTCAACGCAAGAATATAGTTCAGTCAAAGATGTGTGCTTAACGTTCTCAGCAATAGCACCAATGGCATGAGCAGCAGCAACCCTTGTATCCCAGTTTCTGCTACGGAGATATTGAGAAACCTAAATACATAAAATACTAGGTCATGTGAATGATAAAATATAACAAAAGATATAGGTCTAACCTCAAATAGTGCAAGCTAAATCAGTCCATGTTTTGTGTAACAGCAGGACTGAAGAATTAGAGCTTTAATTGGTGGCACAACATATATGGAATAAAACCAATTGCTTGAAGTAGCAGGTTCTTGCTAAAAGATCACAGAAATATATAACTGAAATTTACAACACAAAGATCCATCCAACAGAATGACAATAAAAAATACATCAGAAAAAATAGAATAAAGCAAGAATGATACTTAATGCAGAAATTCTTTTGAGGATATTGTGGACTTCTTGGGCTCTTTGAGTTCATAGGTTCCATTTTTGTGTATAGCTTGGGACACGTTCCCCTTTTGAACGCTTTCTAATACATTTTACTTATCAAAAAAAAAAAAAAAAAAAAAAAAAAGATAATTAATGCAGAAATCATCTAGAGCTAATAAATTCTTTGTAGCTAACCAAGTAGTTAATAAGACAGTGGTGAGTTAAGCTCTGTTGAAAAACGATTACCAAATATACAGACATACTTTAGGGGCATTTTAAACTATCAAATAGTCCACAATCTACAGTTGTCTGGTTCAGGAGTTCAATGTTTAAACATCAGTGTCCTTGGAATGAGTTCAACTCTCAAAAAATCCACTTTGTGAAATATAAAAGGTTACATCTACCTCAAGTCCTCCCTCCACAGGGCCACGTTGTAGCAAGACCAAAACCATATAATCTCCCTTAGTCTACAATCTACATTAAAAGAGGAGGAGAAGGAGTACCGTGAATGATCAAATGACAAACAATTTGCACAAGACCTCACAACAAGACTCAAGGATCCACTATTTAGTGTTCTCATGATTGGGAGACAAGTGAACTTCCCAATAAGATCAAAGAGAGAGACAAAAGATATAGACTTCCATGCGATCTCCATAAAAAAAATTCCAAGAATAACTAGCAATGGAACAGATATAGACGTCTCATAAAGTTGTCAAATGAAGGAGAGAGAGGGGGTGATTTTGGCGAAATTAAGGTAGTGTTTGGAGTAGCATCCCATGATCTCAAAACATTTTTATAGAACGAGGAAGTCCTTTCCAAGTAAAAGCAAGTGTTTGTTGAAGTTTTTGAAAAGGACTCTTTGACAAGTCCACCCCTTCAAAAACCCGTTCAGCAAAACTGAATAAGAGTTGCTTCCCGAAACGACTTCTTGAGCCAGACCTGTAAGATAAATACAATAATTACAATTTTCCCTATTTATTGTTGCTAGTTTGCCCAAACTAACCTTTTTATTTTTGGTTTGATTGCATCTCTTATCACTCTCTCAATACATTTTTCTCGTAAGTCCTGAAATTCTCTCTCTAAAAGCGGCTGTGGAGCCTCCACTTTCATACCTAACCCGACAAATTTCCACCACTATCAGCAGCTTCTTTGGCCACTGTCAATTCCCCTCCTCCACGAATTAGTGTATAGTAGAGATGCACGGCACAATAGCAATTAATCTTGATTGAGGCAAAGCTTTCGAAGGATGGAGCATCTGACTGCTTCAATGTAGCCATGGATTCACGATGGGAAGTTAAACTAAGGGTGTATCACCTGCAATAGCCAACTCGTCAGAATCCTGATTGCCAGAAGTCATGATCGAGATGCCAAAAGTGATGAGTACAATTTTGCAGGAAGAACAAAATAGGAATATGTTCGAGTGAATCCAATCCTTGGTGAGCTCAGATTGAAGGCCATCCCAGGGGTGTCATCTCAATCACAATTCATTTTCCTAAGCTTGCCGAAGTTTTCATGATCCTCTTGTACTATACAATCTGGCCTTTTCGATAGAGGTAAACTTCAAAAACTTTTGCCCTCTATTAGTAGAAGTCGTTGATTTATTGAACCATTGGAGTATTGGACTATATACGATGAATTCGATCAACAACCCTTTTGGTTCCAGGTCAACATGTAATCAATTTGAAATGATAGAGAGCCATGAACAGATTCGATGAGTGCAAATGTCTATCCATTGTTCCATTTTGGTGGTTAGACTAGTAGAGGTGGTCACATTCAACTTTCCTCCATTGATATTTTTGTATATTTTTGCATGCATGTTTTGGTGGTTATGATGTCTAAGGGCTGATATACGTAAACGTACATACAAAATCCATTTGATGCTAACTTCTGGTGGTGTAACCACTGCTCTGTCATTTTATATGAAAAGATAGAACTCGTGACTCTTGGAGAGTTACTCCGTTGTGCGTTTGATGGTGTCTATGGCTTGAAAGAAATAGGAGATCCTTTGAAGGAAAGGAAAATCATTTTGGGTCATTTAAGTTCTCCATTCTTTTTTTTTTTATAAGTAAACGTGGATATAAACGAAAAAAGCGTAACCTACCTAGAAGGTCCAAAAAATCTATGAAATCATCATTAGAAGAACAATAACTTCCCTTCACCCAACTTAAAATGGAGCGAAGAATAAAAAGTTTTAGAGTCGCCGAGGACGATTCCTTTCCTTCAAATAGTCTATTGCTCCGCTCTTTCCAAGTGCACCACCACACACAATATAGGACTGTCCTCCAAGAGTCTCAAGCAAGACCCCCCACATAGCATCCCCTCCATGCATTAATCAGGCCTCTTGAAGACCGTGGCATTACCCAATAAATACCGAATAACCCAAAGATCATGTTTCAACAGTCAGACACCACAACGCAGTGCATAAGGACATGATCCACAGACTCACCATCATTTTTGTATAGGCAACACCAGTTAACAATAATATTGCCTGTCCTCCTCAGATTGTCCAGCGTCAAAATCTTACCCCAAACGGTTGTCCATACAAAGAATGCCACTCTAAGGAAAGCCTTAGAGCGCCATACTGTCTTCCAAGGGAAATCAAAACTAGCAAAGTTGGAGAGGCACAAGAACATGGACCGGACATCGAATCTACCATGAGGAGATGGAACCCACAAGAGAGCATCATGACCTCTGCCAATTGCGTACTGCTGATACAACAAATCCAATAAGACACAAACCTCCTCCATCTCCCAATCCTGGAAAAAGCGCATAAAACGCACATCCCACGTAATCCCATTGCTATCAATTCTTAGCACTCTTTTTTGTGGGTCCTAGGGAGAAATTGTAAATCCTTGGATAAGCTTGTAGAGTTTTTGGATTTGTTGATGGTTTAAAGGCCCTATTTGGCCTTGTGTTGCTTTTGAGGGATGCATTCCCCTTTGAACACTTTTAATAACTTCTTACTTACCAAAAAAATATATATACACACTGATCTATAATTTAAAATGCGGCTCTGATTCAAATTATGTTACTGTCTCAGTTTTCATGTCTTATAACATTGAGTTAAAAGAATGTTGGTATTGTGGGTTTGAATGCCTTATAAAGATGGAGGGTAAGATTGTCAATTTAAGTCATTTTTAGTTGAAAATTTTTTAAACAATGCATTCACCAAACACCTTTTCTTTATGGGTTAATTTCACTGACACCTTTTTAGGTTTGGCCAAATATCACATTGCAACACCTTTCAAAAATTAATATCACTAAGGTCTAATTTTACTTTTCCATCACTGACACCGTTAAAAACGTACAAAAAGACAACTTTGCCCCTAATTTTTTACTCTCATTTATTTCAAGATATCATGTAACTTAAATGGCCATTTTACCCCTCGTTTATACTCCCATGTACCACATTCCTCTATCTCTCTTCTTTCTCTCTCTTAACAATTATGCTAAAGCGATACACTCCACCATAGACGATGATTCCATCCCCATCGACAGCTCTTATTACAAACTCACAGCTCCAAATCACTCCCCATAAAGCACAACCTCGGATTATTTCCATATATTCATATAGTCTTGGAACAGCTTGACGTCCGTGTAGAAGAGGTCACCCTTGGTGATGTGGATGGTCTTAGAAACAGCTTGACGACTACAGTTAGAAAAGTTATAGAAGTGGAGGCTGGCGGAGATGTCAGATCTGATGACGGCGACGGCCAGCCAAGACGCAACGGATGGAGGTTATTATCCTGGATGTGTGTGCGGATTGTACCAGTGTAACTCAGATTCCAATCGTAGACGGTGATCTGACCTTTGTGCCCCGCCCAAACCGATCAGTCTTTGTCGCCGGCAGTGAACATGGAGACGATTCCGTCGAAGGCGGGCTTGATGGTCACAACTAATGAGCCATCAATGCCCGTGAGCTGACACGGCAACATCGCCGATTTGATCTGTCACTCGATACCGTAGTAGGAGGCTACCTCGACGAGTTCTGGTTCACTGTTACCAAAGAAATTGCAAACAAGTCCTCATATACGCGTGTGTGTGTGTGTGTGTGTGTGTGTGAGTGTGTATGTATATATATATATATATATATATATATATTTTTTTTTTCAAAGGTTCACCAAAACAATTTCAGAGGTCGTTATAGGGCTTGGAGTTGGGGTATATATATACACGCGCGCGCGCATGTGTGGTAGCAACAGCTCAGAGTTTGACTCCCACCAGAGAACAATGGGTTTCTAATCGTGAATTGGTCTCACACTCACCGATTTTTGTGGCGTACATCAAATCGGTGATGTGTATAAGGAAATCACCGATCTTGGGACGACGAATAGCTTCTGCAAGAGCACTCTTGGCCTTGTGACTCGCAAGTGATTACGCTAGAAATTGTTGGAGCAATTTTTTTATGGGTAAGGGATTGAGGTAGGTAGAGTGACATTGGTTGGTCAGAGTGGTGGCGGTGTACTGGGTGGTGGTGATGGTGTAGATATAATACCAAATTAATTCACAGCATCAGTGGATTAACTATGATTAATTCGCAGAGACTTTATGGTTGTCAATCCAATGTTTTTTTGTGGTCGATCTCAATTGTTTGATGATCTCAATTCTTTGATGGTCTCATGAATTAATTTGGAAAAAGGTATGGGTATTTTTGTCTTTTAAATAAATTTTTTTTAGAGTTAAAAAGATAATTACAAAATCAAAGGGTAATAATGTCTTTTTACATTTAAAAAGTGGTCTGACGCATCTAAAAAGTAACTTTTGGGGTGTTAGTGAAAAAGGGACCAAACTTTGTACTGTGAATAATAATAATTTTTTAAAGATGTTTCAATGTGATATTTGGCCAAACCTGAGGGGGTGTCAGTAAAATTAACCCTTTCTTTATTGAATTCCTTTTAATAAAGCTATTCTTTAAAAGGCCTTCTGTACAGAGGATTTCTAATACTAGGAACGTACCGGAAATGCTACCTAAGATGTTTCTGAATAATTTGGCTCAATATTGAAATGTTGAAGAAAATACAATCTATGATAATTGTAATACGCAGATCCCTCATTTCTGATATCAAACATTTGAATTCATTGGGAAGAGATACTACAGTTATCATTTTCATCAGATTCAACTGGTGCAGCTGGGTTACATTGTAGAAAGATAACATCTTTGCAAATAGTAATGCATTCATAAGACAGAGAATTCAATTCATATGTTGAAATCCATATTAAAATAAGAAATGAAGAAGGAATTCAACTAATAGAGAATTCACAAAAACAGGCAGTAAAACACACCTTACTTAACAGAGAATTCAAGTCCTGAGGGTGTGATTTGGCAATTTCCCCTATCTGACGAGCAGCTGTAAACCTTGTTGCTTGGGTAGAACCAGCTTCGGATTCATTAAAGAAATATGCAATTCAAGCACCAGAAGTTGCCGACGGGGCCACAACATGCATAGTTATATATATATATATATATATTATAAGTAAGATTGTATTGAAGAGGCGTTCAAAAGGGGATCGCATCCCTCAAAAGCTAAACAAGGCCAAATAGGACCTCTAAACTCTCAAAGTGTCCAAAAAATCAACTATCTCCTCCATGGATTCACAATATATATATATATATATATGCAAAAAAAAAAAAATGCAAGTACAGCAAAGGAACAATCAATGCAATCAAAAGGGAGAAGGATACTGTCCAACAGAGTGAGCAGGCGTTGAAGACGAGATGATTGCTGAGCCATAATGCTTTTCCCAAATATGCAAACTGGCAGCAGCACCTGTCATTCGAACTCTTCACTGCTAATTTTGCTATAAATTAATCATATGTAGGCACCAAAGGACACTTCCATTCATTTCGAGAGATTGCATGTCACTCTGGCAACAATTATAAACACCCATCAAATAAAATAATTATATGAAAATTTTTACAATGAATGAGCATCTGTTGCTAATCAATGAAATCCAAATGAAATATAAAAAAGATATACGTTTATCCAGCAAACAAAAACATTTTTAAAATCAGGAAAAAATAAAAATGGTCAACTGAATGAACAAGGATTCTTAACCAAAAATTCACCTAATTCAACCTAAATCCTCCGGTCACATTTAGGCATTGGACAGGGCCTCGATCCATAGATCATATCAAATACAAACATGCACACATATACATGTATACATAAATATATATGTATATTCATAAACTGCGGCATGATATTATTCTAAAGGAAATGCATGTCTTGTCGATATATATTATAGAGAGAGAGAGAGGGAACAAGAGAAAGAGATATACTTGATGGTTTTCTCGACGACGTCAGCTAATTCACCACCGTGTCGCTATATCTCCGTCGTCGTCGTCTTCTTCTTCTTCTTCTTCTTCTTCTTCTTCTTCGTGTGGCTGTCGACTGATAAGAGTCTGAAACAGAAAAAACGAGGGTTTCAATTTTCGGTAACCGAAGTCCTCGTTTTATAAAAAAACAGGAAACAATACTAACCAAAACCGTTCAAGTAAATTTCAGCAGTGCCCCATTTTTAAATAAAACTATCCTGGCAGCCCATTGTAATAAGATTCTATTTATCAACACACCCCAACCTTTATTATTATTCTCTGTCAAGGACGACTAATATTTATTAAACCACCCCTAAATGTAAAAACATAATCACACAAATTTCTCTTATTGACTGGAAATTACATTATCACCCCATTTTGCCCTTACTTTATTTTATCTTTAAATTATTTTTTAATGGATATATAAATGGCAAAAAAAAAAACACTTATATACAGAATGTGCAACTAGCCTTTTTGGTGTTAAAAAAACTCCCTACATTTTGCAAATTAGCAATTGATGACATTGTTAAAAATAAATAAATAAATTGATGACATTTAATCAATTTAAAGATTGGAATGCCTAAAATACAAACAAAATAAAAATAAAAAATACTAATTTTAATTTTTAAGAATGTATTAAGGGAATTTTTGGGTTTTTATAAAATAAAAAAAATTAGTCAAAATTGATGGTCAACAAATATTTTGGGGCAATTTGCACATATTTTTCAAATGTTAGGGATTTATATGCACATATTAAACTACAAGGGTGTTTTTTTCATATTTTTTATATAGCATGATTTTTTTTTTTTTTTTTTTTTTTTTTTTTTTTTTTTTGCTGCACCTTACCCTATTTTAATTTTTTTTTTTTAAATGGAGTAAAAGTGAAAACAAAGGATACAAGTATATATTTATTTAAAAAAATAAAAAAATAAAAAAAAGCCCACAAGTATTTTATTGTTTAATTTTGTTTAGGTATTATTTGGCCGTCTACTTGTACAAAACATTAACATAATAGAAAACCAGTGAATGAAAACTCCCCACTTCTAATTCAATAACACAGGTTTCTCTTAGGAGAGGTACCAAAGATTTTCAGTATAATGATGCAAATGTGTTGTGGACTTTGGGGCCAAGGGACATTTTGATAACTAAGGGTGCGTTTAGTAACGTTTTATTTTTTTACTTTTGTAGTCTTGAGAAAGCAGAAACATGATTTTGTTTTTTTAATTGAAAAGAAAAAACTGAAATGATATTTATTAACACTTATTGTTGCCACAAATTTGAAAATATAAAATAATAATTGTGTTTAGTAATACAACATATTTGTTACAAAATGTACATAATATTCTTTAAATTTTTCATCTCTATTTTTAATTTTTTTCATTTCTATTTTTTTATTTTTTTTCACGGGAAGAATTTTAGGAGTTAGTGATTAAAGGAAAGGGTAAATGACTTGAACACGAACTTTCGGACACGGGGAGCAACCCAACCGCTCAGGCATGACACTTGTTTCCATCAATATCAAAAAGCCATAAATCTATAAAATCTAATTTAAAATTATAAAACTTAAAAATACCCAATACATCATAAGTACAAAATTAGATATACCAAAACAAAAACATTCCCACCAATTATGTATATAAATACATATATATGCATGATGTATACATTTATTATGTGATATATAATATAGGGTAAAATGCAACAAAAAAAAAAAAAACCCTAAACTATGGAGGTTTTGCAACTAACCCCCGGAATTACAAAAAAAACCCCAATGAACTTTTAATTTGTTGCAATTTTCCCCCTTAGGCCACCGGAAAAGTAAAAAGACAAAACCGCCCTCCCTATAAAACAATGCAGTTTGCTGATAATATCAATTTCTCTAATTGATGCCCTAACTCGTACGACACCATCATAGCTGCGTCGCCAACACCATCGATCTAACCCAACCCTCTCTCCTCATCGGCCGCCGCCACTGCGGACATTCTCTCCCATTCCTTCGTCGCCTCTCACCCAATCTCCCTCCCTACTCGCAGCTCACCATCACCACCCACCACATCTCTTCCCCTCATCTCTCTCTCCGACCCAAACCCAACTCTTTTAACCAATCTTCTATCTGCTTCTTCTCAACTCGGTTTCTTCCAACTCACCCACCACTTAATACCCTCCCAACTCGCTCATTCAGGCGAATCCGATTCACTCTCACTCTTCAACCTCCCTTACGATTAGAAACAGCTGTTTGTCTCCAAAAACTGGCCCTTCAGCTATGACGGCGACGACAACGAATATGACGATGGAATGGGTGACTTGTTCTGTTTCAACTCATCTTGTTCTACTGGAAGTTGTCGGAGCGCTATCTTGCACAGTGGGTTTTGAGAACTCGTTTCGGATTCTCAATTTTGAGGCGGTTAAGGAGTATATATATATCCCTATTTGGGATTTCATTCTTTTCAAAGTTTGATGGTGAGCATTATCACGTCTTCGTCAATTAATTATTTTTCCATGGCGAAGAAATTTCAGGCGAGATTAAGGGCGTTATTAATGAATTGGTTCGCCGCTTGGCTATGCGAGAACAGAGGAAGTGAGCCCTGATTTTATGTCTATATGTATATGTATATATGTATATACCTTACAATATAAAGAGAAAGTGACTAAGACGGAACAATAACGGCCGTCGGAGCAGGCGTGGCTGAGGCGAAGGGCAATTACGGCCGTCTAAGAATCGCTCGTTCCCTCTCTCCACGCTCATACCTGTTGATTTCAGAACCGCTGCAAGCACCGCTGTTCCATCCCGCCAAGTATTGCAACCTAATCATAGAATTGCCGGTGAGGTTCATTCCGAGTCACATGTGCTCACCGTTGAATCCTTGCTTCCCCGCCGTTTCAAGCTCGCCGTAAGCCCTCTTTGTTGCCTTATTGGGCATCCTCACGAGGTCGCCGACACTCTCGCCGTCACTATGGTCCCCGGTTAAAGCCATGTTTGGATAATCACAAGGTTAAAGCCATGTTTGGATATTGAAGTCAAAGGTTGGAAATTAAGGGCACTCTTATCCATTCATGCTTCTAAGGGCAGTATGATCTTTTAAAAAAATTTAAGCAAATTTAACGGCCAATTCTCACCAGACCTTGGCCAGATGAGGTAATTTGCAACTTTTTTTGCATAGTTCAGGAAATATTTTACATTTTTGATAATTTAGGAGATTAGTTGCAGGTTTTTCCATAGTTCAGGTGTTTTTTTTTTTCATTTTACCCAATAATATATTTAACATATGATAACTAAGGTTGTCACCCGCTTTGTTTTATATTATTTTATTTATTCATTTTCCATTTTACTTTTTTCAGAAGTTGGTTGATAACTGAAAAGTGTAAATTGATGTGTGCAACACTACAACTGCAACTAAATAAGTTGAAAATATACCCCAGAGCCCCACAAGTCAAAAGTCGCTTTTCCCCAAGTCACGAGGCTTTGAGAGAGGAGAGCTAAGGGCCCGTTTGGCATGCGTTTTGTTTTAGGTGTTTTGTTTTTAGCTAAAACAGAAACAATGTTTTTGCTTTAGGGTGTTTTGGAAAAAATCAGAAGCACATTTGGGAACGATGTTTTGCTGTGAAAATGTCGGAAGCAGAAACATGCAAAACATGTTTGGTAAGTCATGTGCTTCAAGAAATTTGAAAACAAAACATGTTTGGTCATTCCAATTGTTACCAAAAAAAATATAAAACAGAAGAAAAAAAATGTTTGGTTATCATTATTTTTAATTTGTTTTTATAAATTTAAGTGTATTTATAAATTTATTTCTATATAAATAGTCATCATATTTTTAATAGATGTGAAGAAATTTGAACACACAAACACACACACACACACACACATATATATTAATTTTTGCAATAACCTATTTACAAGTTGTTCGCAATAACCTGCTTCAATTTTCTTATCCTATTACCTGTATAGTCCAACACAACATTAAAAATAAAAACAAAACCCAACTGCAAACATAAGTGGAATAAAGGGTAAACTATTTACAAGTGCTTAAATATTCAACAAACAAATTTATTAAACTTGCAAGTCATCTATTGCTTTTTTAGCCTTCTTAAAGTGATGAAATATAAGAATTAATACAAGTTGAAATATGCAAAGACAGCATTTGAAACACCAATTTGCAACCACCTATTTTATAATTATACCAAGGTAATAACATCAATGCTATGAAGGTAAATAATAACCACCTGTTCTAATATATATACTAACAACAAAGCTTTCAAGGTAAATAATCACTTGCAGACACTGTGGAGAGAGCAAAATGCATAATTCTAGTGAGTTATACAAATGAATATTACAAGAATGAAACAACTGAGTAGTGAAAATACATAATGCAAAATGCCATTTTTGAAGATTACAAAGATGATACAAGTGAGCTAGCCTCATTGATTACAAGGATGACGCTATAAATACAGAATGAAGATTACAAGGATGATACAGCTGAGCAGAATCCAGAATGCCATTTATAAGGTCTTTAGCTATGGAAATACAAGGATGAAAAACTTGGGATAGCATCCTTGATACACAACAATAGCAAAGACTTTTCTTCAACCAAAATGCATCATCTATCTTTAGAAACTTGCAGTATGATAGCTTTCTCAGTATTTTGAGAAGATAACCTCAAAATGAATTTGATCATAGCAGTCCCATTACACAGCAGCAACCATATGCAAAAGAGGAGCACAACAATATTACCCAATTGTCCACATAATGACAACAATGAATTATACCAAGTATAATAAATGCCACCATTTTGTAATATTCTCTTCCATTTTCACTGGTTATGAAGCATTTGAAAATTGCCATTAAATATTTGTGATTCACATATAATTTGAACAAGTATAAATAATTAATGAATAAAATCACAATGTTTGAGGTGGAATGATGAAACTAATGACACGATAATTCCTAAGTATTAAAAGATCAAACAAGAAAATACCCATAAGGCAACCTTAGAACCAACAGGTAATCTGATTGGCTGTCCCTTGAATTTGGATGGCCACAACCATAATTTACATGGCATTCAAATAGGCCCTCAATTTGTCTCCATTAGTACGCAGTATCGTCCCTTTATTACCTTGGCCATGTGGTGAATTATCCCATTAAATCTATGTCAATTACACTACACAATTCATATAAATAATTTCCAAATTAGCAAGAAAATTAAGTATTAGTGCTTCTATATTTCTCATTTTGTCTAATGTCTTCAAACTAAGATCAAGAGAATTGTCAGACTTTAAATCACTCTCAAGACCTGAAATTCCTAAATAACAACAAAACCATGGAGTTTCTGGTAGAAAGAGCATTAAATCTATTTTGTAGCAAAGATGGCACTATTTTGACTTCTATACAACAAATTTTCAGTATAATAATTTTTGATATGAAAGGCAACCGAACAACAATGACACTATGATAATTATCTTTAAGCATGCTTCACTTAAGAAATTCAATTACACCTTGAAATAAGCTTTTAGGGAAGCTCTTCACATTAGATGTTTTTATGTAATTTGTATTATATTTGTAGGTTTTCTTTGTTGTTTAATACATTAAATACCATTTAAGTAGGATTAAATAGATTAAAAAACTTAGTGGATAAATAGATTAAATTTTTTTGTTTATCTTATTGCAAATATTTTCTCAACAACCAAACAGAGGAATTTCCTAACACTTAAACAATAATTTCAACTCTTTTGAACTAATTTCAAGAACTCTTTTGGACTAATTTCAAGAATCAAGACTAACTCAAAAAAAAAAAAAAAAAAAAAAAAAAAAAAAAAAAAACACGCTGGAAAATGGTAAGGCCTTAGGCTAACACACGCTTGGTTCGGAGTTTGGAGAGCTTGCCGTCGATGATGAGGGCATCGGCGTCGGCGGCGGTGGTTCCAGTGGAGACCTCGAGCAGAGAAGAAGGCAAGGAGAGATTTCCAGGTGATCGATGAGTTAATGAAATCGACGCCCTCTATTCACGAAGACAAAATTGAACAAATCGAAACCGAATAACACTTAAAAAAACATTAAATCAAACGTTTGGGTTTCAAAGACTTACACTACTATGAATTGAGCCTCTTCTTCGCATATCACAGGTCGCCTCCAAAATCGCCAAAGCTTAGGGCTTCATAGGAGAGAGAAATTTTCGGGCCAAATGAACTACAATATTTTAACTTTTGCTTTTATACGTGGGCCAAAATGTTGCAAGTAGTTTAATTTTGTTTCGACCGCTACAGTTGTGTTTGGCCCGCTACAGTTGTGAAACATGCAAAAACACCAATTTCTTGCTTCAATTTTTTGGCCTAATTTGTGAAATGTTTTGATACTATGTAAAACAATCCGCCCACTACCAAACATGTTGCAACCCACTTTTCAGCTACAGTACCCAACCTGCAACAAAAACACTAAAACAAAGTAGATAACAAACAGGCCCTAAGAGAGCACAAGCAAACAAACAAAAAAAGTAAATAAAATGTGTCAGTCTTGCCGTGAATTAATTTATCGATTATCAAAATCAAAGGGTAATAATAGAATAAATTAATGTAGACCTCATCCGCACTAAAACTCTTAAAATCAAGTTTCTCAAAGTAAATATATTCCTTGATAGCAATTTTGGAATGGTAACGGTGCTGTTTTAAGAAGAAAGTTTGAAACAAGAAACATGGAGGAAATGCCAATGAGAATGCAAGGTCTTAACTTGAGACAAAGTAACATCATGCTCAGATAGCACCAAGAGTCCATCTAAATTGGTATATTTAGCTCCTCCGATCATATCCAAAGAGAGAGACTTTTTTGGTGACATACACATCCCACTACCACTACAATGCATGAACACCTAATTCATATATCTCTGCAGGACAGGTAGAGCCAATCCAAATGCTATCAATAACAGAAATCATCCCCGTACAACAGATCTTTTTGGAAATGCTACTTGGCATTTCTTATATGGACCAAATTTCATTATATCTTGTCTGGAATCTACCATTTAGTTAATTCAATATAAGCCGAAGGAACCGTCCAAAAAAAAAAACTGACGGAACTGGATAATACAAAGAGCATACAGAGTCGACAAAATATATTGAAGTTGATCACTAAAATGGTCTACAAAGGGAATTTATGAAATATTGATGATTTGAAAAGAAGCAGCTCTTCTTTGTGAGCAAACAGAAACCATGGGGTGGACACATCAGGCATCTCTTAGACAGGAGTGATCCAATTTGCTGGAAAAAATTGAAGAAAAACCCATGTCAGAAGGCTTTACAGCTGCAATATGCATTAACGTTAGTTTCAAACTTCAAATAAAACTCTTCACAAGAGATGGAATTGTTTGTAATCTCGTTTAAAGAATTACAAACCTAACAATCATCAGGTGACAGGCAAATACTAATCAAGTGCATAATTAATTCAGTAAGACCTAGATAATACCATAACAATATGTAGCATCCTAAACTCCTTGTCATAAATCCGAAACTACGACCAAAGGGTACATGTGATAGGGCATTAGCAACAAAGAGCATTCAATATGCGAAACAAAACTATATATATATAGATATATATAAACAAACAATAAATCCATTGTCGAAGAGTATACTGGCACCAGCGTCAAATGGAGTAGGAGTGGGTTTAATGGTTCATTCTTGCCCTTGGGAAAGAAAAATAAATAAATAAATAAAAAATAGCAAAATCAGAAAGAAAAAAAAAAATACTGAGAACTGATGTGTGGAATTTGAAAGGTAATAATAGGCAAAACAAACACAACTGCAATCAATAGAGTGAAAAACCAAAACCCGCCCAAAATAAAACTTCCAAGACAAACTTTGAATTCTCAACAATGCATAATCTCCATTGATCCCCCATTTGTTGCAATGGAAAAGGAGCTCAATTGGATGAATTGAGTTGTAGACATGAAAGCATAAGAACTCAACGGGATTCCCTTCTTTGTTTGTCTGATTCGGGAGGAAAGGTCCCGTTGAGTTCTTAATAATTTGACCTATGCACGAATATGCAAGCATACGTTTCATGCTTGTTTGAGTAATAGCAATGAGATTCCCTAATATCATGCTAAGAATAGCTAGGATTTCCAGAAGGAGATGTCCGCAAAGTCGTAAGACCATGTATGGGGGCTGACACCTGCCCAGTGCCGGAAGGTCAAGGACAAGTGTCAGCAATTTCTAACAATCTAAAATACCAATAAACATAAAATTCCTCATACTTCATATAGAATTACTTTGATTTTTTTAAACATAATATAAGAGTCAACATTAAAAATATCTTCCCTCAAAGATCTCATCAAACTAAACTTGATTATCTACCGAGGGAACCAACTTTCCTATGCTAGGGCCTGGATCAAGAGAATCGTTTAAAAACATTCGGTTAGATTTGATTTTTAAAAATGAAAGCTCTCTCCACTTTAGAAGGATGAAAAATGTTGACACAAAACCCGTTGCTTAGCTGTTAATGGTTCTTCAAAAGATTCTTAAGAGTCCCATTTTTTTAAATGGTTCAAATCATGCCTTCCACATTTTGATTTCTTTTTTTATAGTTTAAAAGAGACAGAACAACTACAAATTATATATGCTCAGAAGTTTTTGCCCTATCTACTTACCAAAAGGATGCCCAGCCTACATTTCTTGATCTAAAATTATTTTTAGAACCGTGTCCTAAAAACCCAAGGTTCTCGGTTTAAAATGGGACAGGAGTTCAGATAATGTTAAATAGAGAAAAACAATTGCAAATCCCAACATCCATAGTGAATCCTACACAGAGAGAGAGAGAGAGATTTGTCAACCAAAAAAAAATTCAACAGAGAGAGAGAGAGAGTACACTTTGCCACACCAACTACTGCCCGCACTGCAACTAAAATCATGTAGTTCGTGTATCCAAAAATATAGGAATTACATGATCATAGCAGATGCAATTAATGCACTCATAGTAGACCTTTTGAGATTAGATTTCCAGTCCTAACCTCCAGTTCCAGAAATCTCATGTGTTATGAGCCAAATCAAATCTGTTGATTATCAAAAATTGCCTAGTGCATAGAATCTCAAGCTAACAAGCGTAATTATATGGATTCAGGATTGAGAGCAGCTGGGCAAAAAAATGCCAAATATTAGATTTGTCTCCATTCTATCCAACCCCAAACCACACGACAGGATCAATGTTAAATAATGGCTTTATATCGAGCAGTTGTTCCAAAATTGGCAGACCAAACAACCACTTCATCACAGTGACAGAAGGAAACAAATAGATTGATATAAATTACACACTACGGAGCCATCTAAAAACTATAGATTAGAACCTTGTGTAAAAGCATTATTTGTATACACGTGTCCTTACAATGGACTGTAAACATCAATCCAACATAGCATCCTCATTTCCGCTACATGAATGTGTTGTATTTGTGTCTTTCTCAACACCCAACACTCCGCTCCACACAACATTGCCGCTCAATAGAATTTTCTTTTAGTTCATTTGGTATTTGTTTCACAAAGGATACTAGCTTGCCTCCATTTTGCCCACTTGGCTCCAATCTGACTTACTACATCACCATCTCTCTCTCTCTCCATCTTTTTGTAGTATTAATCCTAGGTGATGGAAATAGTTCTTTTGAGTAATTATTTGATCTTGAAGTATAATATTTATATTGTCATCGTTTTCTACTTCATCAAATTTACATGACATATATTCCGTTTTAGTTTTACTAATTCTTAGGGCCCTTGACTCTAATGCTTTTCTACATGTTTCTAAATTTGTTGCTGAGGATTCCATAGATCTATCTATTAGGACTATGTCGTCCGCAAATAACACACAAAAAGAAATGATTAACCAAATTACAGATTTCTCACATGGTACCAATTCATCCAATTAAGAAGCAAGAAATAATATGAGGGAGATAACTTCCATAATAAACTAAATTCACAATAGCACAGAACAGAGGGATAAATCATAACAACATTGAGTGTAACCTATATATTAAAATAGGCTATTGAGGCATATATCTCAAAGTACCTGTAGCTTACAAAAACAGCTACCACCACACAGAAATCAGTATCCAATGTAGCTTGGATCCCCAATATATTCGGAAATTTGTTCAAGCCGCACGTTGAGCAACTCATGGCTATCAGCATCCCGGACAACACCAGTATCATTTTCAGAATCCTTTTCAACTAGGTTTCCATAGACACCCTTATGTTTACCATACAAAATAAGAACTGGGCCTCCACGCCGAGGCAGCGCAGTCTCAAGAAGGTCTTGGCGCACACCTTGTATTAACTCCCTCGAATCGTCCATAGATATATCACAGGTTGTTGGTCCGACCACATCCACAATCTCGCCTTTTTTCAAATACAATCTTCCTCCTTTCAACTCTTTGCTAATAATTCTAACCCTAATATGACTAGTAAGCCAGGATACTTGAGTTGTCCTCTCTTCTTCTCTTCGATTACCTCTTTCTTCTCCACTCCGTCTACTCTGTTTCTTCTTATCTTGATTTTCCTCATCCCTACTTCCCCTATGACTCCGCCTGCTTGACGAATCTTTAACCCTTCGTGTACTGCTACCACCCATTTCATCTTTAGCCCCTTGAACCTTTAACTCTTTCAACTTCTTCAAGCACCTCTCTTCCTCCACAGAACCCAAGTCTGCAATGTCACTAACACCCACCGTCACTTCTGCTTCACTCCTTGAAAGCTTCAAAACTACTGTTTCATCACTTCCCATTATCTCTACAATCCTACCCTTCAACCCCACATGTCTGCCACCAACAATTCTAACATCTCTACCCACATTATGACGCCCTCCTTCTCGTTCCTTCTCTTTCTTCTTGGTACCATCATCAGTATGCATATCACTAATAAACCCTAACCCTTCCTTCGCAGTTCGCCTCTCATACTGCACCACCTTCACATCCTCCTTCGCATTCTTCCCAATACCTCTACCTTCATACCAACCATACCCAGCTAGCAACGCCGCTCCGAAACCCTCCACCGGCACATCTTCAAACTCTTCGAATCCGCGATCATCCGGCAATCTCTTCAAATCATTCTTCAGTTTCTGCAACATCACTCTCTCTATAGGGTCAGATTTTGGCAGATCAGTGGATTCCAATTTCTTATTATCTTCATCGTCCTCCTTGGACTGTCTTAGATTTAAGCCGAACGATATGCTCGAATCTAGGGTTTCGGCTGAAGAGGGGGCCTCGACCTCGAAGCTAAGATCAGGACCATCCGATCGGACCGGGAGGTCGAGGTTTTTCATCTTCTTGAAGGGTCTCCATTCGTTGGGCTTCGGGGGGATCACGAACTTCTTCGATTGTTGGGCATCAGTTAGGGTTTTAGAGGGGTCAAATTCAGTGACGAATTCTTTGTTGGGGGCCGAGAAATTTGTGAGGTATTCTTTTTCGGTAGTCGATTTTTCGTCCTTGAAGTTCCCCGAGGGTTTGAGGTTCGATTGCTGCTTCGAAGATGGTTTTGTAGAGAGAGAGAACGATAGTTTCATGGCTTTCTAGAGAGAGAGAGAGGGGTGGACGATGAAGAACGATGGCCGATCTTTGTTTGATGGGAATCAATGGTCAATTGTAGGAATGAATGAAAAAATATAGGGAAATAATATAGGAGCCTCAAAAAAACAAAATAGTTTATTTTATTATTTAAATTCAAAATGTCCTTCAAATATTTATTTCAAAATATTAAAAATTATTCCTATAAAATCAAATATTTCTTTTAAATAATTTCTTTCATTTAATTTTGAACCATATTCCTGCAACTTTCATATATATATATATATATATATATATACACACACACATAGATTCAATATAATAAAAAATGGGACAATTAAAAATTAGTCCCCCAAAAAAATATATAATTAAACTGAAGAATATATAAAATCGTAAAAAAGATGATTGTTGGTGTATTATTTAATGAAGCAACCATTTAGTTTTTTTTCATGATAACCCTCTCTCTGCGTGTGTAATGTTTGTATGCATATATATGTTATATATATATATATATATAAGTTTTCACATTTACAGGTTTATATTAGTATAAATTAAGATATATGGTTAAACTTATGTGCAAATAAAATTATTTTTTTCATTGTTTTTAAAAACACAAAGTATTTTATTTATTGTCTAAAGTTAATTTAAGTGACTTTAATTTTGGTTTAAATTCTTTAAATTAACGTATTAAAGTGTTTTTAAAATATTTTAATTTCAAATAATAATATAAATGATATATTAAATTGAGTTATATTTAACCCTGATATTACTTAGTGCATACCTTTGTAACTTTGAGTAACTTATACAATTATGAACTGTTAGATCATGGGATAGCCTAAGAATCTCTACGCATCTTAAATGTCACGAAAGTACCCAAGGGATAAAATCAAATCCCAGAAATCAATGAACGAGAATTTGATTTTATTCCATGCTTGGCTCTAGTTTATATAATATGATGGTGATTTTTAACACGAGTACAGAGACTCCATCTTCTTCTTCTTCTTCCTTTTTTTGGGAAGTTACACACTCAATTTCATTTTATAATTGACCGCAAAATTTTGAAGCCATCATTGCAAGGAATATGGTATGAAAAATCTATACATGTATCACTGATTTCTAGGATAGCGCAAAACCACAATTGTAACATAAAGTAAAAGAATACAAAACACCGGCTTGTTTCAACAAATTTCCAAATCTCTCTCAACTATCCATAGACGCATGTGTATACAAATAGTCCTAATATAAGTTAGTGATTAGTAATAGAATTCAAGTAAATATCTGTGACTTTCATGCTTCATCTTCACTACTCTCAATGACTACAGTAGCCTTTTTAGTTTTTAACCTCTTTGCAACTCTATTTCCACTACCTTGACCTTCATCAAGAAACTCATTTTCAGGTGGGCACTTGGACTCGTAACTTCCAATTTCTTCAAGAATTCTACTCCCGTATTTCTCCGTCTTCAATTTTCCAATTATGCTCTCCAACTGCAAGAAACAAAAATTACATTAGCGTTTTCAGGATCATCCACCTGACAGCTCTAGTTGCAGAAATTATGGATGTCATAAGTTTTCTCTATTTATGGTCTTTATTAGTAATATTGCTGCAATGGTTGAACCAGACTTTGGCAATATATATGGTAGGTCATTGTTAAAGGATGCTTAGTCGGAAAGATGGGTTATCAACTATCTGTAACAGGAAGATGGAGGAGTTGTGGGGCACCTGCTCCGTTGACTTTGGTCTCTGAGCACTTAGCAAGTTGATTTGTTGAGTAGACAAGACAGAGTGAGGAAATATTCCCCCATGAATAGAAGAGAGTTCCTTTCGCAGCTCATCAAGCTTAAACTCCAACCCTGAAGATATGGTACTGCGTTTTGAAGATTTCATAACGCCACCCTTACTCCTCTGTCCACTAGAAATCTCAAGCTTAACAATCTTTTTTCCTGTGTACAACACCATAAAAGTTAGATATATTTTTAAAACATAGCACAAGTGCACAGTACCATATCTTCAGCAATTTTTTTGATAAATATTTTTTTTGTGATAAATAAAGTACCATATCTTCAGCAATAATTAGTAATTTTAAGTTACACAGCACAAATGACCTCCTTGCTTGGACTCATGCCTACTTTCAGCAATAATTAGTTGTGATATAAATAAATAAACATGTTTTAATAGCACAAATTCCTTTGTCAGTAAGTATTCTTTCAAAAGTGACACCCTCACCCTGCAATACATGCTTTGCAAGTGGTCCTACCGTGACATATGCATTTGTAGTATAAGCTGTATGTTGAAATTCTTCTTTCTGATAATAAGATAAGAAATAGCAAAATTACAGAGTTTAACAAAAAAATAAACAAATAATATGAAATGGATTGAATGTATCAATTGCGAGAACAAAGCAATCAAGCGGAGATGACATGAGAAGTGCAAAAGTACCTTGTGGATTAGACCTTAGAACTTTAGTTATAGAATGACAGGAAAATAGCTACATATATCCAAATAGTTTACTTCAAACTGAAGTTTTTCACATTGGTTTCTGCACTTCCCTAAATTGCCCTATTTGGTTGCTGAAAGAAACATACAGAAGAATCTCAGGGATTTCAAACAAACTACACCTACCTAAGCAATTCTGATTTCTAGCTTCTTTTGGGGAACATTTTACTCATGTACATAGAGACTTCAGATAGTAGCAGGAATCTCCCGATGTTAATGACTTATCATAAGGTTCACTAAAGTTATCATCTAATTCCTATATATAAATTTACATCAGATGTATTAACCAAAATGATGGCATCACAAATAGTTTTTAACATTTTGCTCAAAGGAAATATGATCATGCTCTTAAATTCTTAGGTTAATTTCACTCACACCCCCTCAGGTTTGGCCAAATATCACACTAAAACATCTTTCGAAAATAACTATCACTCATATTACAAACGTTTGTTCCGTTTTTCACTTACACCCAAAAAGTTACTTTTCAGGTGTGTCAGATACATTTTTGTATGTAAAATGACATTGCTACCCTTATAACTATCTGAAATGACTTGAATACCCTTTGACCTTTATTATATAAATTTATAATTATTCTTTATATATATATATATATATATATCATCATGTACAACCACCTCTAATTTAAAATTATTATTTATATATATTTCTCATTATGTATAACAACTAAATTATAATTATTTTTAAAAATTATTCTTTATATATATATATATATATATATTTCTCAACATTTACACCACCAGTTTTCTCCACGTATATTTTTTCTTTCTTTTTTCTTTATTTTCTAATTTCCTTTTCTTCTTCTTTATTACTGCCGGCAAATAAATTTTCTTTTATTTTCTTTTCTTCTTATTCATTAATGTGGCAAAGAAGAGAGAGAGAGGGGCCATTAATGGTGAAGACAGGAGCAATTAATAGTTGTGACCAGTAACTTTTAAATCAACCAAGAACACCATCCAACACAATCTCGGCGAAATAGGGTTGAGGCTGAATCCAGAAAAGAAACTACAAGAAGATGTGTTAACAGAGGAGTGCTAAGGCTAATTTAATTCACTGATTTGCATTCTGATTATTTTCTAAATTAATATCAATCAATTTGTGTAACAGCAGGCAACAACAAGAGCGACCGTCGCCATCCTTTTCTCAAGTCTCTGTGTCGTTGTTTGCGACTGAAGCTTTTCCCGCAACAACCCTTATGCTTTGATTGCCAGGTCGCCTCGCAGCAACCTGGTTCCTCATTACCAGCGACCACTTTGGTCGCCTCTTCTCTCTCGATGTCGGAACGTCAATAACAGTGACCACCATGGTCGCTGCTTCTTCTCATACACCAGCGACCTGGTTATCTCATTCTTGGTGCTGCTCACTGCCCTATCTCCTTGTACCTGGTCGCCGACGGCGACCTTGTTTGATCTACATGGACGGCGACCCAGTGGTCGTCGACCTTTATCAGCAGCATGGGTTGCCATAATGGCGATCCACGGTAACATGATTGGGGTTTGTAGTGAGAGAAGGGAGTGTGGAATTTGCAGTGAGGGTAAGGGCATTTTAGTCCTTTTAGTTTTTTTTTTTTTTGTTATATTTTACAATAAAAGTCATTAAAATATTTAGGGGTAAAATTGTCTTTTCAAACATTTTTAACTGTGTCATTGACGGAAAAGTATTTGGGGTCTGAGTGATAGTAATTTTCGAAAGATGTTTCTATGTAATATTTGGCCAGACTTTAGGGGGTGTCAATGAAATTAACCCTAAATTCTTTTAGCTTGTCCACCTTGCCATCTCCATTTCCGTTGAATCTATATGATTTTTATTTTGCCAAAAATAAAAGAAATATCAAGCATTTCACGAATTTTTTTAAATGAAAATAATTCATACCAGTTCACGAGTGTTAATGACATTTATTTATCACTATGTATATTAACTACTAGGTGCTACCACGTTTACATAGAAAGCATCTGCATTAATCACTGAATGTCGAATCATGATTGATATTTTTTCCAATAGCATCATTCTAACTGCACAGTCAAACTAAGTGAAACTGATTTCCTAGTATTAACATGTAAGTTTACCGTAGCTAATTTCATTTTCCAAGAATTAACATGTAAGTTTACCTTAGCCAATAAAGAAATAAGATAAGATCATGTTATATCAGTAGAGAAACTACAAAATTGTATTTCACACTATCGGCTAATTATTGTCATCATCAAAAGAAAAACACATTTTATGAGGCTTGCAATTTTTTTCTTATGGATTCGAGATCTGAAGAGTTGGTCTTCTTACCAAAACACGGTCCACTATAAGCTGAATCACAAGGTGCTCTAATTCATCTCTCTTTAGCTCGGGACCTGAGAAGCAATTCCAGCAAAGGCAAATGCTAAATTATGGAAGTTCATATAAATGCCTAAAATTATTAGGAGTATAAGAGACATGAAACTATATAGCAGTGGAAAAAATTGCAATAGTAAAAATTGCTCACAATCAAAGTAACTTAAATGAAATGAATCCTAATCACAGTTCCTCGTATTTAACCAACACCTGAACATAATTATGTAAAAAAAAAGACGCATTCAACAGAGGCATAATCCCTAATCACTAAATTATTAGAAGAGTAGAGCCTCTATTTGAAATTTTGAACTTCAAACATGGATTTCCATCCCTTTCTTCTCTTATCTTATTCCCCAATTCAACTCAATAATTATGCAGTGTACATTGTGATTCTCTATAAAAATTGGTCTAACTTAATTGGGTGTCCATCAATCCTAGTCTTGAAAATGCACCACAATCACTGAATTCACACCCTTAAGTATAGCTGTACAACACAAAGAATATATATATATATATATATATCAACAAAAGATAGCCAATACCACAAATGTCTACGTCGAACAAAAGTTGAAACTCCATTGCATAGAAATGACAATTGATATCAAAATCAGTGTCAATGAAAAAGACCGTAAGTTATTTAAGAAGTTGAGAAAAAAAAAGTAGAGAGAGAGAGAGAGAGAGAGACAGAGATGGTAACTTCAAGGGAACCTAAACTAATGGCAAAGAAAGACATTATTACAAAAATAAACTCAATATTACCTTTTTTTTTAAAAAAAATTGAGGCATAAAGGACAATAAATGATATATAAACAAAATTAACAAATTAAATGGTTTTCCTACATATATATTTTAGATCTGCAATGCAATAGCGAGAAATAAAAGTGCTTGCATAGTCTCTCTTTAAGGGGCCTATCTGGTGCTCAAGGACCCATTTTCCAAAGAGTTGAACAAATGCCCTTCATTTGACTGTTAGAATACTTGGAAGGACCAAAACTTTCCATATCACTCACAAACTAATAATGTGGGGCCAATCAAAAAATATCAGGATTAGGATTTGAAAATTTTCTCCAAACCGAAAACCAGTTATATTCATATTTGTTTACGAAAAAAAAAAAAAAGCAAACTCTTTATCAACAACAAAAGGCAAAGAAACATATATCACCCTCCCCCCTTTTTTTTTTTCGTAAGTAACATCAACCCCTGCTGTTGGCACTCGTTCAATAAAATTTACTCATTTAAAGAAAAAAATATTTGGGCTGTTTTCTCCAGATGCACAATGCAAATTACTCACAATAAATTCGCAAATGGGCAGCCCCTCAATTCCAATTTTGGCCTTAAGCAGAACAATTGAAACCGAACTATAATCTATCACTAATTGCACATGCTTGGTTCTAATTTAAACAATCATGGGACCAAGTTCTTGGTCAGGGATCTCCAAGTGGCAATCTAAGATGCAAAGAACTCCGCAATAGCCTGTAGATATGCACAAGATTCCAAGGTCTTCCTTCTTTTCTATCTTTCATTCAACAAACTTGTACTCATCATCAAGTGTTGAAACTAGTCTCTACTTTCTTGTCCGAGTCTATCAGTCCCACAGAAAACAAGCATGGGTTTTTGGTAACAATGTACACATGGATATAACGCCTTAACAGCTAAACTCCATGATTCAAAGGAAAAAAAAAGCATGTTCTAATAGATGCCTACTTTATTATCTCTTATTTTTTCTTTAATAAAACATTTTAATTTGTCAGGTTTGACAAGAGTTGGGTCCTGTTTAATTTCAGTCTGAATAAACAGGTGGTGGGACCAGCGAACATGCTCTAATTTTGCAATTTTGCAGCCCATTGATATGGGAAGCCATCTGTTGTTGATCCTCATACATGAAGTGCCCTTCCAAACAATCAATAAAGCTCTTGAGTCACAGACTGTTTCTTAGTATTTTTCACATTTTTTTGTCAATATGTTTGGTTTCTATACCTGAATTTTCAATGTGTGAGAACATCACTATGCTTCATATTTGAATACAAGTTGCAGAATGTTTGAAGTTAAGCTCAAACTTTAGATCTTCATGTAATCCAATCACTGAGTAGATTCTGTGATACTATAATCTCAATTATTTGATCCAGAAATTTTGTGCCTTCCCAACAACGTAATTTTACTTTCATCTCCATTCAATTTTGGCAAAACTGGAATTAGAATTCAATTTTAGACTCATGTAACTAATCATGTTAATCGGACCTTTACTGGAGCACGTTAAAAGATACATCAAGTTAGAGAGCTAACCTACGTCTATGCGCTTAACCTTCAACCTATCCACCATTTGTAAAACTGTCACTCTCTGATCATTGTCTTGCATATCTTGCAGTAAGGATACAATAACTTTTGCATGACCTGCAAATTAAGCAATTTATGATTGGTAATGCACAAAAATAAAATTTTAACAACATAGAATTCACAAAGAAATGGTTTAGCAGGACATATAAAATATATAGTGATAAAATTTTATTTTTCCTACACAAAATAAAATCAATCTAACAAATTACAATGGACAAATAGCACAAAGGAGAATCAATAATAAAATGGGTAAACCAATTACTCGTGTCTTCAATCATAATGAAGAACTGATTACTGAAAGTTATAATACATAAAATGGTCATCTACTGACATACTACATCATTGAGGCACAAAGTACAAACCAACCTGACAAACTGTAATAGGCTAAACTTGGGGGAGAAAAGCACAGAGAAGCATCGACAATTAAAAAGACAAAATATGCACTGATGTTTTAAATCTTAGTGAATGACCAGGGAAGGATAAACAAATCAATAAACTGTCTTCTAGTAAAATAAAATAATTACCGGAGACATCAGCTTCCTTGACCTCACTTGAAAATGCACAGTTGTCGCACATCCCTGAGTAGAAAAACAATTTGAGTGTGGCAGTAATCGAGTTAATACCACCAAACTAATATGTGAAGATAAAAACTCATAGTAGAAACTAAAAAAAACAGTACCATTACACTCTTGCAATGGCTCAGCAAAATGTCGGAAGAAAGCACCGCGACGACATTCTTTTTTAGACTGCAATAAGAATAAATACACGTTTTAATGTGTAACCAAAGCATTTCATTCCAGAAACTAACAAAACTGTACCATTGCAATTTTGCAATGGCTCAGCAAAATGTCAGAAGAAAGCACCGCAACGACATTCTTTTTTAGACTGCAATAAGAATAAATATAAGTTTGAATGAGCAACTAAAGCATTTCATTCTCAGAACACCAGTATTATCAAAGGCCCAAGAAGCTAGAGCTCCTTTGGAGCCTAGGCGCAAGGCGAGGCGTGTGCCCGAGTGAAGCAAGGCGCACAATTGAAAAATTAAATTACTATTAAAGCATTCACATTCCATATTAAAGGCACGCGTGTTCAAAGGAAGGAAGATGAGATGGGGATCAACTCTGTATGTCGGCATGCCATCGGGTACAGATTCAAGACAATGACATATACTTCTAACGGTCTCACCAACAATATATCTTCGGTTTTCTTAAACTCAGCTAGGAGGTGACAATAGAAAGAGATAAGAAAAAAATAATAAATTACTGATCTTCCGAGTGTTAAGTTACCAGTATAATTCCAGCAAATCAATTTCTTCATCAAACAAAGGAGATGATTTGATGTTCCGTCAAGAGCATTGACTTGTGTGAAATTTCGCAAAGTTATATACCTGACAATATCGGACTATGTCATACAGATTCTGCAATCCAGAATTTTCATAGAAGACCATTGAGCTCTGCTTAGAGAAGTGTCACATTCAGAAATTATAATACTTTTTAAATAAACTAAAAACATCAATTGTGAGAACACATTTCTACCTGCCTATGAACATCACCAGGCCTAAAGTAGAGTACACATTCAGAAGGAAGTCCATCTCGTCCGGCCCGACCACTTTCCTGCAATGAGAGAAGTCACAAAAAGGAGGACTACAAGGTACAAAAACATGTTATTAGGAACAGACAGAAACCTGGTAGTACGTCTCCATTGATTTGCTTAGGCTGTGATGGATGACAAACCTGACTACAGGCAACTGTTACTAATTATAAAAGATATATGAAGTTGTGAATTCAGAAAGAAATTGACATGCCAAACAGGATTATTATTATTATTAAAAATTATGAGCAAAATGGAACCCATAGAAACTCATGCAGCTTGTATATCATGCAACAAAAAAGCTGCATTATGTCAGTGATAGTATGAGAAGGTTTTGAAGCCCTTAGGATGCAACTTGTTTTTGGTTATGTTGGTTCAGATTCAATTCCAAAACTAAACTCACCTAAGCCAGTTTGGAGAAATACAACCGAAGACTAAAGTAGGGATGGACAAACCAATTATTACTACATAATCAGGTAGAGTTAGAAGCATTTATCTGGTCTGACCCGTCAACCAGTTTACTAAGCCCAAGATACAGGGAAAAGAAAGAAGGGACCATATCCACAAGTAAACCTTTATTCACCTTTCCCCAGGACTTTCGCTTGGATTTGCCATTTAAGTAGAGATTTGGGAACCTACTGAATGGCCATTGGGACGGTTCATCCATTAGTCTTGTATCTATGTGGTGGGCTCAAGGCCATATTTAGAGAATTTCTTTTCAATGATATAGTCTTGTATCTATATAGAAGGTTGAAAATAATTATGTGACAATATGGTGTGATGCCAGTTTAGTACAGATCATGATTTAGTTACGAATATCAACTATGACCATAGGAATCATTCTCTGCAGTGTGATAACAAAGTTTGGAGACTTAGAATCTTTTTGACATGACTTGGTCATTTCTATTGAGAAGCCAGAAATCAAAACAACAGAACAGGTAAAATAACAAATACTAACCATCTGGTTTGTTGATTCCCATACCAAATGCTACCTGTAATAGAAGTAAAGGATTTAAAATGGTAAACTAGCATTAATACGTCAAAAGAATGACAATGTCAAATTTTCAACATTACATACCGTACCAACAATGACCTGCAACTTGCCATTGCTCCAACTGTCACAAGACACAAGTAAGACTCCAAAATGGAATATTTGCAATAAACTACATGATAACTCAGCCGTTAACTATCAATCATAAAGGTCCACCAATATTTGAATTATAATCATGAAGACGAGAATAACCAGCTCTGTCAACCTCAATAAAGGCATTTAGAAAGGGGGAAAAAAGCACCAAGTGGACTCAACCTAAGTACACAAGCTTCACACAAAGGGAGCAAAAAAAGAAAACTATACACTGAAACTAAAGTCACCCAAAGACTCCAGCAAATAATATATAGGAAAAGATTCCTTCCAGTCAAGCAAAAATATAAGGAGCTCGAGTTCATGTATTCCTACTCAAAAACCTATATCTCCACCCGCAGGTGTACCTATTGTATTTTGTCCAAAAACACCGCCATAGACATAACAAAACGGTGCTCCACATTGGCCTAGCTTTCCCACTGATAAACACCCTCCCTTCCCCAGGGGAACTATCTAAGAACTCAATCACAACATTAAGCATAACATAAAGAGACCCTCACAAAGATAAAGTAGCATATCAAAGATCCCACAAACTAAAATAGGTGAACCATGTGATTCAATGTCTCAGCCCTCTTGTACATACACCAATTTGGAAGGATTTTATCGTTATAAACCAATTTCTCAGTCATCAAAATATTCCATAAAGCTGTTGTCCACCTAAAGAATAAAGAAAATAAAAAATTTGAAAAGCACTTTCACTAGCCAAATAGAGCTTTTCGGGGCCAAAACATTAATGTCTTACCCTTTACCACTTCACTCGTATCCTTTCTATTACTTTATAAAAAATTGAAAATTTGCTAGGGCAGGGTGGGTGGGGGAATTTAACGGGGTGGAGACAGGGAATGAGGGGTCTTTTGACAAACGGTTTTGGACAGGGTCAGCAAACGGGGTTTTACTTAATTAAACAGGGATAGGGATGGGAAAGGAGCCACCCACCCCAAACCCGGCCTGTTGCCATCCCTAGCTTGGAGTTAGATGGATGTTGTTTTTGTTTTCTAAAACTTTATATTATTTTTCTAATCAACCCATAATCGTAGAAACTAACCCATCGTGTCCATGTGACGTCCCAACTGTTTTTAACCAAAAAATATATATATTAAAATTTCAGGACACTTCTAGCCGTGTTAAGACACTTCTCTAGCTGTGTCCTATGTGTGTCTGTGTCGGACACATGTTGACACAGACACAACACCCCTAGAGGAGTGTATGTGCTTCCTAACTAAGAAATATTATCGTACTCCTCCCAAATCCGTTAGGCCCCACTAAAGAGATTCTCACACGCCGTCCTATGATAGGCTAACCCCTACTATATGTTGCTATTCTGAAAAGATCCAGACACCTTAAGTCATGTGGTCCTAACTTTATTAATCCATTAATCATCTATCAATTCCATATTTTCTCCCCGCTACTTTATTAGATAAGCTATCTTTACCATGTGCATATCTTGACAATCATTTTCCTATTTAACAACCTAAGCCATCTAGCCCCAAAGCCCAGCCTTAGTAAGAGAGGAAACCACATTCCACCCAATCAAATGACACTTGAACTCATCCCCTAACTCTTAACCCCGAGAGAGAGAGAGAGAGAGAAATCCTTTTCGAACTTACTGCCTTTTTCTTTTCATTTTTTATAAGCATGAGATGGCAAGTTTTAGTAAGGTTGTTTTTGTCCTAAGAAAAATGGGGACAAAGCTTAAGAAGGTTTACTGCCTTTTTTCTTAACAGAGGCAGGATAAGAAAAAAATTGACATAATCACATGGGTGGACTAGAGAATGCTCTTAACGAGGGTGAACCACCCCCTTTAAATACATTACTCGTAAACAATTGATTAAATTTGAAATTTTACTGTAGATATGCAAACCTCCAATCATTTCCTCCACTTGGACCCAAAATGTATCCCATCACAAATAACAGAAAACCAAAGTGGACATGGTTATAGACACTCTTAATAACTAGCTTTTGGAACACTCCCAGTTTATTACTTGTAATCTTAGAACCCACACACTTTTTTGCCACCAACTTGCATCTAGAATTTGATGAATCCAAATGCAGGCATTTTAAGGTTTCAATATCACTCCCTCCAACATCATGAATCTCAACACCAACACTTCTACCAGCAAATTAAGTGAAAGAACTTCATGTTCTTGTCTCCCTCCCTCAACCATATTGCTCCCCAGACTTTTGCCTCTACCTCCTTCATAAGCAAAATATAGTCTTAAAATAGCAGAATCGATCTTATTACACTTGGTTATTACAGAAGTCAATAAGATTCTTTAGCACTAAACATAAGGTACATCAATCACTCCAGAGCATGGAATAGTAAAAGAAAAATGCAAACCGACTGAATCACATCAAAATGCATAACTGAAGTCATCAGAAAAAGGAGATTACCGCAGATGAACTTTCTCACGAGCATTTACTTCCATATCTGCATGATAATAATCAGCTGAAATTCCTCTTCCACGTAGTTCCTTTGCAACCTACATTTCTTGGTAGTATAAGAAAATTCACAAATATGTAATGTAAACCATTACAACCACATTCCCCTGCATTGAAGTTCCAGTTCCATGGTCTTTTGACCAGCTGCCCAGTTTTTGGGACAGAAAAACTGGGACAAAATCAAATGGTGTCAACTAGTCAGCTAAGAGATGCTAAAAGATACTAAATGCCAAAAAGTGTTGAAATTAGGTCCGTGGACTCATCTAATATAAAATTGATTTTGTCAGAACTAGAAGCAATAATTCAGTCAAAGCATAGCAGAAAAATACAATCGACTTTTTACTGTTTGGCGAATGAATTAAATTCTTGAGTACTAATTTGAATGCGAACAAGTTGTTTATCCACTGGTCAACTTTTCAGAACTAGAAGCAAGAATTCAATCTGAACAAAACAGAAAAATATAATTGACATTTTACTATTTGGCGAATAAATTAAATTCTTGATTACTAATTTGAAAGGCAAACAAGTTGTTTATCCACTGGTCAACTTATTGGCTGAATGCAATAAGCAATTTCACAGGGAACAGAAAATTTTGCAGATATTAAATTACAAATCCAACAAAGTTCTTTGGCCTGACTAAGAACTAAGAATGTAGAATACTTATCCAAAAAAAGAAAAAAAGGAACTAAGAATGTAGAATGACAACATTTAAGGTCAGAAAAAACAATAAGTAAATAGACCTGTTCACATTCCTTCCTAGAGAAGCAATAAACTATCCCAGATTCATTATTCGGATATGAACTTTGTATATATTCGGCAATTTCGTCAATAACCATCTTCCCAACAGATGACTTTTCTTTTACCTGCAATATGAGTAATATAGTCCTAGATCTTAAAATGTCAGCATAAACTAGTAGACGTCAAACAAGTAGTAACAACTATACCATATAAAAAAGATTTGGCCTATTCACTGTGCTAACAAATTTAATGCATTTTGGGATATGTAGCATCTCCATCAAATCTATCTGGACTTTCCTAGTGGCCGTTGCCTGGAAATAAAACAAAAAATGAGAATCTTAGGATTACCACTCAAACTAGTGATATGAAAGTGAAGATGTACTGTGATAATGCTTAATTAAAAACGAAAAAACAAAATACAAGTCAAAAGAACTGAGAGAAAACATACAGTCAAAGCAACCAGAGGAACATTGGGAAACTGAGTCTTTAAAATACCAAGATTCTTGTAATCTGGACGAAAATCATGGCCCCACTGGCTACAACAATGCGCCTCCTGCAAGAAAACCCAAAAATTCAATCGCTCGCCCAGCACCGCAGCAAACAAGTTAAATGATCAAATAAAACCACTCGTGTAGTTTTCCATGGAACTGTCTCAAAAGTCAAAAATTAAACCATTTTAATGAACTAACAGCATAAATCTAGAATTTAGTTCGTTAAAGTACAGTTGCTGATGAATTTATCAGTTAAATACTAAATATACCAAGTTCCACTACACAATGGTGTTTTCTACAGCTTTCAATTGAGTAAGTTTTCAGGGCAACAGCTAAATAAGTGGACACGTAAAGGACCTTAATGAGATTCTAAAGAATATTCTTCTTTTATTTCTTCAATTCTCTATATTATCGAATCAAGACCCAACCAACCACTGCATTCTATGTATTATCATAATAAACCTAAATTCTATTCTTAACCATAATGATTTTCCTATCCAATATGGTTCTATCCTGATGTCCAAAACCATGTCTAGTCACTGACTATGATCTTCGACAACATTATTTCCGAAATCTCTACAACCAATCATCATATAATTCCAGCCTATTCTCATTCTTTCTCTCCTATAAAATCTGCAACCACTATCCCACTTTCAAAATTCTTACCCTACACGATATCCATATTCAACCCATTATAAAACTACTTGCAGACAACACTATCTAATTTTTTAAGAGCTGCCCATGTAACAACACCAAGTAGTTATGAAACCATAGCCGTCATTGTTCACATAAAACTAGATCAGACCACACCAACAAGTCCAAAGAAAGAGGCTTTTGCTTCATACTCGCATTGATTGAAATTAGATCAGACCATAGCAATCCTTCTGCTTGAAAGAGGCTTTCGCCCATCCCAAAGAAATGATAACCGAGTCTCAAACGGTGTAACAGACCAAGTAAAAAGAATATGTTACCTCATACTCACATCGATAGAAATTAGAGAGAGACGACCAGCATGATGGCATTTTTCAAGTTTCGACATAAATCGCTTGCTCTTCGATATCTTTTCTGGTGTGACATATAATATTTTGAGCTCTTCTCCACCCTTTTCAAGGGCCTTGTAGATGAATTTTTCATCTTCCTTAATAGTTGTTGAGGTCAACTTGAATGCTGGGATGCCTAAAGCAGCCAACCCCATCACCTGAAGCAATGATTTTTGTGAGAAAGGCTACTTCACTTATTAAAAAAAAATAGAGAGAGAAAGAAAGGCTACTTCATTTAGTAAGGTTCAAATATGGAACATCAGAAGAAAAGATTTAAGAGCACCTGATCCTGAATAAGGGAAAGCAAAGGACTGACAACAAGAGCGACTCCATCACGAAGAATAGCTGGAAGCTGATAGCAGAGACTCTTGCCACCACCCGCGGCCATGATCACTAAAACATCTCTTCCACTCATGATTGCATTTATAATCTGGTAATAATTGACTGTTTATTAAATTCATATAGGTGTGTAGAAACAGCACTTAGAAACAATCAATATTCAATACCATGTGAATGAATTTAAAATTTTAATCTACATGACCATTATTCTCTACAGAGAAAGATAATGTAAAAGCTTATACTATTCTGAAAAAGTGAGGATAAATATATTCTTGGATTTTTTAAATCATATGCCTCCATATTTCGAAAACTAATATATATATATATATATATATATATATATATATCTAGTATACCAAAAGCCAAAAGGAAATCATCCTGACGTTCAAGAGGAAACACACAAATAACTTTTTCAGATGATGTCCAGAAATAAGAACCAAGGCCATTCTTCAATTAATTGAGCATGAATAATAACAGTGTAGATACTAAAATCATCCATTATTTTTGGCATGAAAGAAATATATATGTAACGTGTAGGCAAAAACCATAAGAAAACAAAAAATGTAATTGAGGAAATTCTTTTTTTCCAGATTCATGAGTGAACCATAAACACTAATAAAGGAGCCTTGACTTTAGATATTGCCAGTGAGATTGGCGGATTGCTGGTACATTGCTCAATAAATGGATATGTATTTAACCAAGAGAGGAGACTCAACTTTGGAGACTTTTATGAGTCACTTTTACCTGCTTTGGTAGCTTTTGGGCTTGGGAGAAGGTTTTGATTGCATTTTTCTTTTCAAAAGTGGAGGATTCCTAGTCATTGTTTCTTTTATTATCTCACTAATTTGAGTAATTTATGCCTTCATTTAGAAGAAGAAGGGGAAAAAAAGGGCATAGGCAAGCTTAATTTTAGCTTCTCTTTAGTCTTTCCTTTTGTTTTCCTTTATTTCTTTCTTTTTCTTTTTTTTTTCCTTCCTTTATTTCCCTTCTTTCTCCCTTCTCTCGTCGAGAGGCTTGGACAATCACTTGGTGTGCTGCCTCTCTCATCTTCTCTTCTGTCTTCTCACATCTCTCATTTTCTCTCTTCTTTTCCCTCACATCATTTTCGTACTTTCCAACTTTTGTTTATTTTCCTCTCTCTTTAAGGAGTTCTCTTTCTTCTCTATATTTCCTCTTTCTTTCTTTTTTTAACATTTTAGATAATTCTACAGGATGTACATCATCACTATACCATTAAAACCGTTCAACTTCAGCCAAAAAAAAAAAAAATTGCTTTCCAATCTTTCTCCCCCGTTGCTTCCAAGTTAGAAATAACACAAATAGCAACTCTTTCAAAACCAAAGATTCCACCTGTTTGATATCTTCAAAGACAACTATAAAAAAAGAAACATCAAGTGATGTGTTCTCATAGTTAAGTCCAAATGCTAGGATCTTACCCATATTAAGCGTTTCGTTTGTGATCCAACTATCTGCTTCCACAGGTCTTACCAAGAACACAGGAATCCATTTAGACAAAGATCACACCACAAAAGCATAGCTAAGTGATGTAGGAACAAGAGAGAGGAGAGAGAAGAAGAATTAGGGGGAGAAACACTATGTAATCAATATGCATTCAATAATCATCGAAAGTATTGTGCCCTACTACATAAGGCCTTATTTATAGACAAACCTAATCCTAATTACTAATTAAAATCAAATATTGCCAAAATATATGAATAATAAAATAGGAAAACTCTCAAATCTATCTTTCCTTGCCCCTTTCCAAGCATAGGTGAGACTCGTGTGTATGGATCACATCTTGATCTCTGTCACTCAGCCCATCTGTAATCTCTAGTTTATTTGACAAATTAGAAGATGACTAAAGCACAGTAAATGATGCAACCACGACTCAACTACTAAACACTAGTAAGGCATACTATCTACACTCAAAGCTTCCTTGTAAATAACAAGAAGCTCCTCTAACACCTGTTAGCAGAGAAGAAATGCAGAATTCATGCAATAAATAGTTTCTATTGACAATGAATGGCTAAAGAACAATTATGCTGTAACAGTAGACAAACTGACAGGCAGCACTGACCTCTCGCTGGTTTGCACGATAAGTGGATATGCCAAACACATTGAACCTAACATCGTCGGCTTGAGAATCCCATTCAAATGGCCCAGACCAATTCTCTGCAGTAACAGAAGTGCCATCATTACCAGTGCTTCCTGATGCATTACAATCTTCAAACAAGGCCTTCAGTTCAGATTGTCTCTCATACAGTTTTTCTTGTCTATCAAGCAATATCTTTATTTGGTCTGGACAAGAAGACATCAGAAAAAAACACTATTTAGATAAATAGGTAATTATACATGTGTTAGCAAACTAATCATAGATTTATATGATTCAGAGCCAATAATGATTATTAAACTAAAAAAGTCTTTGAAAGAGGAAAAAAGAAATAGAGACAAAAAAATATAATACATGGAACAGATATTTTAGCAAACATCATATGACCAACAGGTAGATGCCCAAAGGACCACCAAGTCGAGCACCCTCAACTATACAGATCATCTAAATCATGTGAATGAAATCTAGCTAATTCAAGCCAATTACTACTCACATTTCAATATATAGTTATCCATATATATTATTTTTTTTTTGATAAAGTAAGTAAAACTACTCAATCTTTGATTTTTCAATATTAAATGGTTTAATTTTAGGGCAAAAAGAAACACACGTGCACATCAATCAATAATAATACAGCATTGTCATAAATCAAAATTTAGGGTAAAAATAGGAATAGGAGTGCACAAATATGAATATCAGTCAGTTAAGCAACCATAATGTTGAACCTAAAAAATTTCAAACTAGATTGCCAAGGAAAAAGAACTAATTTTTTTCACTCGATATGTATATATGTGTGTGTGTGTGTGTGTGCGTGTGTGTGAACGTGTGTGTATAAATGTGTATAAATATGTGTAGAGAGTAGTGTTGGGGGGCAAACCTTCGACATCTTGAAGCTCCACCTCTACGTTGAGTAGCTCCTCCAAGATTTCTTCGGTGCTCCCCATGTCTTTCGTCTCTGAGAATGTTCTGATTCCCAACTATTAAAATTGTATATACTGGGCCCAGCTAGCCTCACCTGGCCCATTAGTCTCAGGAATTCCTAGATTGGGCCTTATGTGGGTTTGTCCCTTTTGAGATAAGCTCATTTTGGCCCACTTACGAAATTGAGTTTGGGTAGGCCCGGTCTATGAAACAAAGATCTGCCAAGTGCCAAACAGATTGCGTACGTAAATAAAAGGAATAAATACCCCTCCCTAAATTAGTCGTCTCATTTAAAAAGTTACAGAAAAATAAATACTACATTTTGATCTTTAAATTTTTAAAAAGTCTCAAAACCTAAGTAGCATGCACACTATACTTTTAAAAAGGGTAAAATACAATCACACTTTCTGAGGTTTGGTAAAAAGACACTCAGAAAAAACTTACCTATTTTTCTGGACAAAGACACCCCTGAATGTTCAAAAATGGACAAAGACACCCATTTACATGAAAAAATGACCAAATTACCCTTTAAACTTTTAGGAGACTTTTTTAACTCTACAATTTAATAAAATTGACCAATTTACCCTCATGAATAATTTATGCATAAAAAAAAAACTTTATATTGTTCACTTTTTTTTTTTGTGTTATTTACTTTATAAATGTCTTAACTTCTTAAAAATGTAGACGTCTAGAATGATTTTTTGATTCAATACATATATTTCAAATAAATTATATTTTATTATTGTTTCTTTTCTTTTTCCTTTTTATTTTTAAATTAAGATGCTTAATTCTTTCATCTAAAAAAATTAAACCAATCTCTTTTCCTTACAAATAAAAAATATGGTATTAGTATAGTTTTATGCATCTTAAATTCTATATCAAATATTATGCATTTCCCAATATAAAGAAAAATATGTACCAGTAAAACTTTATGCATCTTAACTTTATGCATGCCTTTGTTTTTTTTTTTTTCTCCCTTTGTTTTATTATTTTTTTTCCCTTTGTTTTTTTATTATTTTTTCCCCCTTTTATTTTGGAAAATGCATAATATTTTATATATAATTTAAGATGCATAAAGTTATACTTGTACCATATTTTTTATTTTCAAGAAAAAAAGATTGGTTTAATTTTTTTAGATTAAATAATTAAACATCTTAATTTAAAAATAAAAAAAAAAAAGAAAAGAAATAATAACAAAATATAATTTATTTGAAATATATGTATTTGATCAAAAAATCATTTTAGACATCTAAATTTTTAAGAAGTTAGGACATTTATAAAGTAAATAACCAAAAAAAAAACTTCACTTTTTTTTTTTTTTTTTTTTTTGTGCATAAATTGTTCATAAGGATAGATTGGTCCAATTTATTAAATTGTAAAGTTAAAAAAGTCTCATAAACAGTCAATGAGTAATTTGGTTAATTTCTCATGTAAAGGGGTGTCTTGTCCATTTTTGAACCTTCAGGGGGTGTGTTTGTCCAAAAAACAGGTAAGTTTTATCTCAGTATCCTTTTGCCAAACCTTAGGGGGTGTGGCAGTACTTTACTCTTTTAAAAAAGATAACTTAGTAATTTCAAAATGAAATACTACTTAATTATATTATATCTTCTTAAAAAGTTATAATAGTAAAAATAGACAATTAATATGAGAATGAAGAGTAACAAATAGTAAAATATTTGGATAATTAGGGAAGTAAAGTAAATGCAATTGTAATAGTAGATATTTAGGGAAATAAAATAAATGAGGTGATTCTTGTAAAAATAAATAAGGTGATTCTTGTAATCCATCTTGTTTGAAAAATATTGAAGATATATTATTAAAAAATAGGATAAATATTCTAGTATATACACAGAGGAATATATTATTTATTTATTTATTAAAAAAAAAAAAAAAAAAAGAGTTTTACTTCCTTACTAAGCATCTTGCTATAATAAAATTATAAGAAGATAAATTTTTGTGGGCTTGCCAAAGTGCCAAAACTCTCATACTATTCCATTTCCTTCTCATACTTCATTAACCTATTTCATCCAAATGTTGCTCTTATATAGTGTAGTCCTCAATAATTAGTATTGATGGATTGAATACACATACATACATATATATATATATACATATATATATATATATATATATATATATATAAATTTACATAAAAGTGGTGGTAGCAAAAGTATATTACCAATTCATGAATGTAGTTTGCATGTTTACCATATCATAAATCAAAAGTCAAGACTTTCAATTTGACCCTTTTAAAAGGATAAAATTATATTTTCACCTCTAAAGTTTATTTTATGCACAACTTACCCAAAAAACAACTTGTGCAAGCTCTAGAATTTTGTCAATAGCACTCAGGAACGGTTACATCGCACAAGAATTAGGAAACACAACGTGAAGCCTACAACGAATAATAGAAGAACTTAGATCTAGAATTATTCGAATACAAAATATTTTAGAAGCTAGACGACAAAGATTTTGGCTAGGTTTATGAGTATAATATAATTTAATAACTTAGATAACTCTATAAAACGATTAGGAGAAAATCTTGATTATATTAAGGAACAAGTAGCTCAAAATTCTGGTCCAAATAATTTATATAACAAGATAGATTTAGCAACCAACGCAGCCATCGTAAGATGTATCCCCAATTATACGATGACCACCAGAGAATTCAATAAACATATTAAAATAGCTATATCCACAAAATGATACAATATGACAGGACAATTTGAAAACCTATTAGTTAATTCTTTATTTATGGGAAAAGTAGTTAATCAATATAACTTAAAATTTAAAGCCTAATTCAGTGAAATAGTTAAACATTTTAGTAGCAAATATGTCCAGATGATAGAAGCTACAAAAGTAAGCAGCATTACCCATGAAGGAACAAAATGGGAATTACATAATCTTACTACTACAACTAAAAAGATCCCCAAAAGTAATATGATATATGTAAACAATAATGGAGAAGCTAGCATAAGATTTAGTAATTATAAAAGACAAGATAATTTAGTAGATGATACCCAAGAAGACTTTTTAACTACGCTAATAGAAATAAAATCTCCTGAATAAATAAATGTCATTTATAATAGATTAGAAGATGAAATTCTAGATAAAATAATGCATGATTTTGACAATCTTGAACTAGAATATTTGAAAGAGAAATATCCTGAGCCAAATTACCAACTTATAGAAAGTATTTATCTAGGCGAAGAAAATAATGATGATATTAAGCGAAATATATTAAAAGTCCGGTTTGAATCATTTTACACGAAACATGAACTAAACACTTTAAAAGAAGAGTTAAATGTAATAAAACAGGTAGAACATAGGGAAGGAAAAGAACCAGAAGGATTCACCTCTCAACCTACAGGATCAGTAGACCAAGAAATACATAATGCAGCTAGTAGTACTAATAAAACAAATGATGACTATAGCACTGGACAAAGACTACAACCTACCCAAGAAACATATGTTGAAAATAAAAACATACCAAATATATACACGTGGACACCGCGTCGTAAACGTTACAATAATATCCTAGCACACGACGCCGGAACTATATTAGACATATCACGACACGATCCCCAAGATTGGGCAACAGTAATAGACGATTGGGAACAAGATTGTATTAGAACAACAATTCTAACCCGATTCGATAATAGAACACAAGCGTTAACTTATTGTGAAACTCTATTAAGAGGCACAATTCAAAACTGGTGGCAATCCTATAAAGTTACTTATGCTAATGATTACAACCTTTTAAAATATAATTTTATAATTTAAACGTTTACCAGCTTAATCAAAAGGGTGTTACTTAGTGAAGATAGATTACTAGAAGAAACTCAAATAAAGCAAAATGAAGCCTTACGAAATTTAGAGTTATTACAAATCTGTGATTTTAGATATATAAGAGATTACTCTAATAAGTTTTTTGAATATTTCGCCGCCACAGGAAAAACCGGAGACATAATATTAGATATCTTCATAAATTACCAGGAAGTGTAGGAACTAAGATTTGGAAAAAATTGTTAGAGAATCCTCGAAGGGATAGATTGACTATAGGAGATAGAGTTAACCACGTATATGACATGTTAAAAAAGGAATGCTGACAACATAGGGAATCTAAGCAAATTAAGAAACAATTTTTTGATGTATGTAAACAATTAGACTTTCCGCCACAATATGGTTACATATCTCAGAATACCTTCAAACGAAATAAACCAAGAAAATACAAATTACGAAAAAGTAGAACCTATAAAAACTATAATAAAAAATCATATTTTAAGAACTTTAAAAGCAACCCCAAACCATTTAGAAAGTGTCATTGGTATAAAAAACGAAAAATAGTTAAAGATAAAATGGATAATAAAGACAAAAAAGACAGTAAAGTTAATACACTACCCACAAAGGAACGAAGTTACAGATGCTTTATTTGTGGAGATCCAGGTCAAATAAGACCAAATTGCCCTTATAGATATAAGCAAAACCATATCAAACAAATACAAGAAAAAATCAATATACTTGAAGATATTGAGGAACAAATAGAAGGATTATATAAGTTAGAAAGTGTTTATGATTCCGACGACGACAATGAAAGCATATACAGTATAGAAAGCATTGATAGTGAATTCAATGAGGATATTGAATAAGGACTTCATTCTATGGAAGATTATATATGTACTATAAGCAATCCCTCATGTCATTACGGCTTCGTTAATTTTCATTTCTCAACTTACAACTGTAAACAATGTAACTTTTCCATTAAGGAAGGACATTATTATAGAGACCACTGTAAAACCTTATTGTGTCAAGACTGTTATTTAAAATATGAAAATACCCTAGAAAATACATTAGTTGAATCCATAAATTCAATATATAGACCCTCTAGTCTAATTTAATTTCCAGTAACATTAGAATTTAAAGAACGATAAGTCTAAACTTCAGCTATGTTAGATATTGGAGCATCTAAAAGTATAATTCAAAAACATTTAGTACCAGATGAAGCATTAATAAAATTGAATTATAAT